TATGTAACTGAAGTGAAAAGTGGCCGTTAACATTCAATCCAGCTAATTCTGGGATAACATACTTCGGACGTTGGAAACCTAGCATGTGTCTATACATGTGCGGTGACCTTGTCTAGAACACGAACACAGTCACGGATTTCGGTGTAACATACTCAGATCTTACCTTTACTGAACATGCAAATAAGGTGGTATCTGATTGTAAACGTCTCATCGGCTTTGTGCTACGCAACTTTTACACTCCAGAATCCAAATTGGCTATATATAAGATATGTATACACCCCAAACTTGAATACTGTGCCCACTTATACAGTAGCTTTGAATCAACAGACAGAAAAAAAGTTGAAAGTGTCCAAAGGTTCCTGAGGAAACGCATATTAGGCTATGATCCGCAAATATAATACCCTGACAGATGTATTCGACTGGACTTGGAACCCCTATGGTTAAGGGGAGTGAAGTGCAACTTATTTCTCTTATTCAAAGTTATAAGAAAGCACTGTAACAGTAACTCATCCAAAACGTGGGCTAATCTTAAATCATATGGACTACGCAACCATGACAACCTTTTCAAGGTTAACACCCATAAACTCACCACTAGAGCTAACTTTTTCACCATTAAATGTTGCAAAATTTGGAACCAGCTACCCTCTGAGATTAGATCCTGTGAAAAGCCTGACAGTTTTGAAAGGAGCCTAGAAAAACATATTAACATGTCCACCCTAGCTTGTCTAAAAGATCACAACTACTGGTAGAGTGGGGAGACAATGTCGCTTCAATATTTAACTACGGAAAGCACATTAGTCCCAATACTAATATAATAATACTTAGTAATTATGCATAATCAATTCTTGACATTTGATTGTCATTACAATACTTAAAATGATTAAAATATTTAAGCAGGAAATGTTCTTTTGATTTACCACGCCTGTTTCCCTTATAACACTCAATTATTGAGCTTAATGTATTATTTGATGATACGAATTATAATATTGATAACACTCTTATCATATATAGTTTGATTTACTTTACGGCTCCCTGTAAGACTAACTACGCTTCTTCAGTATACACACACTGCAGTATTGTTAACAAAATGTTAAAATTCTCTTGGTTCTGTGTTAATATCGTTTTATAATATGTGTAGACTGGTTACTTTGCAATGTCAAATGTTTACTATATAATAGACTTTCATGATAACTTAGTACAATAAGTCCTACCAACCGACCTTACCTTCAGTTCATACTACCTACATTGAACTCTAACTATAGTGTTCTGCTGAATCTTGCTCCACTATTCACAAAACCTATTATTTCTACTCTTTAAGGGTTTAACATCTTATAAACTAATCTGTTCATTAGGACGCATGTACACATATATAATATGTTCATAAATCTGTATGTGGAGATCTATTGGAAGCACTCAATAAGAAAGATAGGGAAATGGAATGTGAGGTACGAACGTGTCTGGAACCAAGCAATATATTTGCTGTAGCCATAACAATCAGAGCCTAACATCATAAAAGGAGGGAGGGTGGCGCATGCTGATCAGTAGATGCGGTGTTGGACACTAAGGTGAATCGCCCCATTCCGTAGGAACAGCAATATGCAATTTGACGGCTCGAGATTTCTATGAGGGCTTGAATCTTTATCTTGAAAAAGATAATAATGATCGCCTGGACAGATCATGCATCTGCCTTTAAACATATACCATTCGGTCAGCCTATTGTTGAGATGCGACCACGTGGGCTCTACACAGATTTATGGGGCATCTTATAAATTGACATGCTTTCCTCGGTCGAATCTTTGAATACCACTTCACAATGTCTCATCTCATTCATTTTCTAATAACGTCTTTACTTGCTCCTCATTATATTCCATTAAACCTAACATTTTATAGCTCTTTATGAATTTGATTCGACTTATTTTATTCCTATTCCCTATAGGGTACGGTTGCGCACCAAATACACAAAAAGGTATGAAATAAAAACAACCGGCTTGTGGATAATTGTATTAAAACCAAAAGTGGACATCATGATAGTAAAACTTATATGGGTAGCATTATACATTGCAAATGAACTTTGTCAGTCTAGGGATTGTGGTCTCCTATTGTATTTCCCCTATGAATATGCGTCGGTGGCACAGCGGTTAGGACTCTCGCCGACCATGCACATGGTCCGGAGTTTGATCTCCTGCCGACGCACACCCGATATCTATGGTCGGCCTGTAAAATTTGGGCTATCGATATCCATGCTGAAAATTCCATACTTGTACTGGAAATACGGTGTGGCATCAAGCTGTAATCAAAAAAAATAAAAAAATAAATTAATGATACATTGCACTTACCTATTTCATTACACTTTAATGATTCACCTAAGCATCTTTACTTTTCTAAAACAGCTTACTATCCCTTGTAATCGTTGTACTTACCTCGATATTGGTTGGTTATCGTATGCCTACAAACACGGGTTGAAAACGAAACGAAGTCGATTTTCCCGCTCAACCTGGGGGACTACTGTACAACTCAATAATCATACGGCCTGGGTCAGACAATGAGTGTATTTATATATACCAAATATTTAGCTGTTCAAACATTATTAACTTGTAGACAATCTACTATTTGACATTATATCATAATTGATCGTGCCTGTAAAATTGGCATGCATTTTCATGTAAATTTATGTTTGTATGAAAATACACATTATTATTATTATAGACTTCTACTTAACGATGTCTGAATATAATCGCTTTGGGGGGGGAATTTGAAGATAAGAATCTTCTCAGGTGCACCGACATCATCAATTGAGTTAGTATTGTGATAAAAGTTGTTGAGAATTGTCTCTAAGGTCTCTTTTCAAAAGCACGAGTCCCAATTAGAGCATCTGATTAGGTTCTGACACAAGTTCCAGTCAGCATGTATGAATAATCTTATAGGTGTCTGGTCAGCTTCATCTGCGTTTCGTTTCAGGAAAGATGTTAAGAGAACACACTACTATTTTATGGTCACTACCTGTAAATTCATGTCTCACATGTACTGTAGATGGTGTAATGCTGTTCGCGAAATTAAGATCTAGGATATTTGCGAATCTAGTGGGTGAATCTATGTGTTGTGTTCACCCTCCTGTGACAACAGAACTCAGGAGGTTATCACACCTTTGGGTCCTCGGAGTGAAGGCCATGATACTTCTGGTATGTTGAAATCACCGATGCAGGGAAATCAATGGGTCCTGATAATCTTCACCCAAGGCTTCTCAAGGAGCTATCAGCCCACATAGCCGGCCCTTTGACTACGATCTTCAAGCTTTCTCTCCAAAATGGAGTGTTGCAGCGTGACTGGAAAGACGCCATAGTAACCCCCATCCACAAAGGAGGATGAAGACAAAGCCCTTCAAATTACAGGCCTATCAGTCTCACCAGCACTTTAATCAAGACACTGGAAAGTATCATGAAGAAAAGCATAATGGCATATCTAGAAAATAGAAGCTTATTTTCAAGAGCACAGCATAGCTTCCAAAGGAACCTCTCATGCCTGTCAAATCTTCTCACTGCAAGAGAAAGCTGGGTCAAATCCAGGGACAACAGAAGACCCGTTGACGTCGTCTTCATAGACTTCAGCAAAACCTTTGATAAAGTAAATCACAAAAGACTACTCATGAAGTTGGAAAGTCTTGGTATCAAAGGCAGCTTACTAAACTGGCTCAGGGAATTCCTCATAGATAGGAGGCAGAGGGTTAGGATCAACTCGAAACTCTCCTCTTGGACAGTAGTACGCAGCGGAGTGCCACAAGGCACGGTACTCGGACCTCTCCTATTTATTTTGTAAATCAGTGAGTTGTCTCTGCTCACCGACTCCCCTATGGTCCTATACGCAGTTGACTTAAAAATTTGAAGAGAGAGCTGAAGGGTAACAATGACACGTCCACGTTGCAACAGGACCTCAACAAATTGTCAGAGTGGTCCACAGAATGGATGCTCCCGATAAATGTGACAAAATGTGCAACCATGCGCATTGGACAAGCAAGCACGAGCTCCTACGAACTAGAGGGAATTACATTTCCATCAGTTCAGACTCACTTGGAGTTAGGTGTCATAATTAGCCACGACTTAAAAACCACAGCGCACTGTCGCGGTAGCTGCACGTAGTTTCAGGTCATTATGGGCAATTCGTAGAGCCTTCACTAGAATCACCTGAGATATGTTCGCCTCCTTATATACATCTCTGGTGAGATCAGACTGGAAAACTCTCTGCAGTCCTCCAGCCATTGTCTAAAAGGGGACTCACACATTCTAGAAAGGGTTCACAGGAAGGCAAACGTATGGTTCTCGGAATGACTAATTTATCATATGAGGAAAGACTAGACAGTTTAAATCTCTTCTCCTTGTCATACCGTATTCAGAGAGGAGATTTAATCACAATGTTTAAAATTTTAAATAATGACTTCGGACCTGACCTATTCTCTCTCTTCCTTCCCACCAGGTCGGAACACCTTAGAGGACATAGCAGGAGGGTTCAAAAGCCAAGAAGAAATCATATTGCTGTTGAGTACGGGTTCTCACACCGAGTCATAAACTCTTGGAACCGACTCCCAGAAGAAGTGGTGCCTGCAACCTGATTCGTTCAAGAAGAGTTTGGACAACCACAGAAATTTACTAGAAAAGGATTAACATAGGCTCCAAGCCTTCTATCCTCAACCAATAAATCTGAAATCTGAAGTCTTTATCATACTGTCTATCACGACCAACTTTGAAGCTATTGTTTATTGGTAGTCAATGGAAATTTAGAACACATATTACGGGACATATGCATTAGAGCGCGAGCTAAGGTAAGTGAATGCTTTCAGAAATAACAAACAGGAAACCGTTTCTGACCTTGAGAAAAGAATGACCTTCTGATAAAAGTTTAAGTCCCTAGCAAGCCTGGATCACAGTTGATGCGGGGTTTTGAATATCGTTTATTCTGTTGTTTCTTTCGACATTTTGATTTGTTCTTATACAGCTTCGAATTATTGAATGGATGAAAAGACAGAGTTGGAGCTAATTAATTCGGGAATAAGAAATATAGGTGATCTTAGATTTTGTGAACAACTGACAGTACTTAATCTTCATCACAATTGTGTTTCGGTGATAGATGGACTAAATAAAGTTCCAAATCTTCGTTATTTAGACTTGTCCTCAAATTTTATATCCAAAATATGTGGAATTAATAATCTCAGGCATCTTAGGACACTAAATTTGTCATCGAATAGCATTAAAACCATCGAGGCGCTTGGCAATTTACAGTAAGTTTCTTTTTCTTTTTATTTAAATCTTAAACTTTTTTTGTCAAATTCCATTGTCTCGTTGATTGCATAGTCGATTCACACCGATTATCTTGATTTCACCAAGATGAAGCTACAGTGTGGCTTAGTCTGGACGTTACCCAGCTGACATCTTCGGGCGCACTGCCGAACATGGGACAAGACCCCTAAGTCTGCCTCAAACATTCTGCTGTCCGCCCGAAGTCAATACTAGCTGGGTTTTTCTAAGTCATAAATATGTCTGAGAACTCATTATTCCACTGCGTTACTTAAAATAATAACAACATGAATCAACAAATAACATAAAAAGCTGTAGTACACATCCTTCAAAACAGGTTAATAAAAGAGGCCTGTACTAATATTTTTTCTTTGAGTTTGTAACCCTAAAGCTGTATCTAACTTTTTATCCTAGCCACAGTACTAACTCTAACCCTATTCTAACTTCTCTCCTAAGCTTTATATACGCTTTAAAACCGATACAAATTTGAGTTTTACTTGTTGTTTTAGATCACTTGTAAGTTCACTAGTTTGGGAGGTTGTTCTTTAACCACGCTTCATACGTTATAATAGCTGTTTCAACTCACTTAAAGTCCTATATTTAATGAGCTAAGGGAAATTAAACTATCATAGCCAAAATTACAGTGACTCTGAGCAACCAATCAGGACTGAGATGCAAAATAGTCGCATAATCGTTGAAAAATACATTAGACAATATTACAAACTGTATAACTGTAGCTTATGTGTTGTAAGAATCTCTCCTAGTCAAGACATAGATGATCTATAGAGAAATCATACGATGCGCAATATACCCATTCACCAAGATGACTGTTGGTCATGGTACTTTGAGATCCATTGATACTTCTGATACTATTCTCCAACCTATTCCTAACTCTAACCATAATCCTAACTCCTGATCCTAACTTAAACCCTAAACCTAACCTTAACCCTAGAACCTAACTGTTATTCTTAAAAGTCATAACGCTACCTAACAGTATAGACTTGCAGAAAAAGTACCTAGTAAATAACTAGAATACTGTATCTATCCTCTCCAAGACCAAAATAGCAGACATGACTTGATTTGGAATCATATTTCATAGAATTCCCTGTATATGACCGCTTCTTGAGGATCAACTTTTGGAAGACCTTGACTTTGGCCATAATACTTTAACGTCGCCGTGAGCTAATACACAGCAGAATAAGGGTGCATTTATAATAGTCACTAATAATTTCAATTTATATATATATATATATATTTGATACCTTTAGATCATAATCAACCTACGGATTTAAGATATCAAGTTAGAATTTAATGTAAGCATGGTAAAACTTTAAAAGTTCAGACAGACTATCACTTATTCAATAGAGTGTATAAATATGGTTAAAAAGGATAACGAATAAATTCGTCAATGTTTCGTTTAATAAAGATAATAATGTATTTAGAGGCTTCGAAAAGGTAAAGACAATAGCAAGTTGTGGTCTTAAAAAACAAATTGAAAAAGGACACAAACACTGAAAATATTTTCATATTCATTCACGTGTCTGCACTACCTCACATTATGACTAAGTCGTTAACTGGGCAGTCATTCTTGCTATAATTTTAGGACACTGTTGAATCCTAAAAGCAAGAATTTTAAAAATTATCTTTTTTAATGGTTTGACAGAACTACGAATACGGTTTTGAATTGCCCACATATATCCCGTATTCACCGTGTTCAGTATTCTAATTTTCCCTTAGAGTTCACTCCCATCAAAACAAGATAGCTAAAACTGTAATGATAAGGAGTAGTTATGTTGCTTGAGTTTACAGAAGTTGTCGCGACCTTTACGAACGAATAGGCTGTAACAATTTCCTAGTACTCGAGCTCTGTTTAATTTGTGCATCTTGATGGCTTTTGCTGTGAGTGGGAACTTTTGTAAGGAATGAGAATCACTAGGCAAAATATAGTGGATGTTTTCATTACAGGGTTAACCGTGAGTTGACATCAGTTAGAGAAACATTGGAAGGGAGGGAGTACTGGGCAGCTGTTTCGTCCTAGTTCGGGGATCTTTAGCAACCAGGACCTTCTGGTTACAAGGCAAGCTCGTATACCATTCAGCCACTGGGACCCGATCCGGTGGCCTATGAGTTCCGACGTGTACTCTATGGTCTTCCAGTGGTTCTCTAACTGATCTCAACTTGTGACCGAACCTGTAACCATTCACATCCCTGCAAACCAACACTTGATAGTATTTTTACTGTCAGCTTAATGATCCTTATTAGCAAGATTTTTACTATGATGCCTAATATTAGTGTTGTCAATACTTGGCCAGCTGTGAAGGATGGCTTTTAATGAGGCGAAAATGAACTTTTCCAGTTGTTAGCTCAGTGTATTTCTCTTAATCGTAAACGAAGTGATAAACATTTCTGAAGGATTCAATGTGTTATTGCTAATTTGCATTTTTAAAGTGTAGTTTCGAAAAATCGAAAACATCAACATGACGTTTTATACTAAAGTTTTAACTAGGTTCAGATATTTTTGTAGGAGAAATACAATAGCTTTGGAAAGATTAATACCTTGTTTGTTGTACTTCTATCAGTTTTAAAATACCTTGTTTATGTGTCTAAAGAGATTTTCTTTTTTTCATGTAGTTGTTGTTCCTAATATCATAAGTAAATTTCATGTTTGGTTGAAATTATTCATCTATCGATTCTGTTCTTTTTATACGTTCAATCGTATTATGAGTCTTATATGCATAGGTAGGCTTAGAAGAAAATATTTCTCATGACATGAGTTTAACTTTTGAAAACAATTTCCTAATCGAATTAAGTGAGGTATATCAGTGCCCCAGTGTTGAATCTACATAGTGAAGTGTGTTTGTACAGTTAGATAGTTTCACTAGTATGAAATATTGTGAAATTTATCTGTCCTCTATACAATCATATGACGAAATTTGATTAGGTTTTAATCATTTGGCTGGTTTTAATTATTATGTGGTGACAATCTAGATTTACCAACTATTTTGTCTGATAGGTATTATCATTATTATTCCCTGTGGTTCTAAGTGGAACATAGGGCTTCAACAGCACATCCCCAATTTTCCCTTTTCTGCACAGTCCTCTGTAGTTGTTTATGCGACTGCCTACGAGCTTTTATTATCTCCTCATGTGATCCCCTCTATGTCATCCTCGAAACCACGCCCAACTTGTCATTTCCCATTTTGGTTCCACTCCCACAGCCTGGAATGTGATATTACCCAGCGGTCTCCTCAGCTTGTGTCCAGTCCATCTCCATTTCCTTCTGCATATTTGTTGGGGAGTTGTCAGAGTTTCTTCTTGCTAATCCTTTCTGGCCATCTGATCTTCGGTATGGATCCAGCGAAGGCAGCTGTTGATAAAAGTCCGAAGCTGGCTGTTGAAAATGCCCAGTCTGTGAAACATATAGAGGGACTGACTTGACACTAATGTCGAAAATCCGGGTCTCTGCATGCAGAGTGATGAAGGCCTGTCTCACCTTTTCAATCTTAGTTTTGACGTCTTCAACTGTGAAAGCTATAACCAAAAGGATGCTGCTCCCGTTGATAGTGATTAACGCTTGTTCTTGTTGGTTGGTTATCTTCATCATTGTCTTCTCTATGTTCGCTTGATGTCCATTCCTCTCTGCCTTCCTCTTCTGCTAACTTGTCGGTTTTCGCCTGTAAGTCTTCTAGTGTGTGCAACATTAGACGTAATTTGTCCAGGAAGTACAGGTCTTCTTAAGTTTTCCTATCGGTTCAACGTATTCCTGTCTTCTCACTCCCTAAAATCTGACGTATAATACAGTCCACCACAATTAGGAATATCATTGTGGTCGATAGTAGTCAGCCTTATCTTACTCCTGCCTTCACTACAAAGGCTTCTTTGAGTTTTCTGTCGTGAATTACTCAAAATATGGCATCATCATTATATATCAGCTGTTGAATGAGGTTGATAAAGTTTTGGGGCACTGCATTCCATAGTGTCGGAGTAGTTTCAAAATTAATTCACGATCAATTCATGAAGACCTTTTCAAAGTAGATGGAGTTGACCACCATTCTATGGTCTCTTGGATGGTTATGAGCAGAGTTGCAATTTGATCCGCACATGCTTTACTTTTCTTGAGTCCAATTTATTCTGGTTAGAGTTTGGCAACCAGGGGCATCTGTTAGTCTCTCTAGAATGACGCGGGTTAACATTTTGCTTGGTGTAGACAAGAGCATATTTCCGCGCCACTTCTTGCAAAAGTCTAAGTATTGGTCAAAATGTAATTAAAAAAGCTTCCAACATCTTTTGTCGAATTCGTTGAAGCAGAATAGTATAAGGCAATGATAATAATTACTCCAGGTGAACATAGAGAAGACGGAGGTAATGAAGATAACTAACGAACCACAACAACAACGGCAACGAGCACCGATCACCATCAACGGGAGAGATTTAACAGAGGTTACCTCCTTCACTTACCTAGGAAGCATCGTTTCACCTACAGGCAGACAGCACGGATGAAGATGTCAAAGTCAATCAGAATCGGAAAGGTAAGATACATTTTCATCAACCTGAAGTCAGTTTGGAAATCTTCTGCACTCCTCCACAACATTGAGAACAAGATTCGGATTTTCAACATCAGTACCAAGTCAGTCCTTCCAAATGGGTCAGAAACTTCCACTGCGCGTATGTTACGAAAAGGATTTCCAACGAGTCACAGACTTTTATCAACAGCTCCCCTCTTCGCTGGCTCCATACTGAAGATCAAATGGCCGGTCAGAAAGAATTAGTAACAAGAAACCCTGGCTAGGAACAGACCAACCAAAAGCCGATCGCTCAATAAATATGTACTAGAAAATGGAGATGGATCGAGCATAGATTGAGGAGACCCTCGAATGCCATCGCGCTCAATGCAGGCCATCGCTTGAGCGGAATCCAAATGGGAAGCGGCCAGTGGGTCGTCACTGCGAGGGTGGCATGGAGGGGATCTTGTTAGGAGATGAGAGATTATAGTCAATCTTGGACCCAGCTGAAGTGGATGGCAGAAGATAGGGCAAAGTGGAGATGTGTTGTTGAAGCCATATGTTCCACTCGGAACTCAAGGGAATAATAATAATTTTAGCGAATCAGATTAGTTTTTTTCCTAATCTATTAAGTACTTATAGTTTATTGATCTTTTGATAACATAAATAATTGACTTTCTGTTTTGAAGCTATACTACATAATGACGATCAAACTCCGTAACATACAGGATTTTATAGGGATTTAATTAACTTACGTTACTTGCATGCAAGAATCACACTGTGCGAAGCTTGTCTTGTTATATTCGAGAATACGGCTTGTAATCTATTTATCAGTAGTGATATTTGACTGAATCATTGAGTATTTTAATTAGCTTAGTCCTCCAGGCTGTTTGTTTTTCACAGTGGATTTATATTCTCCTCGACTTGGAGGTGCTTTTTTTTTTACCTGCAAACCTAGTCTAAGCCTTTCAAAAAAGTTTCCATTACCTGTCTGTGGCCTTCGTGTAGTCACTGACAACAACTAAAGTGGTTATGAACTGTATATGTGATATGGTTTGGAACGGATCTATGCGGTACATCTGTAGTTGTGCTCTCTCTCTCTCTCTTTCAATTCTTTAGCTTTACTAGTTTTATCTCATCGCATTCTAAAGCTATTCACTGTATAATGTAGCTGTTAATTCGATTGCCTGTATGTTGTAACCGCGTAAACCACTCATTAGGATCTCGAGTTTTATGTACCTTGATAACGAACTCTTAGTGTCTAAAACATCTGTTTATTTTTGTTGTTGTAGAAAACCCCGTTGAACCACTTTGACTGTTTAATTCATTCAAAACTCGGTTAATCTTTTTTTATATTTTGAGGCAATGTACATAAAATGGGAGTTTGTTGTAAAATACTGAAGAAGTTAAGCATTAAGTAGACGATTAATAAGGGGAATACATTTTTTGAGTCATAATGAAGTTGAAACGTTATTTTAACCTTATATCGGCAGTTTCCTCAGAGAATAAAACTCGAATGAACCTTTTCGTGTTTCTTATTATGTATTAGTAAGTAAGGTTACTTGTATCGGTTTTTATTATGGAATTAAACTATGCGCAAAAGTGCACCATTTCGAGTTGTTGTTGTACTTCATGAAGGAACACAAAGGAAGAGAAAAGAGAGGAGAAAGAGATTCGAAGTAAAGATAATGAGCAGAAATGTGGGAGGGGGAGGAGTGGAGGAACAATAGTATCACAGGGTTTACTGGATATGAGGGATCACACAGAGTGAATACATCTGCATCAGCCATTGAGAATGATTTCGAGACATATCACAAATTGTCACTATTGCCATTGGTTCTTAGAGAATCCGGAAAAAACCACAATTAGGAAGGCTACACCTCCCTACGTGGCCAGCTCCAACTAATTGTCAATTATTTCCTGAACCGATGTCATATTTTGCTTTGATCACCATTAGCTCTTTTCCAACCTGATCCATCCATCCTATGTCAGTCAGCTAACATTGCCCATTGTCGACGAATGCGATGGCTAGGAATGCGTGTTGCCGACCAAACGGCTAAGCTTAAGTTTATACGCGAAGAAAAAGGACAAAACAAATACAAACCTGTGATAAGGTATACATAGATCTATGTAAATAAATATGCATATATGTACGTAGAGAGGAATTCAGTCCACACAAAGTATTGTTTAGAATAAAGTCACTATTATCATTATTAAAGTTTACAATATAGAGCAGTGCGTCGGTGGCATAGTGGTCAGGACGCTCGCCGACCATGCACATGGTCTGGGGTTCGATCCCCGGCCGACGCACTCCTTTACCTCGCTAACCCAGAAATAACGCTGGTGAAGAGGAAAGGTTGGGCATGAGGCTAGCAACCCCATCCTGTAAAGTAAGCACTGCTACAGAAACTTCAAGCCACTAGCTTGAAGCCCTATGTTCCACTGGGGAACGTGAAGGAAATTATATATATATATATATATATATATATATATATATATATATAAGATTTCATGGACTGATTCCAGATTGTAGTTTAACCACCACTAGCTCTCTTCTAACCTAATCATCTGTCAGTCAGCTAACATTGCCCATCAAGGAAGGCGATGCCTAGGGATGCGTAACAAACGTCCTAACCATCTCAATCTATTTAGATTAACAACCTCATTAGTTGACTTTCTGTCATTAATGAAAACAAAACACGTAGATCAGCGAAGAGTCTCTTTTCGGCGACGAAGTCATTTTCTTAGCTGTACAATCACAAATATATATGGGTTATTTTATATGTATGCGTACAATAAGTTTATCAAACAAAAATACAATTAGTTATAGTTATTTAAACTAAACAGGTGAAGATTGGTAATTGGAGTTACGTAATACAAAATCGGTCAAGAAAATTGGGTGTTAATGAAACTAGTATAGTAACAAAGGTGATGAGTTGTCACAAACAGTTGTTAAAAAGGAGTTACGTAATAATATGTATAGTTTGATGAGTGAGTTTTACTCAGGATGCACACAGGAACAAAGTAGATAATACGAAATTACGTAAGAGTTCTAAATGAATACAAGAATTGTAAGCAATTGAAGAACAGGCAAAGAAACAACATTAAGTCATCAAAATCAGAAAAAATTAAGAAATTAAATCAAATAAAAAAGTTGTTACCAAGACAGTAGAAGTGGTTGGGTAATTAATCCTCTTTTGTATGCACAACTCCAGTTTTTCTGTGTGAATGGCCATAACTTCTGCGATACAAAGAAGGAGAAAGCGTATTGCCTTTGATAGGTTGTTCTTGACTCTATAGATTACTTTGAAGGAGGCGTTTGTTGAAATGGAATGATCAGTGTTAACCAAATGCTCAATGATCGCACTCCTTATTGCACCACTCTTGCCTTTTCGCAACCACGCTGGATAGTGTTCTTGAATCCTCTTGGACAGGGTGCGCGTCGAACGACCGATGTACCTGGCTCTACAGCAGCAGGTGAACCGATATATGCACATAGAAGTGGTCAGATGCGGGATCTTGTCCTTGAGGCTTCTGCAGATCAGTGGGCAACTGGAGAATACTATTCTTAGCGTTGCTGCAAAGAATGTTCTTCTCAGAGATGATGTGATCCTTCTCTTGAGAATATCTCTCAACACTCGACGCCTAACCTCAGTCGAAAGAGATGCCCTTTACCGGAGTTGAATGTTCTTCTTCAGTCATTAACCTATATTTAGAATTATTTTTGTCACTTTTCACTTGTATGGTAAAATACCCTGAATAGAATTCTTTGTTGATATTGGGCGTTGTAAATCACTTTGGATTGGTCAACGCTATACAACCGGTTTATTTATCCTCTCAAGTAATGTTTACAAAGAGTAAGTGTATCACTTGAGAATTTATTCAGGCTCCTATCGTTACTCGAGTGCGCTGATGGCACAGCGGTAGAATGCTAGCAGACCACACAATTAGGCCCGGGGTTCGGTCCCCAGCCGACGCACTCCTTTACCTCTTTAAGCCAGTAATAAGACTGGTGAAGAGGAAAGGTTGGGCATGAGGCTAGCGACCCCATCCCATAAAATCTGAACACCACTGCTATCGAAACTTCAAGCCTCTAGCTTGAAGGCGCCCTATGTTCCACTGGGAACGTAAAGGAATAGAAAAAAAATCGTAACTCAGTTCATCACTTATTCATTTAAACTGTTTATGTTTCTAAAAAAGATTTAATTCAATGTAAAATTTTTCATTCTTTCCAGTTGTTTAGTTCGCCTAGATGTTTCTTTCAATGAAATCACCAATCTGGATGGTTTAAAAGATTTATTCGGTCCCAATTATAATTTAACAGTTATTATACTCCAAGGAAATAGAATTGAATCTAGACAACATCTTTTAGAGTGTACAAAAGGGTTGATTAATTTACGTCAATTAGTGTTATTCAATCCACAAACAGGAGATGATAATCCTGTTTGCAGAGTACAAGGTAAGATTTAAAAATCTTTAATGAACTTGGTGAGTAGATCGCCAATTTATTTACATTTTTCCCTGACTTTTAATTTACGTTATTTACATGTGAATGTGTCGAAGACATGTAGAATTGAGTCATTTAGGTACTATTTGAGTAGTCTGTCTTTGGGAAGTTATCTGTCTGTTTGAAGAATAATAAGCGATTGCTTACTAGCTTGGTTAATTGAGACTGTAAACTATCAAGTTATAAGTTCGAATCTTACTTCTCATGTACAAAATGTAGCTTATCACTTATTTTATAAGAGTTAACAACATGTTTAAAAAATTGGAAACAAACAAACAAGAATTGTGTTCATGTAAAATAATGTTTTTAAATGCGATTGTACAGCTTTTGAAAATGAAATCGCCGAAAAGATATCTTTGCTGAACTTCGTGTTCTCTTCTTTCTAATGTCCATATGGGTGCTTTATTCGAGAACCCAGGAAAGAATATCGGTGGCGGGAGGGGAGGAGGGGGACAATAAAGAAGAACGAGTAGAGTATATGAATTATTAAATTGTAAGAGAAGAGACTGAGTGACGCTAGAAATACTCAACTTTCTTATGCAGTAAGTCGTGCGAAAGATTTCTTCAGAAATCTCCATATTTTTAACTCCAAGAAATTATTTTCCATGAAGCTGAATGGGAAAAACTCTAAAAGTCAATGAACGAATAGTAGTCTTAAAAGTACAAAATTCACCATTTGCAAGAGACTGCTTCTCATCAGACTGTGGTTCTAAGAGGGTGATATTAACTTCAAGAAGAAGGAAGGCATTCATGTGTATTAAAGTAATTTTCCGTTGAAGTTCACAACAAAATTTGACTGTTATTTTCCAATTTTTATTCCGACTGTAGGAAACATGATACTTCTGTGTATATACTAGGCGTATTTCATTTTCCATACACTTGGTTCCTTTCATAAATTTCGATAAAGAAAGAAAGACAGAAAGTAAGATCAAATTTGCAGTACAAAATGATATCATCATTCTATTTCACAGGTTTTCATCAGCTGCAGACAGCTACCGGACATTACAATGGTTTTAAAGAAGTGAAAGTAACATACTTCACTGTTTGAATGGTAGTAGTTCAAGCCCCCATTAAGTTATATGTTTATGCTTTAAAGGCAACAGATATTCACAAACTGCAATTACCAGCAGCCACCTTGTGGATACCTCAGATCATTTCGTCGAGATTTTCAAATCCTTCAAAATGATTAAACATAAAAAAGAACGTGAATTTACTACTACTATTTTTTTTGAGGCAACTGCAATCATACTTCTTAAAACAAACCACAGAAAGAGAGAGTGCAATCAATTTCTCACTGCCTTGGTAACAACTACATTTTGTTCATAGAGAATAATAAAAAGACAGTTGCAGTGAAGAAAATTTTCTTTTCGACGAAGTCATCACATAAGCTGTACATTCGTGTATTTATATCAAGTGGATGGGAAAGTTCCAGAATAATTTCCGGTTAAGGGTCAAATTAATAAAAATTACAATTAGGAATTAGAATGCCATAATAAACAGGGGGACGGATAAAACTCGAATAAGGTAGCATTATAATAACTAAGAAGATTGACATTGTGCAATTGGGAGTTAGAAATGTAGAAATAACAAAATAGACAGGATGTTTGGGTAAAAAACTAATGTGACGAATAATTGTTTCTGCAATCAGGGATTAAATATGTAGAAATAGTAAAATGACAAAATAGACAGGAAGTTCAAATATGAAAATATGGTAGTGTAAATAGGAGGGATTAAGAAAAACTTAAAATAACATGAATAAACAGGAAGTTTAGATAAGAAAGGCGATGGGATGGTCATTACTAAAAAAATTTACCTGTTTATGATGGTCGTGGCAGGGACAGGGGCTGGACGTATTTCTTTTTCGTAATCCCTGTCTACACTACCATATTTTCATATCCACACTTCCTGTTTATTTTGTCATTTTACTGTTTCTACATATTTAATCCCTGATTGCATAAACAATTATTCATCACATTAGTTTTTTACCCAAACATCCTGTCTATTCTGTTATTTCTACATTTCTAACCCCCAATTGCACAACGTCAATCTTCTTAGTTATTATAATGCTACTTTGTTTGATTTTTATCCGTCCCCCTGTTTATTATGGCATTTTAACTCCTAATTGTAATTCTATTAGTTTGACCCTTAACCAGAAATTATTCCGGAACTATCCTACCTATTTATTATAAATACAAGAATGTACAGCCTAGATGATAACTTCGTCGAAAAGGAAATTTTCATCACTGCAACTGTCTTTTTATTCCCTATGATCAAATGTGTATATTCCGTGATTTGAAAACTGCATTTTGTTTACATTGACTGGTCATCCATATTAGTGATTTCAGCTCACTGAGAGAATTTCAATATTATGAACTACAACCTTCTTGAGTTGCTATGTGAACTTATAAGCTAACACAGTTTATTAGATTTTTCTGTTTTCTGTCTTCTCCTCTCTCGCTTTCCTCCTTCCACACTTTGAAAGCATATAAATTGATGGTAGCTGAAACTAAAAAGTTACAATGGTTATATTTCAGATTGCGTTGATTTTATATTTTCTCTAATATCATTCTAACATTGAAGCAGCTGATGAGAACCTGTGAAATAGAATGGCATCGCTTTATACTCTATTTTTATTAAAGTACCTATTATCTATGCTATTATATTGATTGATTGATTTCCTTCAGATTATCGTATCAGTATCTTACAAGGACTACCTCAACTAGAAATATTAGATCATGTGGACAGAATGGGTCGTGCTACTCACATTGATGTTTTAGCTGATCTTCCAGGTATGTTGATTTGTAGAGTATCTTTAGCATACGAGTATCTTTGGGTCACTACATTTAAGTAAGACACGACATTTTCTAGGTAGAAGCGCATGTACATACAAGAGAAGTCAATAAATGTGAGGCTAATAACTTGCTTAAATCACAGATATCTCAGTCCTTTAAGATGATATCTTCAATGACAGGTGTTACGTCAGCTTGAAGGATTCAAAATAATGCCATCAATGTCATTTTGTGTGGTTTATTCAGGTTATTATTATTCCTTTGGGCTCAGAATGTAACATAGGGGGCTTCAACAGAACATCTCCATTTTGTCCTGTTCTCAGCAGTCCTCTTTAGCCGGCTGCATGATTTCCCGTAGGTACTCATCTCCACCATGTCACCCTCTGACTGACGCTCCACTCGTCGTTTCCCATTCGGGTTCCGCCTGAGGGCATGGCTGGAGCGTGATGTCACCCATCAGTCTGCTCCTCACAGTGTGTCGGATTCATCTCCATTTTATTCAGAATGTTCGTGGTTGGTTCGTTCCCAGAGCTTCTTGTTACTAATTCTTTCCGACTAGCCATCTGATCTTCGGTATGGAGCAACGGCATTTATTGATCAAAGTTTGAGGTAACCACCTGATAGAAACGCTTATCGTGGCTCTCCAAGTTTTTGACCCATGCGGGAGAAATGATTGACATAACATTTGGTGTTGAAAATCTGATTTTCGTTCCTTATGTCGGTTAAAACAGATCTCCAAACTGGTTTCAGAGTAATAAACGCCTCTGTCTTGCCTTTTCGATTCCGGTTTTGACATTCTGATCCATTCTGTCTGCCTGTGGTTGAAATAATGCTGAGCAGATAAGTGAAGGGATTGTGCTGGTTCCTATTTGTTAGTTGTTGAATATCTTCATCACCTCCATCTTCTCTGTGCTCACTTGAAGTCCAGTCCTCGGTGTCTGCCTCTTCTGACAACTTGTTGTTTGTTTTTCGCGTGTAAGTTACCGAGTTTGTATGATATTAGACACAATTCATCCGCAAATTCCAGATCCTCTAGATTTTTCTTCTTCTGTGTCCAACGTAATGCTTTTGAAGTGAAGAGAGAAGTAAGAAAAGGTTGTCTACCACATTAGTTTGTTTGTTAGATATATCACACAGTGAAACAGTATTATTTACTGGGTGACGAGGTTTCGAACAAAATTTATTACTGTTCATAATCATATCAATTATAATCACACGACTTCGAAATGTTAGTAGTGATAGGAATAATAATAATAATAATAATAATAATAATAATAATAATAATAATAATAATAATAATAATAATAATAATGACATGCACGTCAAATATGCGCAAGACAACACCAACAATAAGGAATCTAAATCATCAGTAGTAATTCCATACAAGGAAGGAACCTCGGAAACCACTTTACGGAGAATTCTTAACAAGGCAGGAATAAAAGTGGCTGGCATTCAAAGCCACAAACTCATTTAGAAACAAGCTTTGTCGCTTAAATGATCCTGTGGAGCCGTTAGAACAAAACAATTTAGTTTATCTAGTACCCTGGCCTGCAATGATTGTCAGGTCAAATACATAGGTCAAACTAGTAGAACAGGGGCAGTCAGACTAGCCGAACATAAAAACCTAGCAGTAAAATCTAGATTGGTTGACCCGAATAAGATAAGAAATCTAGAGAATAGTTCAGCTATAGCACTCACTACATGCAATTTCACACAACCACACAATAGGATGGATGGGATAGGATGACAGTTTTAAAATCTAATGTCACAGGGTGAATGGAGGGAGAGATTGATAACAGAAGCTTTGTTTATCGAATCAACTACAAATATATGTAATAGGAATTACTCAACACCTGTCTCAGATATCTGGAAAGATCTACTACCCCAACGACGACAAATAGGAGAGGACAAAGATAACTATAAAACTCAAGTTTCGAAGTCGTGTGATTATAATTGATGAAATGATTATGAACAATAAATTTTGTTCGAAACTGTGTCATCCATTAAATAATACTGTTTCACTCACTGTGTGATACATCTAATAAACAAACTAATATGGAATTACTTACTACCACAGTGCCCAAGTTTTACACTTACAGTTGTCTACCGCCACCCACGATAATATTCCTAATTGTGGTGGACTGGATTATGCTGCAGTACACCATGGGAGGCGAGAAGAGGGGGATACGTTAGACCGATAAGAAGAAGACTCTAGCAGAGGTGGACTTCGCGGATGACTTATGTCCAATATCACACGAATTCGAAGATCTATAGGCGAAAACCAAACAAATTGACAAGAGAGTCTGGCAGTAAGGACAGGATATCAAGTGACACATAGAGAATACGGAAGTATCTAGAAGATGATCAACCAAATAACCAACCAACCAACCAACAACAACAACATGTATAAGTCACCGTCAATGTCAGAATTCTAAATAAAGTCAGTCACCTTCATTACTTACTTATCTAAGCAGCATCGTTTTGACTGCAGTCTCAGCAAAGATGAGGATGTCAAAGTCAGCCAGGGTCAGAAAAACTCGGAAACCCCTATGTGAAAAACTACTGCACTGAGAATAAGGAACAAGGCTCAGCTTTTCAACACTAGTATGAAGTCAGTACTAGAAATGATAGAGAAGATTTGTAGCTCAGGTGGATGATTTTGATGTGGTTGTGTTCTCTGAGCTGGATAGTTGATTTGCGAAGCTTTCATCACCCTACTAGGTGACATCTTCAGCGCATACTTCAATTTGAATTATGCGCTGAAGATGTCACCTAGTAGGGTGATGAAAGCTTCGCAAATCAACTATCCAGCTCAGAGAACACAACCACATCGAAGTCAGTACTTTTATACAGTTCAGACAATTGCTAAGTGCATCGTCATGGAAAGCATTTCCAACAATCTGTTGTAGGCATTTATCAACACCACACCTGATTTCGCTGAATCACTACTATTGGAGATCTGATAATCAGAAAGGTAAAGCAACGCGAAACTCCTCTGGAAGTGTAGCCAGTGTCTTACTGCCCAACATATATGCCGGAAAAAAGGAGATGGATTGGATGCGCGATTGAGGAGACCGCTGAGTGACATCACATGCCCAGGCATAACCTTGCGCTCTTGACCCGAAGGTATCCGGGGGTGACAAGGAGAAGATGAAAGCTTATGGTCAGTCGTGGAGCCACTCACAGAGGATTGCAGAGGACAGGATGAAATGGCCTTATGTTCCAGTTTAAACCTAAGGGAATATTAAGGATACCAGTGGAACACAGGGCTTCAACTGCACGCCTCCACTTGCTTCTGTCTTCTGCCGTACTTTTCACCTGCATCCATGTTAATCCATGCTGTTTCAACTCCTCTTCACACGATCTCCTCCATGTCACGCTTGGACGTCCCACTCGCTACTTCCCTTTCGGGTTCCACTCGAGCTATGGCCTGACGCGAGATGTCACCCAGCGGCCTCTTCAGCCAGTGTCCAATCCATCTCCACTTTCTCCTGCATATTTGTTTGGCGATTGGCTCTTGTTTTGTTTGTTCCCATAGTTTCTTGTTGGTGATTCTTTCCGGCCATCTGGTCTTCAGTACAGAACGAAGACAGCTGTTGATAGAGGTCTGCAACAGGCTGTTGGAAATATTCTTTGTGACCCACCAAGTTTCTGATCCATCCGTATAGAAGAACTGACTTGCCGTTTGTATTGAAAATCCGAATTTTGTTGTTGATGCAGGCTGAGTGACGAAGATTTCCAGATTGGTTTCAGGTTGATGAATGTGTTTCTCGCCTTCCCGATCCTCGATTTGACATCCTCGTCCGTTCCTCCTGTAGTTGAGACAATGCTCCCTAGATAAGTGAATGAAGTAACCTCTTTCAAATCCCTCCCGTTGGTGGTGAGTGGAGCTGTATGTTGCTGCTGTTGTTGTTGTTGGTTGCTTATTTTCATGACCTTCGTCTTGTCTATGTTCACCTGGAGTCCTGTCTTTGCTGCTTCCTCGACCAGTTTATCGGTTTTCGCTTGTAAGTCTTCGATTTTGTGTGACATCAAATATAAATCATCCGCAAAATCCGGGTCTTCTAGGTTCTTCACGTCGTTCCAGGATATCCCTGTCTTCTCGTTTCCCGCTGTCTGACGCATAATCCAGTCCACCACCACCACCGATACTAACAATAATGAATCTGAATGGTCATAAGAAGTGAATCCATTTTCACCATTTATAATACATTTCCCAAGAGATTCAAACTGATCAAAGTTTTATGTCAAATTGAGACACCTCATAAGCTTACGTGGTTGTTTTGTCTTACAGTATAGTAGAATATTATTCACCTACTAACTCGAAATTTGTTCGGTTTCTAAATAAGATTTTTCTATCAAGAAAAGCTACTTTCTGAATTGGAGTCAATTGGCGGATGGTGATTAACAGTGGAATCCAGGAAGCGCATTTTAAATTGAATTAAATAATTAATAAGACACGTTGTACAATAGGTGGTTCTCGTGGCCCTAGTGGTCTAGAAGGTAACACTTTGGCGTTTGAAACTATGGACACTGGGTTCGAGCCTTGGTGGGAACACCATCATTCACTGAGGGATGCGGGTACGTTCAGTGACGAGCCTCAAATAGGACGAAATGCGCGTCCTTGTTGGATTCCACTGCTAGTAGTCACCATCCACCAATTGACTGCAAGTTACATAACCAGACATCGTTGAAGCATCTGCACAAGGAGCCGACAAGTCAACCTGACACCGAGCACTTCAGTCCACTCAATCGTTGCGGAAATCTAAACTGAATTAAATATTTTTCGAATTGTTTAGAATATTAAATTAAATAACTGGCAAAAATATCTTGTTTTTGTAAAAATATTTTTTGTTTTTGTTTTTAGAACTCAATGATTTCATGGATCTGGTTTCTACGGGGACTTTTTCTGTAAGTTCGAATGGTATTGTTCTACTTTTCAAAAGAAAGAGGTGACTGAAATGTTTAATCCTCATTATTCAAAAAATCCTCACTACTTTTAGAGAATAATACTTTCCTTGGTACAAATTTTGGTGCTTTCTTAGGGAACAACGACTCGGTGGTGTATTGGGGACATGATATCCGGATGGCCGTCGACCATAGGACTGCTCAGCAGTCCTCTCTGTCCTTTAGGGCTGTGAGATGAAGACATGAAAAGGCTAGTTGTCTTTGATCATAGATGTCTGCGTTCTATCTCCTGTGTTTAGTGGTATAATAGGGTGAGCAACATTAAAGTTAGGCATCAGTTGAGTGCTAAGTAAGTAGGGGAAATCAATCGACGACGAGGTTGTGAAGTTACACCGATTGGAATAGTTAGGACATGTGTTACGCACGCATGCCTAGCCATTGGCTTCCTCGGCAATGGGCAACGTTAGCTGACATAGGATGGATCAGGTTGGAGAAGAGTGGATTGGTGGTCAAACCAAAACGTGGCTTATTCAGTCAGTGAAATCCACAACAGTTTGTTTAAGCCAGCCAGCTACGTAGCAAGATGCAGACTTCCCGACTCGTTGGGTTCTTCAGGACGATAAAAACCAATGAAGGTTGGATAAAATTAGTGATATGGCTCTAAATCGTTCTCAATGTCTGGCGCAGATGCATTCATATCCATATCATATCCAATAAAACTCTACTGTTCTTCGATAATACCATTCTTCTTTCGTCACTCACACTTCTTTTTATTATCTCTGTCCTCTCTCTTTGTGTGCTAAACGGAGGGAGAATGTCTACTTGAACTGATGCACATCTGCGCAAAGTTCTACGTTGAAACCAGTCAGTCAAGTATATTGCGATGCAGAACGACTAGTGGGTTAATGTATGAACCTGAAATATATACGCATCAGGGGTGGTTTCTACCTTTCATGACGATGAAAATAAAAATAGCTTGACTACAGCTCGACTACTAACGAATTACCGTTTTCTCTGTCCTAGTACAAGGAAATAAATAAAATATATGGTAATCTATGATCATTATCTAAACCTTCTGCTACCGATGTATTAAGGGAGAAAATCTTTACTGAATTTTTTTCATCTGAAAGTGTTTATAATAGTAGAAGCTTGTAAACTCACTACCCCTCACTTGACTTCGAACCCAGGACCTTAAGATTACGTGGTACGACGGTTGACCGTTTAACTAGTGGGATGGAATCTAATGGTCCATTCTGACTTCTTCCTATTTGTGATACTTAGCGTCACAGTCAACGACTATCGTCGGCGAGTATTTGTCCCCACACCCCACTGGGAACGATTTCTTACAAGAACTCCAGGTAACTTCAACTGCTAACCAGTCACTAATGACCATTAGATTAATTTTGAAGTGTTAGTTTGATGGGTTCCAAGTTTCGATTCCCTGTCGGGTCCTGTGTGCGTGCTTCTGCTGAGTCTGTGCTCATACTAGACTAAAAATAGCTTCTGAGTACTCCATAGTTTTCACTGTGGTTCTCTAACTGATGTCAACTCATGGTCTACCCGGAAGCCAATCGGATCACTGCAAACCAACACTTAAAAAGTTAATTCTTTCAACATTTAAAGCTGTCTACTTTTAACTAGTAAGTAGTTGAAGTTTTCCAATTTAATTTTCATGTGAATCATTATATTCGTTCTTTGCAGTGAAGACTTCAATTATTTATGCTCAGTATGTTTTGATCTCGGTTTACTTTGTTATTTATCTTTTTTGTTATTAATTTAGGAATCTGATAACTTGTTAATGAATGAAGCCAAAAAGCATGAATATCATCATGACCAAATAGACTTACCAATTCGAAGTAATGAATTACTGACGAAGATTGTGAATAATGAAGTTAGAAAGGTAATTCTCTACTTGAATTGTGGTTTGTTTTTTTCATTTTCGTTGGCGTTCGTTTGATTTGTAAAGTTCACTTCACCAACAGAGATCAATTGGAGAGCCATTTGAAACCAAGACAGATTGTACAGGGGTTGCGTCTTATTACAAGAAACCTCGGCAAGGCACATTATGACGTCATATAGGATCCAAACCAATACTGTCGGGATGTGACCAATTAGTTGCCGAGTGTTGCCTCCTCATTTCGCAATAGTGACACAGTTATAAACCAATGTGACCAGTAGCTGTTTTTATCCTCATAGATTTATATCGATTTGCTCATAAGCATAGTTGGTGTACTTTAGATGTCACTGTCTTCTTATACCATAATATTGTCTTTAGTTTAGAGAGAGATGCCAAATATGTTCAGTATGCCTTCTTGGATTACACATCTGCCTTTGACTCTGTATCTAGACCTCTTTTGTTAGACAAGCTTGCTGCGTCACAAGCACAGTGGTGGATTACCAAGTGGTTGCATTCCTATTTTTCTGATAGGAAGCAGTACATTGTTTACAATGGGAGGTCCTCCAGTGTTTCACTTACAATATCTGGTGTTCCTCAGGGAGCTGTTCTTTCTCTTTTTCTGTTTTCCTTCTTCTTATATGACTTACCCCAGTCTGGTATGAAGCCAATTTTGTTAATTATGTTGGCAATCTGATTGTTTGTATGCCGGCGGCTACTTCTCAGTCAAAATGTTCCAAAATGAATAACTTTTTATCAGAAATTAGTCAGTGGTCCCTGTCAAATGGTCTCAGGCTAAATCCCTCCAAATGTCAGGTGGTTAATTTCACTTTAAGGCGCAAGGGAGACTTACATGAACTGGTTATTTCTCACGGTTCCATTATCATAGTTGGCACTAAAGTTGAAACCAAATCGAATGTTCAATACCTTGGACTGTGTATTTCCTCTGATCTTTCCTGGCCTTCCCACATAATGTTAGTTTCTGGGACGGTATTTCATTCTACGTTCTAGGAGTGAGGGAATTAAGTTAATCTGGTATCGCTTAGTTTCTAATTTTACAGTTTGTTAATTCTTGTATCCTAACCTATCCTTCTTTATTGTTCCCCTTTAATCTTTCCTGAGTTACTTTTAAGAAAGATTTTATGACATTTCGAAGGGCACTAAAAGCTGTTCTATGTAGACACATGGACTCACGCAAGAAATTGGCGACTACTATCTTGTCGAACTCTGAGCATCCTGTCTATACACAACACTGTTTCCTTGCATCTCATCAAGTAGGTAGGACTAGAGGTAGCTATAAAAGACTTTGTACTTGGGCAACTGAGTATGAAACTCTGCAATACCTAATCTGGCACATATCTTTTGTGTGATGAGAAAAGTGTAAGACATAACACTTACTGTGAAATACTAAGTAAACGGCCCTTTTTATTCTACCGTTCATTGATATATTATCGTTAATATTTCCAGTTAAATTTAATTTTTATTTTCATATTCTCATTTAATAGTGTTATCAGTATAAATGCCTTGTTTTTTAATTAATACCTTTGTAATGAGAAAATTAGATGCCATACTGTACTACATGTTGACAACTCCATATTTGTATCAAAAGTGCTGTTTAGAATAACGCCATTATTTCGATAGAGAAAGAAAGACCAGATTTGCAGTATAAAATGATATCATTCTATCTCATAGGTTCTCATCAGCTGCAAACTACCTGAAATTACATTGCTTGTAAATAATAACATTTCATACTTCATTGTTTGAAAGGTAGTAAAGAAAACATTATAAGATGAACGAATCCGGAATATAAGTATTACAATTTATAGTTTAAGTTACCATCAATTTATATGCTATCAAACTATGAAAGAAAAAACGGGGCTGAGAGACGACAGAAAACAGAAAAATCTAATAAACAGCATTAGCTTTTACGTCAACATGGCAACTCAAGAAGGTTAAAGTTCATCAAAGTGAAAACTTGCTTAGTGAGCTAAGCTCACTAGTGTGTATGACTAATCAGCGTAATGAGAGTAATACGATTACCAAGGGAGTGAGAGATTGACTACACTCTCTGTCTGTGTGCATAATTTTGGTCTGAAACGTTTAATTGCAGTTGCTTCAGCAAATCGTAGTAGATTTGCTGTCGTTTGTGTGTCTAATATTTTGAAGGATTTGGAAATTTCGACGAAATGACCTGTCTAAATGTTAGAAGGGAAACTGTCGAATTTAGTGATAAAACGATGACAGGCTGGGTTTCATCATCGAACTTTGCACGAAAGTCCCATTATGGGTATTACACTCTACCACAGTGCACAAGTTTTATTCTTATATCAATTTGCACGAAAGTGCAACAGTCCAAGTCGCCACACTCCACGTAGCACACACAGTGGTAGAGAAAAGAAAGAAAATGAAGATTCAAAAGAACTATAATGTGAAGAAATCTGTACGGAAGAAATAATGGTAACATGGGAAAACATGACGGTTTAGTGAATATGGGAGATCATAAAGAATGAATACATCTGCGCCACTGACAACGATTCTCAGCCAAATCACCAATAGTCTCCAGCCATTAGTCCTCAGCATCACGAGGACCTCAACTAGTCAGGGGATCTACATCTCTCTACATGGCTGGACTGACTCCAGGTTTTCCTTCTACTACCTCTAACTGTTTCCTAACATAATCCCATGTCACCTAACACTTCCCATCGGGGAAGGCGATTGCTAGACCATGCCTAACACACGTTCTAGGCGTCTTAATCGATGTAGATTTACAACTTCCTCGATTGACTTTCCCTCTTAACATAACACTCAACGCCTAACCTCAATATTACTCACCCTATTATACCACCGAACATAGGTGATAGAATGCACACACCTATGATCAAAGACAACTAGCCTTTTCATGTCTTCCACTTTCAATGGGCGTGTCTCACAGGCATAGAGGAGGACAGAGTCCAGTATACACGTATTTTGACCGATAATCGGATACTATCTCTACTCTGTAGATGATGTCAGTTGACAAGTGCCACACTAACCTTTTGAATCTGTGGTGTGATTGTGTTAACAGTCAGTCCATTGGGGGTAATACAATCTCCCAAATAAGTGAATCGGTCAAAGTACTCTACCAAACCCTTTTTCAGTCCCAAAGCGGCATCTTATACTTCACAGGAGCGAACCGCATTCCAAACATCCCAAGAATTCTTCCCAAAGTGTTTAGACGACTGTATTTTATCAGTATATTCACCTAGGGCAGCTGTATCATCCGCTTACTCTAAGCCTAAGTCTGTTTTCTAGTAACAAATCAATCGGTAAGTTGTCAAAATCAGTTAGGATCAATTCCATTAGTACTTCTTTGGTGAAATTAGATGAAAATCGAAACATTGGGTATCCGTGACGAACATCTTTGGTTGTCATCACTTCTGATGAATACTCTCCATGAGCTGTTACACGATTACTTGGGATATGCGATCCCGACCACCAAGTCAAGGTAACAGCTATCACTTGGGTAATCTACGTTAGGATCGAATGTCTGGTTTACAGATCATGTGGCGAATACTGACTCATAATGTGTTTCCTCCTGTCATAACACATTCATGCTAAAATACTCAAGCAAGGCGTATGAAGGTCCTACTGCTTGAAAGCGAAGAAATGAATTTTGATAATTATAATGATTTCAAAAGAATCACAGTATACCTTTTAAGATTGTAGTTTTAGTTAAGTCATGAAGTTATACTTTGCTGGAACTCAAACTTTCTCTCCATCTTTCCTTCATGAAATCATATTGTAACGACAGAAGACAAGGGCCAGGCAACAGATCGTCTGTTGAGAAAATCAACAGATATTTATAGATTTTTATGTACATTATTATTCGTTATTGTTAGCAGAGAAGCAGCGTCTTCTGATTGGTGGTTTTCCTGCTGAAGGTCACTCCGTTATCTCTTTGTTGCCGTTTCTTACACAGTCCGTTAATATATCTGCTAATCGTATTCGCCCACGCAAAGTCTGCTGTGATTGGTTGTTAAGTTCCTCAAGGTTAGGCTTCGTTGTTGTTTTATCACGTGACACCGATTCGGGACGTAAACATTCACGTCAATTGCTGTCTATCAATTTAGCCTTGCAGACACAGCTCTCACCACAATTTGAGTCACATTTATCTATAAATGTCCTGTAAATTTAGTGAGTTTATTCACCTTTTCGTGGTGTGATTTTTATCTCTGAGCTGGATGGTTTCATTGTCCTTTAAGGTAACCTCTTAAGCACTTGCCTCGCATAGCTCAGAGAATACAACCACACCAAAAGTATTCATTTATTTCGGTTAATATATTTTCCATTATTTAAATGTATTTACCATATTTTAGCATGTAACATGAACTGTGAATTATGAATTTTTACTTTTCAGATTCATCCGACTACTTTTACAACACATGAAAAAGATCCTGTTCCAAATTCACTAACTTCAACAACTGAACATCGATTGCTGAACTTAGAAAGTCAATTAAACTCTTTAATTACTTTACAATTATTAAGGATTCATCAAACAGAATCTGATCAGTCTAGACTTTCTTGTAATACACATCAAGCAACATTGGAAAATTGTAGTAGTAAAGATAATTCAGCAAATGTTACATGTCAACAAAATGAATCTAACCCTTGCAATGTAAATAATTCACTTGCGGAAACCCATAAGGAGTCATTACAACACATTCCAGAAAAGGAGGTGAGCAATGTTTCTTAGTCTTACTTGTTTGTTGTTGCAGTTTCACTGATGTCAGTATGATTACTATTCATCTTTTCTGTGGGCTATGTGTGTACAGTTTTTCATCGGTTATTCTCCTATATATAAGGAACCTTGTCCAGGTAAAAGATCGAATCCCTAAGGATTCTCTATCTACAAAATGAAATGCTTGGAATGTGATGCGGTATACATAGGACAAACATCGCGAAAAATCAAAATCAGAAGAAAATGAAGAAGTAAACGCACTCCAACAAATATTTAGACTTCAGGTCATCACACCTCATCAACGCCAAGGTGTCAGTTGTTTCAAGTCTCCTCAGACAAGCATACTCTCTGATGCTGACGAATGAGAAGAAGAAAGAAGAAGAAATATCAAACATTACTGAGACTCTGAAGCAAAGTAACTACCCAAACAACTTCATCTACAATGTCAGCACTGACATTAAATATGGTCGAAAACGTATCCTGAAAACATGGGCCTCAACAGTTGTCATTGCATATAGATCAGAGACGTCAGACGATATGAGAAGAGTACTCAATAAGCACAACATCAGAGTTCTATTCAAAACATCAGACATACTACGAAGAAACCTTGTTCATATATTAGACCAAATCACTAAGGGTTCTCTATCTAATTGTATCTGCAAAATAAAATGCTGGCTTGGAATGTGATGCGATATACATCGGACAAACATCGCCAGAGAGGAGTCGAAATCAGAAGAAATGAACACCGTAGAGCATCTGTTCGACCATCGGGAAATAAATCCAGTTGTGAACTATAAAAGTTTGAGAAATCATCAGCCATAGGTCTACATGATGCTATAAAATCAGGTCACAAAATTGATTTTGACAATACTGAAATCATACGGGAAAATTTCAGAAATCAAAAAGAACGTCTCACATTATCAGAAGCACTTCATATGAAGTGGAATCCAAATTGTCTGGTGAATAGGAATGATGAACTAAAACAGAATTTAACCTGATTACAACTCCCCCCCCCCCCCATGAAATGACACAATCAACACGAATGTGATAAACAATTTCATTATGTGAACACATAATGCTTTTATAATTTTATACACTTATCAAATCCAACAATCTACACCTGGTTTTGTTATCTTTACTACAAAAATAACCCCATGCTGAGGAACGATGATTAAGTTGTTATTTATAAGCTGAGTGGATATTGTAAATTCTGGTTTAGTACTACTACTTTGATAAAGCTATTAGCAGCAGCGTTAAATAGCGAAACATCAGTACACAAAACAATATTTTGTTTTTCATTCTTTGGAAAATACAAAATCTTTTATTATAATCAAGGAACCTACCATGTCAAACTACCAAAGAAAAGTGAATTAGTCATGCTCTCATCCTCACCTAGCAAGATATGAAGTCACATCATACTCGAGACACTAAAGGATCTCCAGGATGTAGAACTGCACTCGGAACAACCGGGATCAAGGAAAAGCAGATCATGTGCGGACCAAATTACAACTCTATGTATCACATCATTGAACAGAGCGAAGAGCATGGGAGTCAAATCCCTACTCCAAATTCTTTCATTCTGAAAAGGCCTTGTACAGCGTTGACTGCGAAGTGATTTAGAAACTACTCCAGATCTGTGAAGTGCCTCTGTAGTGTCTCATATCTTTATCAGATTCATCCAACAGCTATATGACAATTCCACATGTCAGGGGATTCACAACTGAAAACTCAGAGAAGCCTTCGAAGTGAGTACAGGAGGAAGACGGCAGTGCCTACTATCAAGCACTATGGTATTCCTGGTTGCGGTGGACTGGATTGTGCGTCAGACTGTGGACAGTGAGAAGACAGGAATACTTTGGGAATTGTCAGTTTAAATACTTCGGTATTCAATGAAGAGTGCCAAATGGTTTGATTTAAATTGCGCGGAGGGATTTAGGGTTTATGCTGGCTTTCCCTTACTAATTATCAAAAATATACATATTTATATTCTCAAGTTTTTATATGGCCTTTCATTTTGTTCATTCAAACTTCTTATTTAGGTCTCCAATAAGAAACATCCTACGGAACCGAAAACTCAGTCTGATAATGTAACTTCTCAACTAACAAACGGTATGTAATCATGTTCTTTTTCATCAGAAAATACACCTATCTATTAAAAAACATAACTTTTAAGGAGAACTTTCTATGATACTGCTGTTATACAAAAATCATTCATTCTGATGCCTACTTTGTGGTCAGAATATACTTAGAAACAATGGCTTCCACATGTTTAGAAAATTTAGCTTTGTTTGGTGACTGACTGACTGGTTTCAACATAGAACTTTTCACCGATATGCAGTAGTCTGAGTGGTCTGAGGCTTTTCATATCTTCCACTTTCAATGGTCATGTCTCTCTCACAGCCATAAAGGAGAACGGAGCGGACTGCTGAGCAGTACACCCGCCCTTTGGTCGATAACCGGATATCACGTCTACTCCAGAGATGGCGTAAACTGGCATATGCGGAACTAGCCTTCTGTATCCGTGCTGAGATTTCGTCAGAGATCAACCCGTTGGCACTGCCTGATGCAACTTCTCAAATAAGTGAAGTGGTCAACGCACTCTACCACTTCATTCTCTGTTTCTAAGCTAGGAGTCAGTGTAGTCCAGTCCTGTAGTTTCATCTTACATTTGACAAGGGGAGCGAATTGCATGCCAAACATCCAGAGATTGCAACTCAAGGTGTTCAGAAGACTCTGCATCTTGTCAGCGTCTTCACGTAGTAGGGAGGACTATATCATCTGCATATTCTAAGTCAACGAGATTATTCCCTGGTAGCAAGTCGACCCCTGAGTCGTTGAAGTCACTTAGGGTTAAGTCCATTAGTACATCTATGGTGAAATTGAATAGAAACGGGGATTGTGTGCATCCCTGTCGGACACGATTAGTTGTCACCAGTTCAGATGACAACTCACCGTAAGCTCTTAAGTGGCTGCATGAGTTCGAGTGGAGTGCCTTGATTAGTGCAATGTGTCTTCTCGGCATTCCCTTCACAGCCAACCATCGCCATAGTTCCTCTCGGTTGACGGAATGGAATGCCGCTTTTAGGTAAAGAAATATAACTATTGTTGGACGTCGGTATGAATGCCTATGTTCCAGAATCTGTCGAAGGGTGAGGATATGATCAATACACCCTTTTCATGGTCTAAAGCCTGCCTGGTGCTCTCATGTTTGTTCCTCCTGTGAACCACCAAGTATACACATGATTACTGAGCCTAGAACTTTAGATACCATATTGGTCAAGCTAATCCCCCTGTGATTATCAGAGGAAGACTTGCCTCCTATCTTGTAAATCGGAATAATCAGCGACTTACACCAAACCGACGGGACTTCCTGTGGTTCCCAGACCTGCCTAGTACCTTAGTTAACGCAGAGGGTAAACTGTCTCCACCGTACTTAAATACCACAGGAGTCATTCCATCAGGTCCTGCAGCTTTGCCTCGTTTCAGACTAGTGACAACTTTCTTTGTTTGGTAACATTTCATCTGTTAGCACCAATTATGACCCTTTACATTTCATACTTGGTGGTTTTAGCGTTTGACTCTCAGCATGTGAGTGTCGCTTTGTAGGATACTTCACAGTTGGAGAATGGACATGGAGAAAGCGTGTGTCTGTTGTGGGGGGGATTTTCGTCCGGATGAGATGTGGGCAAAATGCAACATGAAATACCCTTCTTCCCCACGTCTGCAACGAACAAATTACCAATTTTTTCCAACGTTCCTCATGTCCCTTCCAGAGATACCCCGCTTGGATCTGCATACTATTCAAACAACTGTCTGTTGTTGAGACCATTTTGATTTGACTAGCAGTCACTATTGGTTAGTGTGAGTGGATTCCAACTACTCACTAACAGACAGTAGTATGCACCATCGCTCAATTTCACTTGCTTTCTTGATTGCCAGACCACATTTCTTATCTAAAGGATTCTGTTGTCCAAAGAAGACTGTGGTAAATTATCATCCTGAACTGTATAATTAGCGAATTGCATATTTGATTAAATTCCAGAGTAACTTGTACTCTTCATCACCTTCAGCAGTTTTGGTACTTAGTTATTTTTTTCCTACATATTTGAAATGTTTGTTCCGTTGATCAGTTTCTTTAATGAATCAAACTTGTGCCTTTTTATGCTATACAGAAAATCAGTCATCTCATCATCACCATCATCATTCCTGCGTGGAATCTCATAAGACCTCAACAAACAATATTCCACGATCAACTAAGCCAACTCAGAATGTAGACAATGCTTTATCGAAAACAAGGAGAGTAACTGTCAATGAAAATCCACCCGGTGCTCCAATAAAGTTAACATCACAATCTTCCAGAAAAATGGCTCATCAGAATACAAGTGATAAGAAAACGTAATTATTCCTCTCTTTTTGCTTTAAATATTATTTATTAGTTCGATATACAGTTTAGTGAATGACGTTTGTTATACAAACCAAGCACTAAAACATTTTAATTTTCTTTATACTTTCTTTATACAAGATGCATTAAAAATACTTTTCTGAAGTTTAATTGAAATGTAGTCATATATATGAATAAAATCTAACAGACATATTTTCCCTCGATTCTATGGTAGACCGAAACTACACAAACCAAACATTCCCTTATGACCAATCGTTTCGCTCCCAGGAACACCAAAATATAATCTATCTAAAGAACTTTTCAGGAAATTAAATTACCTAACAGAATCATGCAACCATTCTATCAATTCGTCAATCCATCCAATTTTTAGAGAAAATCGAAAGCATTCAAGTAGAAGACAATGAAATAATGGTGTCCTTTGATGTCACAGCATTATATACTTCAATTAGTCCAAAACTAGCAACAGAAACTATACAACAATTACTCTATAGTGATGAAAACATAAAAACGCAATGTTTAACTTGGATAGAACTCATAAAATTATGCCTTCCAAATTACTTCCAATTCAATACTCAAATAGATGAACAAATAAGAGGAACACCAATGGGGTCGCCCTAATCAGGATTAATAGCTGAAGCCGTTATGCAAAGATTAGAATTAATAGCTCTACCTATAATTAAACCGAAAATCTGGAGACGTCACGTTGATGATTTATTTGTAATAATTAAGAGAAATGATTTAGAATATACTCATAAATTAATAAGCAACATATCTGAAGACATCAAATTCACCACGAGAGAAGAAGAATTAGGTAACAAAATCCCATTTTTAGATGTCTTGATCAAGAGAAGCAACACAGGAAATTTAGAAACACAAGTATATAGAAAATCAATTCTCAACTATGCTAGCAATAACCCAATTACTCAGGAAAAACAGTGTGCGGACATTGTTTGAAAGAGTTCAAACACACTGTAGCACTACAGTGTTGAAAAGAATGGAAGAAAAATACCTATTAACGGTCTTCAAAAAGAATGGATATCCTCAAAATTTCATCAAAAAGTGTTTAAAATAAAATCACTACACCAACAAGGAACTATTATCAAAGGACACAAAAAAATTCATTCTACCATACATGAGGAATATCTCTGAAATAACAGCTAGAATACTGCAACCGTTTGATATAGATAAAGCACACAAGCCAGTCAAATCGCTTAATTCGATATTATGCAAACCCAAAGATCCGACAGAAAAAGGAGATAAGATTAATACCATTTACAAAATAAATTGTATGAACTGTAACAGGCATTACATCGGCCAAAGTAGGCGTCCCCTTCGAATCAGAATCCAAGATCATAAATCAGCCGTGAAAAGACACGATATGTATTCCCTAGTATCAATGCATATAGACAATTGTGGACATCAATTTGATTGGGATCATGTCAAAATCTTAGACAGAGGGAACACGAAAAGTGCCAAAGAATTCCTAGAAGCCTGGTACTCAAACAAAAATGCAATTAAGTAACTTGAAAATATCCCATTCAGTCATATAAGTACTTTTTCATTTTGTTATGGTAGCCTTCTCTGAGCTAGGTGGTCCAACTGTGAAGCTTTCATTTTTGTCCTTCCAGTTCAGAGAATGCAACTGCATCGAAATCATCCACTCGAGCTACAAATATTCTCCAGTACATTTTCTATACATGTACTTTTTTTCCAGTTGCCACAATTCTCAGCAGTATACAAGATAAACAGAAATAGGAAGCTATTGAATAAAAGTGTGTTTCGCATGTCAAGCCATCGCCTTCCTCGATAGGCAATGCTAGTCGACATAGGACTGGGTTAAAAAACAGTTGTAAAATAAAAACCTGGGATCATCCAATGAAGTCTTTGACAGTTGTTTTGAGGTGCCCACGCAGGGAGGTGTAGAGTGCCAGTCTGGTTGGCATCCTCGGGATTCTAAGAACCAATGGCTGGAAACTACTGACGATATGGTTCAAAATCATTGTCAGTGGCGTAGGTGCATTCACTCGTTGTAATCCCACATATCCACTAAACCATCATTTTTTTCATGTTACTATTCTTTCTCTCTCACATTTCGGGTCGATTTAGCTCGTTTAAATTGCCATTTTCTCTCTTTCCGCTTTCTTAATGCGCTACTATGGTGTGTGAGAACTTGAAGTGTTGCAAAGTTTTATCTGGAAACTCAGTTAATCAGGCAAACTGATGTATTGAAACTAATTCTCTTCTCTGTAATCGTTTAAAAAAAATTCTTCTTATAATCTAAAGTCGTGTGCATTGGAAATGAATAACTGGAAAGCAATACGTTCATGCTATATCAACTATTAGAATTGTGTCATAATTATCTCGTCATTATTATGCACTAATCGATTGCTAAAGTCTAATCTCTACCTCAACTTCGTCGATTTTAAAAAAGCCTTCGTTAGCTTTGACCGTGAAGTTATTTGGAAACTACTTCAAAACTATGGAGTTCAGTGCCCCAGATCTTTATCAGGCTCATTCAACAGCTGGCTATACGAAAATGCCACGTGTCAGGTGATCCACAATGGGAAACTTAGTGAGGCGTTTGAATTGAATAAAAGAGTAAGACAAGGCTGACTATTATTACTGATAATATTCTTAATTGTGGTAGATTGGACCATGCGAAAGATTTAAGGGAGCGAGAAAAGAGGAATGCGTTGAACTAACATGAGGACTGTAGGAGATTTGGACTTCGCGGACGACTTGTGTCTAATGTCAGATAAATTCGAAGACTTGCAGGCGAAAACTAACAAGTTGACAGAAGCGGCTGTATGACAGCGAAGACAGGACGTCAAGTGAACATAGAGAAGATGGAGGTGATGAAGATAACCAACCAACAACAACAACAACAAAAGCCAGCACCAATCACCATCAACGGTAGAGATTTCTCAGAGGTTACTTCCTTCACTTACTTAGGAAGCATCATTTCAGCTACAGACGGAACAGATCAAGATGTCGAAATCAGAATCGGGAAGGCGTGACACAGACCTTCATCACTCTCTAAACTCAGTGTGGAAATCTTCTGCATAAAGAAAAAGGGTCGGATTTTCAATATATCAATCTTAAGTCAGTCATTGCTTCTGTATGGGTCAGAAACTTGGTGCGTCACGAAAAACGTTCGTGACAAGTTGCAGACATTTATTAGCAGTCCTCTTTGCTGTATATTGAAGATAAAATAGCTGGTTGGTCGGAAAGAATCAGCAACGAGAAACTCCGGGAATGAACCAATCAAGAACCTATTGCTCAACATATATTCTGAACTCAAATAGGAGGTGACGAGTTGCACATCCGAGGCTGAAATGCAGAAGAAAGATCGTGTGAGGAGGACGTGAAAGCCAACATTTAAAGGATATCAACCTGTCTGTCTTTTGATTCATTGGGCATAATAAACTAAAGGTCATTGACTTCCACAAGTGGTATTATATCCTCTTCAGATGACAGTTAACTGTTTTGAACCTAATTCCGCTCCGATAAGCATTGTTTTATCATCGTTGCTGTTATTGTTATTCATCCTTCACAATCCCAGTGAAGCATCCGGCCTCAGCGTCATGCTATCCTATGCCATCACTTTCATCTGGCTGCGCGAGTACCCACAAGCATGCTTTTCTTTCTTCAGATGATCTTCTCTGTGTCACTTCATATTAGTTTGTTTATCAGGTGTATCACACAGTGAAACAGTATTATTTACTGGGTGACACTTCGAACACAATTTATTGTGCATAATCATTTCATCAATTGTGATCACACGACTTTGAAACTTGAGTTTTAGAGTTTTCTTTGTCTTCTTCCTATTTGTCGCCGTCGGAGTAGTAGAATTTTCCAGATATCTGCCTGGACAGGTGTTGAATCATTCCTATTACATGTATTTGCAGTTGATTGGATAAACAAAGCTTTTGTTATTAATCTCTCCCTCCATTCATCCTGTGATATTAGATTTTAAAGCTGTAATTACATATAGTGAGTGCTATAGCTGAACTATTCTCTAGATTTCTTATCTTATTTGGGTCAACCAATCTCGATTTTGCTAAATTTTTATGTTCGGTTAGTCTGACTGCCCCTGCTCTACTAGTTTGACCTATGTATTTGACCTGACAATCATTCTCTGTGTCAACTTTGAACGGCGAAATCGTGGTTAACCATTCAAGTTCCAATCAAGGGCCTAGTGTGTGATGTAACTTAAGTATCTCCTTAGCGTACATCTAATTGGCTCGTTCGCTGCCTGTTATTGCTTATCTTTTCTGACTGGCCGTCAGTCTTCAGTATCGAGAGAAGACGGGTGTTGATCAAGTCAAGACTATGTATGGGAATAAATAGTGATTCCCTGACTTAGTGTTTCTCAGATATAAAACATAAAATAATCGAGCAAAGAATATTCTTTTCGATAAATTCCTCTTCCGGCTCTACAATTATATATGCATGTTTATATACACAGAATATTCTAGATTAGTAGTCAATAACAATATTAGTGTCTTTTAAATAATGTCGATTTGTTAACTAAGATAACAGTGGAATTACAGTTGATTAAAGATGCTTAAATTATAATAATAATAATAATAAAAAAGATATACTAGCGAATAGAATATCAACTAAAATTAGGAAGATTCCACAAAAATTCATGATCATTCAAACCTAGATGGCCAAGGTAAGGACAGTGTTGGAACTAGCTTCTTTTCGACACATAAATTAGGCTTCTTAATGTGGATCCCAGCAGCTGGCCTCAGCAATATTAAGTGAACGAACTCTTAAGGCGGAATTGAGATTTGTTGGTATGCGGTTTATGACTCTGAAAGCTGCTTGGTTAACATCAGTCTTGTGTTCTGTATCCACAAGATGAGATAGAAAAGTGATACGAATCTATTTTGCTTGTCCTTCGCTTAACCACTGTGCAGAGTGATGTTCGGAAATTTGACGAGAAACACGCCTAATTGTACGGCCTGTATAAATGGTTCCACAGGAGCAGTTAAACTGGTAGATACACATGGAAGAGGCGAAATTAGGCAGTTTGTCTTTTACTCCCGAACGAAAATGTAGGGGTGGTTTTGAAGACACAGCGTAATCCCACTGTGATCATACTTTACAAATCGATATTATTTAAAAAAAACCGATATTGTTATTGATTACTATTCTAGAATATTCTGTGTATAGAAACATATGTATAATTATAGAGCTAAAAGAGGAAATTATCGAAAAGGATATTCTTTGCTGAATTATTTTGTGTTTTATAGATGTCTGAATGAATATTTCTCAGATATCTCAACCGACGGACAACTGAAATCTAGAAATTTGTCTGCATCTTCATTACCTTTTCTTCATCTGCATTCTGGTAACCTAAGAACAAGTTAGGTAGTGTCATATCAAGATTTTGATTAAAAAAAAATAAAACTATTTCACTGTAACATTCTGTTAAATAATTTATTTTGTTCAATGTTTAAATTATTGTGTTTTTGTTTTAGTAAACAGGATACACTAAGAAAATTGAACTCAACTCGATCAAATAGTCAAGATGTTCAGTGTAAGAGTGTTCAAGGTAAGATGTCATCAAACATTATCATTATTATTATCTCCAGCTATCGACCAAAGGGCGGGTGTACTGCTCAGCAGTCCGCTCCGTCCTCCTTCATGGCTGTGAGACCTGGCCATTGAGAGTGGAAGTCATGAAAAGTCTGGCTAGCTGTCTTTGATCATAGGTGCCTGCGCTCTATCTCCCGTGTGAAGCGGTATAATAAGGTGAGCAATATTGATGTTAGGCTTTGGTCGAGTGGTAGGTAAGGAGGGGAAATCAATTGAGTGAGATGGATATATATATATATATATCCATAATAAAAAAGTTATTGTTTCAGATATCTGTAATATATCTGTATAACACAAGATTGACGTTAACCATGCTTTCAGAGTCATTTGTCGCATACCAACAGATTTCAATTTCGCCTTAAGGGTACGACTACTAAATATTGCTGAGGCTGTGGAGATCCATATTAACAAACCCAATTTATGCATCCAAAAGAAGTTAGTTCAGACATTATCATTACCTTCGCCATCTAGATTTGAATGATCATGAATTTTTGTGGAATCTTCCTAATTTTAGTTGATATTCTATTTGCTACTATATCTTTATTGTTATTATAATCTGAGCATCTTTAATGAACTGTGATTCCATTGCGATCTTACTTTACGAATCGATATTATTTAAAAAGCACTAATATTGTTATCGACTACTAATCTAGAATATTCTATGTATAGGAACATATATATAATTGTAGAGCCGGAAGAGGAATTTATCGAAATGGATATTCTTTGCTCAATTATTTTGTTTTTTCTAAAAGGTATTGTTATTGAAAACATAAATGGCTTTTAAAGCAACTTCAATTCAAGAGTTGGTTTGCAGAGATTTGATTGATCAGGAGTTGAATTCAGTTGGAGAACCACTGAGAAACCAAGGAGTACTCGACAGCAGTTTTCGTCTTAGTTTAGGACTCCTCATCAGTACGAACCCAATGGGGTTCGAGCACAGGACCTTCTGGTTACACGGCGAGCTTGCAGACCATTAAGCCACAGTGACCTGACCCTAGGTTCGAACTCCAGTGGGTGCCTACCGTTGAGCAGTCCCAAACTAGAAAGAAACAGCTGTCCAGTACTCCCTGGTTTTCAATGGTTCTCTAGCTGATATCAATCCGTGATCAACTCGTAAAAACAAAACATGGATTTAGCTTATTCAAGTGTAATAATAAACAGTAAGGTAATTTATATATGCAGAATGGAATGCCATGCGTAAAAGGCGGACGTTATACAGTATTTATGAATTCGTAGATTCCTCAGCAGGCCAGGTCTAGGAGTTAGTGGTTGAACCTGTTTCTCCTGCACACAGACAGCACCGGTTGTTTTAAACGAATTGAAGTATTCGGTACTTGAATGTTTTCGTCAATTTATCTGATAGCTGATAGGTCATAGAGAAGGACTCTTCAATGCTAGCGCTTTATATCTGGTTTGAACCAGGTCATCTTATATCGACCTGTTGGATGGTTTTCACTACATCTTCATTATTATCTGTGTATTTTATACAATAATAGTTGGTGAACAATATATTCCTGGTCATTTGACAACTAGTTACGCCCTGATGAAAGTTCAATCATCAAGTGATCATGACAAAAGTGATAAATCATTTGGGGTAAGTATGAAATTTTCTTCAATGTTCGATACATTCTCTCTTATTTATTCATTTAACTAATCTTTAAGTGACAACAAATTCGAATACAAATTTCAATATTTGAAGAATATTGAAACGTTGAACAATTTTTTTGTTTTAGCTTACTAAATATCAATAAATTTGATTTTTTTTATTTAGAATCAAATTGTACGCAGAATAGTTAAGAGTTAATGGGGAAAGTTTGTCTTAAATCTAGCCGCGATTTCACTTTAATAATTTGATTAAATGAAGGTTAATTAAGCTAAGAAGTGTTTCGTTTCGTATAACTCCTCGTTTATCATTTCGTACAAGTAATAAAGTTAATACTGACATATCAATGCAACGGTGGTTAGTTGATTAAAAGCAATTGCCAAAAATATCCATAAAGATGTCAATTCAACAGACGCTAATTCAGAATGATCAACAGATTAGTTGTAATAGTGGGAAATAGGTTCCCAATCGGTGAATTTTTTTTTTGGACCTGGGATATGTGGGTAAAAACGTGGGCAGTTTTCCGTTGGAAATTGGGTAAAGTGCGTAAAAGTGGGCTGTTTTCGGTTGTGACATGGGTAAATCGGGAAAAAGTTGACAATATGGGCAAAGTGGGTTAATTGCGTAGCGTTTTAACCCCCCTTTTGAGCACGTCTTTACCGATCAAAAATACCCGTTTTACCCACATTGCCCAGGTGCATTCTATGATTGGGTTATTATGTCGTAGATTGTATAACAGATCACTATTGACTGGCTACGAGATTTGCTTTTTCTGGAGTTCTTATGACAGTTAGAGATCGTTTGAGTTCATCAAGTTGTCTGTGGGGATAACTACTCATCGTTAAAGTCGGATGACGGTGGCGCTTTATTATCTACAACTGATAAAAGTTAGACTTTGTAGGTAATTGAATTCCGAATGATTGCCTGGCTGGATGGTTACATGGTGGCCTAGCAGACTGATAATCGTGGGTCAGATGCTCCCCGGTGGGTTTTGGGTGCGTACTCTTTAAGGGTTATAAAGTAGGAGAAAGCAGCTGCCCAGTGCTACATGTTTTCTACTGATCCTTTAACTGATATCAGCTTGTGACGAATTCTACGCCTACCAACCCATAAATTGAGAACAAACTAACCATTTTGTCATATGAGCGAATATGATTAACAATTATGTTTGAATGGAAAGGTAAAAATCTAAAGGAATAAAAGAAGGGTGGTGAAGCTCAGTCTGTAAGTGTTTTCATCTGTCCGCCAAAAAGTAAACGTAGATCTTAAATTATCTTGATAGTCATAGAAATGAAAATAGTTGTTCTTTTGAATTCAAAGTCGGAAGCTTACCGCTTATATTAAGTGGAATAGGAAGATATGTAATTCATTTGAAAATCGGCTGGTAAATATATTCCAGGTCAATGTCGACTTCATGACTTGATTAATTTGGCTGCACAAATAATGCTTAGTTAGCTGTGGCTAGGAATTCAATCCGCGATATACAACTGATACCATCTAGGACTCATCACCTGGATGTACATGCATGATGGTGTTCTCTCTGAGGTTCGAAAACAGCACATATTGTTTCAAACGCCAAAGTGTTATCAGCCGGGCCGCGTAGAATAACCTTTTGGCGTTTGGGCCATCCAGATGATGCGTCCCAATATTGGTCAAAACCCATATTCCAGATTAAATCTCTAGCTACCACCAACCAGGTAACATCTTCACCTCAAGACATCGTGTAAGCCTTCGTGCTCGAGGCTGGCGTGTTAACAGGGATTGAACATTTCGGTTCAGTGTATAGACAATCAACAGGAAATCTAGGAATAACTTCAACAAATAGTTGCACAAATGTTTAATTTAAAAAAAATTATTGCTTTTTATTATTATTCAATAGTGGCATTATTTTGAACAATGTTTATATAATGTACAGAATTTTTAGCGGAGTTTATTGCGTGATATTTTTCTCTTCATCCAATATTTCCACATAAAAGATTATTATTATTATTGTTCCTTTGAGTTCCGAGAGGAACATAGGGCTTCAATTACTTACTCCCCTTTGTCCTATCTTCTGCCATCCACTTCAGCTGGGTCCACGATTGACCATAATCTCTCATTTCTTACTTACCAAATGATCTCCTCCATGTCACCCTCATACTGAAGACCCATTTGAATTCCACTCGAGAGATGGCCTGGCGCGCGATGTCATTCGACGATCTTCTCAATTTATGCCCGATCAATCCATCTCCATTTTCTACTACATATTTGTTGAGCAGTTGGCTCCTGGTTGGATTGTTCCCAGCTAAAGTTTCTTGTTACTAATTTTTTCTGGCTAGCCTTTTGATCTTCAGTATGGAGCCAGCCAACGAAGGTAGCAGCTGTTGATGAAAGTCAGCACTGGCCTGTTGGAAATGCTTTTCGCGACTCACCTGTCAAGTTTCTGACTCGTACAGAAAGACCAACTTGACATTGATGTTGAAAATCCGAATCTCGTTCCTTATGTTGTGGAGCGCAGAAGATTTCCAAACTGACTTCAGGTTGATGAAGGCATATCTTGCCTTTCTAATTCTTACTTTGACATCTTTATCTGTTCCGTCTGTAGCTGAAATGATGCTGCCTGGATAAGTGAAGGAAGTAACCTCTGTTAAATCTCTCCCGTTGATGGTGACTGGTGCTGGCTTTTGTTGTTGTTGTTGTTGTTGGTTGGTTGGTTATCTTCATCACCTCCGTCTTATCTATGTTCACTTGATGTCCTATCTTCGCTGTCATACAGACTATTCTGTGAACTTGTTGGTTTTCGCCTGCAAGTCTTCGAGTTTGTTTGACACTAGACATATATCATGTGAGAAATCCAGATGTTCTAGAGTCTTCTTACCGGTTATCCAGCGTATTCCTAACTCCTCACTCCCAAGCACAGCCTAACGCATAATCCAGTCCACCACAATTAAGAATATCATCGATGATAATAGGCAGCCTTGTCGTGACCATGGATGAAATTGATTCCCAATGCATTAGGGCTCTGGCTGCCACTGTTGACATCACTATAGCCACTCACTGCCTCAATGTGCTCGTGGTTGTCGTGTGGATGACCGGAGTAGATTATTTACTCTCCCGTTGACAGTGTTGTCAATCCACATCCATTTCATCTGCTCTCGCAAATACCCAGTACTTCTAAGCCATATCTTCGCATCTCTTTGGCTACTTCCCACTCTCGAACATTGTACGGACATTCCAAGTACCTACACTTACTCTTGCTTCCATCGAGAGAAGACACATCGGCTAGCCAACTATTTTCCCGAAGGCTTCACCAGCCCGCGTCATTTCACTTCTACGATTCGAGCGAAGAATAAGATCTTAATTTGAAGTTTTGTATTTTTAATATACTTTCTGTGTGTTGAAGTTTCTCTAGTGGTTTGAAAGATTTAGTGGTGTGGGGTTGATATCCCTATGCCCAATCCCCCCTCTTTACTCTGGCTTGGGACCGGCTAGAAAACTAGTAAGCTAGTTGGCTAGGTGAGATAAAATATTGATTGACAGTAAATCGTGTGACACAGTTCTATTTGACCTAAATCGCAAAAGAATCCACTATAACAATATCTCTTCTTTTCCCCTTCGAGAAATATACGACGATATTTTGTTGAACGCCAGTTATAAAAAGTTCAGGAGTACATTTTGTGAACCAAGAAAACCACTCAGCAACGATCATCTCATGTATAGGGATAAACTGCTATCAAGGATAATGCTTTTTCTCATGTTTAGTAGAAACTTGTGAATCAGCAGGTTGTGAACATTTTAAATACTCACTAGAGTAAACTGTACTGTTAGAGGTAATTTTTTACTAGATTTAAACAAAATGAATAGGAGAAATTATGTACAATATATTGATGGAGGTTTTTCGGTAGCCCAAGTTTTAAACAGGCCGCCAGTATATTTTCTCAGTTAAACATAACAGATGATACTAACGAGTGACGGAATTAATGAATTCGATCGGAGGAGGTAAAGTCGAGTGTTCTGTTGCTGTTTTTTTTTTTAATTTTGGAAATTAAATTGTTGTCACGCCCTGATTTTGACTTCAAAGCACAACCTTGATTCATAGAAGTTGGTGAACAACTGTGTTTGGTACAGTCAGAACATATGAGTTTGAAATATTTTGCTTAGCATTTCATCGGGTTTTGTCTGTATCAAAGAGGTTCGACGCGTAGAAGGTAAGTGCATCAGCTTGTCTTTGCTAATATACCACAAAAGTCCTACACCATTAGAGCAAAACGGAATATAATTCTGTCATTTTATCTTCTTTTACTTTCTGTTGTGAATGGGATCACGAAAATCTGCTGTTATAACATTTTCTACTAACAACCTTATATAAGTGCTGCTTGGTTAGTTAGTTCAATAGTAGTTTGATTCATCAGATTTTCCATAGTATATCCTAACTTTTCTGTTTCTTATTTACCTTACCTGTACAGAAAATTCTCAAGGAGCTTGATAGAGAAAAAATGCAGAGAAAACAAGCTGAACAGTTGTGTCAACAAATGGTTAATAGAATACGTGAACTAGAGACTTCTGGTAAGCTTTTGCCATTGTGGTTTTTCAAAAGAAACTTTAGTTTTATTCGCAATGTACACACTAATAATAATCTGAATCTAGGTTTGTTAAGTGTAGTGTAAAGTGAGGAATTAGTAGAATAAGAAGAACTTTCTTAAACTCATCATCGGTGTCACAGCGGTTAGGACGCTCACCGACCATGCACATGGTCCGGGGTATGATTCCCGGACGACGCACACCTGATATCAATGGTCAACCTGCTAAATCTGGGCTACCGATATCAAATGCTGAAAATTCCATACTTTTATCAAAAATATTGTGCGGAGTCAAGTTGTAATAAAATTTAAAATTTAATTTAAAATACATGCTTTTTATCAAATTTTGGTTAGCAGGGATTTTATTGGTTATACAGGATGGATCACGCACGAGTTGACATCAGTTAGGGGACCATTGGAAAGCCACCAGGGAGTATTGGAGGGTTGTATCGTCCTAGTCCAGGACTCTGTATCAGTACGCACCCATCAGGTTAGACCAATTCATCTCCTGGAACCCAAAAATAGTCATTCACTGGGAATCCGTTAAAAACGCTGACATTACCAAACGGTTGATCCATATTTTTTCAAAAATACCTATTAGATTTGCTGTTATGTTTTGATGTATCACCTTCACTCGCGTCAAGGTTAATGTGGAATGCCCTGAAAACCTGTCATCAGGCACCTATTTTTCTGCGCCACAAATCTGCTACTTATTTTGTTTCACAACTGCTGAGTGTTTCCAGTAAGCCTCAGTGACAGTTGACAAACTGTAATGCTTTTTAGAACCCTGGAATTCCTATTACATGCTATTGTTTACAGTCATTTTTGGGCTTTTTGATCAGTTTATTATTATTCAACTTTCTTTCCTCTAGAATGTAGGCGTTAATTCCAATCCACTAGTCTACAGTCACTAAGAACAACGTTCATTTGTTGACAGTTTCGACATGTTTGACCTGCCAGGTCGTTGTTTCTTGCAGCAACTTCAAAACATTCTTATCTACGTCTACTTATATATATATTACTTCATTGGGTTTTGAGTTGAACATAAAGCTTCAGTAGCACGTCTCAATGTTACTCTCTTCTCTGCATTCATTTTTAGCCTTCGTCTCCTCCTCATAAGATCTCCTCCATGCCACTCTCGGATGTCTGACTCGCCGTTATCGAGTCGGTTTCTACTTGAATGCCTCGCATGCGATGTCACTCAACGGTTATTCTCAGTGCATGACCAGTCCATCTCCATTTTCTACGGAATATTTATTGGGCAATATTTCTTGTTTGATTCGTTGTCTGAGTTCGTCGATTCTAATCGCTTCTATCCACCTGATCTTCCGCATATCAAGTCAGTGAAATCAGGCATTGTTACAAGTCTGCAGTGAACAACTGTGGGAAATGCTTTTCGTGACGCACCAAGTCTGTGAACCGTATGGAAGCGCTGACTTTAGTGTTGAAAATCCGAATCTTGTTCTTTAAGGTTAATGCCGATTCTCACACTGGTTTCTGACTAATGAACGGTTTGTCTTGCTTTTACGATCCTGGCTAGCTTTGACATTCTCATGCATGTTGTACTGCTGTACTGCTCAGTAGTCCGCTCCATCCTCCTTTATGGCTAGCTGTGAGACCTGGCCATTGAGAGTGGAAGACATGAAAAGATTAGCTGTCTTTGATGATAGGTGCCTGCGTTCTATCTCCCGCGTGAAGTGGTATAATAAGGTGAGCAATATTGAGGTTAGGCGTCAAGTGCTAGTTAAGAAGGAGAAATCAATCGACAAGACTGTGAAGTTACACCGATTGAGATGGTTGGGACATGTGTTACGTATGCATGCCTAGTCATCGCCTTCTTCGACAGTGGGCAATGTTAGCTACCATAGGGTCAGGCTGGAAAATAGCTAGCGGCGGTCAAACCAAAACATGGTAGCAGTCAATGAAATCTACAACAGTTAGTTTAAGCAACGTAGGAAGGTGTAGACTTCTTGTTTGGGGTCCTCGGGACGGTAAAAACCAATTGTTGGAAACAATTGGTGATATGGCTCAAAATCGTTCTTAGTGGCTGGTACAGATGCATTCACTCCTTGTGACTTATGATTTCCAATGAAACCATATTGTTCTTCGTTATTACTAATCCTTTGTCTCACACCTCTGTTTACTGTCTTTATTATGCATTTCTCCTACTTTCTCTTCCTTTGTGTGCTACATGGAGTGTGGTGACTTGAACTGCCGCACATCGGTGCAAAGTTCGTTGTCGAAAACAGACAGACAGACATGCATGCTGTCACCTGTAGTTGAAACGATTCTCCATAGATAAGTGGAAAACAGTGACTTCCTTTAGAATTCCCCCACTGATGGTGATTGGTGCTTGTTGTTGTTATTGGTAGTTAGGTATTTTCATCATGACTGTCTTCTCTGTGTGTTTCTTGAAGTTCTATCCATCATTCCTGCCAGCCTCCTCTGTCTACTTGTTGGTATCCGCCTGCAGATTTTCTAATTCGTGTGACATTGGACATAAATCAATAATTGCCAGTGTTATTATTATTATTTATTTGTGTTTCAATTAAGCATTCCTCGAAATATTTCTTGAGAAGTTAGTATAGTATTACTTCAGTACTTTGGTAATGTGGAAATGATTGCCATTCGTAATAATATTAACAACAATAATAATTATCAAATTAACAGTGATAATGGTAATTATAAAGTTTTTATTTCAAGCAGTATTTTCACTGTATCGTTGACTTCTGAGCAATATAATATTACATCTAGTGTTCTATCTGCATTAAATAGACAGATCTTCAAGTATTTGGATCGGATCTCAGTGGATGAATGGTCTACGAGCTCACTTTGTGACCGGAATATCCTGGGTTCGAACCCAGGTGCTGAAGCGTCCCAAACTGGAGCGAAACAGCTGTCAAGTACTCCCTAGTTTTCTAATGACTCTCTTGTTGATGTCAACTCGTGATCCAACTAATAAATAAATCGTAGAAAAGAAATTAATATTAGGTATAATTGACAACATCACATAAATGAGAGGAAGAATAGTTAATAGTCATCCACTCACCTAACGCTTCTTTCTTCACTTGAATTGGGCGCCAAATATGATATTGCTGAGTTTTTCACATGTAATCCTATGAGCCTAAAGTCTTGTCCGATCTCAGGAGGATGTTGTAAATCTTGAACGTTTGCCTCCTTGTGTTAATGTTAGAGTAGAATTTGGTTACTGTGGTGGAACATAATTCCATATTAGATGACACACAGTGATACACTGTATTCACAACTGAATGACGTTTCGAGCCCAATCTATTCCTCATAATCGTATCATGTAATTATATGAGGAATGAATTGTACTCGAAACGTCATCCAGGTATTAATGCTGTATCACTTTGAATTCGTGTAGTTCTTATCTTTCTAATATTCACTGAATTGGATAGTTTAATTAAGAAGGTTTCATTGTATTTCCGGACAACTCCTTGATTACGAAAGCGTAGGAAAAAAAATGGGGAGTTGACTGACCTGTTAACTAGTGCTATCAACAGGGGAGTTCATATGATCTTAGAACTTATTCAAAACCAATGATGTACATGCTGTAGTTTTATTGTGTATGTAGATTTTTCCTGAAAAGTAATCCAAATTAATGGTGATCATTCGAGTTTTTCGTTGTGCGTCAATGGCACAGCGGTAGAATGCTCAGGGTTCGAGGTTCGATCCCCTGTCACCGAGGCACTCCTTTACCTCGCTAAGCTAGTAATAAGACTGGTAAGTGTGGGAGGTTGGGCATGAGGCTAGTAACCCGTATAGATAAATACCACTGCTTCCGAAACTTCAAGCCTCTAGCTTGAAGGCTCCCTATGTTTCACTAGGAACGTAAAGGAATTTTAAAAAATTCGAGTTTTTCGTTGACTTCTTATTGTTAGAATGTTCTGCAACTTTCTATCTTTTTATTGTTTTCGGTTTAAAATCGTTGAATAGCAATAAAATAATAATATACCACTAAATACGGGAGGGAGAAAGCAGACACCTATGATAAAAGACAGCTAGCCTTTCCATGTCTTCTAGTCATAAAGGAGTACGCAGCAAACTTGTGCTTAATACAGATGTTCTTTGATCGATAATCGGGTACTACCTCTACTCTATGGATGATGTCAGTTGACAAGTACAACGCTAACCTTTTGTATCTGTGATGCAATTTCATCAGCAGTCAGTCCGTTGGGGCTAATGCAACCTACCAAATAAGTGAAATGATCAATACGCTCCACCGCTTCACTCCATATCTTTAAGCTAGAATTCGATGTATTCCAGTCTTGAAGCATCATTTGACTAGACGTTTTTGCGACTTCCATATAAACTCTTAAAAATCGGTTGTGAGGAGTAATCCCTCAATCTAACTGATGAAAGTATCAATGGAAGGATATGCCTCGTTGATGGATAACATTAATCACAATAGTTACGTTTTTCTACTTGTGCTGACTTCTGTCCAAAATGTTTAAATCTCTGTTCACAATTTTTATGCCGTTTACACAACACAGCAATTGATGAAACTGAAGCACTGAAAGTTACCGAAGATTTAAAGCAAGCTTTCACTGCTGAACATCATGAAAAGTTAGCAATACAATTACAGTTGAACGAAATGGAAGTGAGTTCTTGTTCTAAGTTTGTTGATCGCCTCCTATTACCTTATACTGTTTATGTTTATTAAGTCCCGGGGATGGAGTCTCGAAAATTCAATGAAGAATTTTCTGATGTTTAAGATTTCATTCAGATTAATACTTCGATGAGGTGCGCCAGTGGTTCAGTGGTAGAATGGCCGGCAACCACTCACATGATCTGGGTTCGATCCTTGGCCGACGCACTCTGAAATATCACTTAGCCGGTAGTAAGTCCAGTGAAGAGGGAGGATTGGATGTGATGTCTGCCAGCAACTTCACCTCGTTGAAAACACCAGAGATTAATCTAGAAGCCCCATGTTCCGCTGGGAACGTAAAGGAATGAGCAAAAAGAATATAGTGAGAGAGATCGAATTATAACAAACCTATTGAAAGATTATAGTCACTTTGAAGGACTTTTAGACTAAATTTACCACTATTTAGTGACTTATTTATGTACGTCATCCAGTCCTACAATGACATCCATTTTTATAAAATGCTTAAACTTCAGACTTAACATAGGTCTAAATCCATCTATTTTGGGATAAAAATTTCCTTAAGAATGTAAAAACTCCGTGATAATGTCAGCTGTAAATCGAAAGTCTAGAAGGAATTGAGCTTCGTGAAGATCTACTTCTAACGTCTAACATGAACTACAGGAATGTTCCAACTAATCGATATTCTTTGCAATCGTCACGAATGAATATCAGATGGGGAAAGCCATTAGATATCTGTCATATCCCGATTCCTTCTAAATGAATGGTAGCATGCTTGCTTTGTAACGGCAAAGCTGTGATGGACAGGATAGAGCTGTGGAGCGTCAAGCTGAGGTCAACTACATAGGTCAAACTAGTAGATCAGGAGTAGTGAGATTATCAGAACAGAAGAATTTAGCGAAAAACTGAGCAATCTCACTGCATACATTAACACACAACCACACAATGGGGTGAGTGGGACAGAGTCAAAATTCTAAAAAGTGATATGAGTAGGTGAAGAGATAGAGAGAGGGATTGATTACTGAATCCTTCCTGGTTCATCGAGTCTACACCCAACACATGCAACAGAAGTGACTGAACGCAAATACCAGAGATATGGAAGATATTATTACCACCAGTCAGAGGATGATCAATAATGTTAAAATGTATTCCATCAATTTACATTCTAACACTCGAACAAGAAATTTATTTTACTATAAAATCATCGTATTTCCCATCTGATTGTATTTTATTGATAACACTCATACTATTATTTCTGAATGTACTTTATCTTACATTGACTTTATTCAAATGTCTGATCATCATCAATTTTTACTCATGTATATAAACGAAGCAAGAAGGTTGTGTGAGTAGTGCCTTGATATGATTATGAGCAGCAATAATTTATGCTCGAAACGTCATCAGTAAATATTACTGTACAACACGGGGTGATTTTATCAAAATAAAGTTTTATCCATAATGGAGTTATATTCACTCTACCACAGTGCCTCAGTTTTACACTGAGAAGTAACAGTTTTTTAGTGGTCTCTGTTGATGATGAAACTAATGAACTCTTTACAACAATATATTTCTTTCGAAATGATTGAAGAGGATAAATGGTCATTTTCATACGGTTCTCTGAGACAATCGGGTAAACAGACTTGTTATCTAGCTCCTATCGTAGACAATTTAGGATATTGTACATGGATTATTTAATTCAAATTTAGATTTTCCCGTCTGTCGATTGGACCGAAGTGCTCAGTCTCCGGTTGATATGTCGGCTTCTTGTGCAGATGCTTCGACGATGTCTGGGCATGTAATTAGAAGTTAATTGGTGGATGGTAACTAACAGTGGAATCCAGGATGCGCATTTCGATCCTCAGTTGGAACATCACTCACTGAGGAATGCATGTACATCCACTAGCTGACGAGTCCTAAATATGGCGAAATGCACATACTGTATTCCACTGTTAGTTACCATCCACCAATTAACTTCTATTGTACATGGAGTTCTTAAATCCTACAACTGCATATATCATATATCGAAAATATCTTCATTATAGATTTTTGTTTTAATGGACTTACCTTTTCTTCCAGTAGTATAAATTTTTAAAATCAGCTTACTTACTACTCATTATTGTGATATCTTTGAATGTAGAAAAAATTTAACGAAGTCTGTCAAGCTGCTGAAAATCTGCGTATTAAAGAAGATACAGCAAAAAGTCTTTATCAACAAGAGGTAAGATCATAAATTTGTAATTCATAATCAAGTATTATTCATTTTTTTCATTCTTTTCTGTTCTGAGTGGAATATAGAGCTTCAACAGGATATCTCTATTTTGTACTATTCTTTTAAGTCCTTTTCAGCTAGCCTTACTATTGTCCATAAGCTCTTATCTCCCCCTGCTTACAGATAAATATTCATTTTCAAGTGTTGGTTTGCAATTATTTGATTGGTTACAGGTGTGATTCCGAGTTGACGTCAGTCAAAGAACCATTGGAAAACCAGCAGGGTGTACTGGAGAGCTGTTTCGTCCCAGTGTGAGACTCAATTACCAGGGTTCGGACTCAGGACCTGCCAGTTACAATGTGAGTTCGTAGACCCTTCGGCCACTGGTATCCAATCCAATGACTTATGCATTCCAACTTCTACCAGTTCGTGATATGTGTAGCACGAATGGTTCTCTAGATGATATCAGTTCGTGATCAAACGTGTAACTAGTCGAATCCCTGAAAACCAATTCTTGAAAGTTATTCTGATGCTCACTAGCGACTGGCTGTATACGGGAAGTTATCTGGAGTTCTAGCGAGAAATCATGCCCAGCGGCATCCACCAAGTCACATAAGAAAACTCTAACTCCTCGTTGAAATTGGTTGGTGGGTGAGCTGTATATTTCACAAATCGGTAGAAAGTTGGAATTAATGTGTCATTGGATCTGGTCCCAGTGGCTGAATGGTTTACAAGTCCACCTTGTGACCGGCAGGTCCTGAGTGCGTTGGTTCTGCTGGGGATTCTCAAACTAGGACAAAACAGCCGTCCAGTACTCCCTACGTTTCCAATGGTTCCGTAACTCGTGATGAGAGATAAAGATTAATGAGGATTTTAAAAATACGGGTGATATCGCGGAAATAATTATATCTCTGATATTTATAAAGGTTGTCAGCTATGCCACTTGCCACCATTCATTCTAAGCATCCCAAGAACATCAGACAAACAGTCTGTACTGTCCTACGTGGCTTACACCAAAAGTCTGTAATTTCACTTACTAATCGCATGATCTACTGCAGGCTGATTCCATACACGCTAACTTGCTATTTACAGAAACTGATGGCTTGAAAAGCGCAACACGTTTCTCAGCTGTTTTAGTCCATGAAGTTGCATAACTCTATCGACTGACTAACTCATTTTACCTAACACTCTACACATAACTTTATTATTATTATTATTATGAAAGATTGAAAGGAGACACTCATATAATAAAAAACCGCTAATCTTGTTAAACCTACCTTTAACGTCCAGGTCTCACAATCATAAATAAAGACAGTTGTATGTTTAGGTGATAAGAATGTCAATAAATTATTCACGCACTATAAGTGTAAGGAAAAAGTGGTAATTATGCGGTTTAAAGATCTAACTCGCTGTTCGCATTTGATATTTTCCTCAAAAATAACCAGTGTGTTGACCAAACTAAACTTTATCGAACGTAAATAGTAGTCCGAATATCTGCAAATAATACCAGCTGTACAGTAAGTTAGATTCATTGAAGGCTCGTTAGTAAGATATCTGAATTCCTATCTATTAACGCGGAATTACTAATATGTGTTTCAGTGGTCTGGGTTTGCTTCCAGGCTGACGTTATACTAAACCTCGACGAACTGGTAGTTATCCCTAGTGAAGCGAGAAGGTTGGATGTGAAGCTACCAATGCCACTCCGTAAAAACGACACCACTGCTAATGATGCTTTGAGACTTTAGGCCTTAAGCCTTGTTTCACAGTTTATTTGAAATAGTCTGTATCGTCACATGAGTCCTATAACTAGATCATTCGCCTGATAAATTACATTTTCGAATTAGATTTCTATGTTTAGCTGATTGACATCAAACAGTTTAGGTTCAAGTGCTAGAATTTCTTCTATTTGAATTGGAGAGACATTGGTATAGTTAAACACGTATTTTTTCAGGCAAGAAGGTAAAACTGTTTCCTTGGTAATGGACTTTAGATTTTTATTTAACTTCATAATGATATCATCAGTTCTCTACAATGTAGCTGTGGTGGCATAAATTTTCTAATGATATACGTTCATTAGCCGATAATTCATATAGTAGAATGTGGAAGTTCAGATAATCTCGATCGGATGAGTGTGTATCGTTTCAGTGTGCTTGAGTTAGGAGATATATGATTTCATCTGAGATTCTTCCAAAATGCCTTCGGATATTCATGCTTTTCCTGGCAATTCTTTCAGTAGTAATAAATTTCCTCATTCGACTAAACAAGTTTGGCAGACAGTCGTAGAAACTTGTTCAGTTCCTTTACCGTCACATGGTCCTTCCTATTGTTTTAAATTGCGGAATAAATTGTTCGTGAGCAGTAAAATTATGCATTTAACAACCACGAATACACTCAGTAATGGTATAGTAGGTGTGGATTAAGAAAGACTTGAAAATTCGAAAATAATTTAAATATTATGTAAGCATTCTCGGACAGTGTTTTCATCTTTATATTTCTCTGTGCATTCTTTGCTTTTTTCTTTTCCCTTTAATAATTTCCTCTTTTGTAATGTATTATGTGATTCGTTCTTACTGTTATTAATGTGACTAAATGGGCAAAACTTCAGTTGGTGAAAATAAATCCTTCGTATTCTACTCAAATGGCAACGTTAAAGAATAGCGTTCCAAGGAACGCGAACGCGAAACCAACCTCGAGGCAACCAATCAAAATAATCTATGTATTTTACATAAAAATACCATTTATTTACTAGAAAAACATAGATAATAAAAATAAAGCACCCTAATTCCGACTGTAATGCTAACTCTAATCCTGAGCTTGATCCTAATCCTGACTTTAATCCTAACCCAAATTGATGACAGTGATATAGAAATCGAGTCTGATGTTAAGTACATTGGACAAACTCTTTCTTGTGATCTATCATGGCCTTCCCATGTCTTAGCAATTTGTAAAAAATTATTTTGTCTGACACTAGGGAGTTAAGACACTCAGGAATAACTCAACTCCTCCTCTTACAGTTTGTCAACTCGTGCATCTTACTTATTCTTCTTTACTGTTCACCCTTATTCTTTCCTGGATTGCTTAAAAAAGACTATGTCATACTTCGTAGAACTCTGAAGACTGTCACTAGGGCGAGTGGTATTCCATTGGGCCATATCGTCATTGATAGTCACTTGATTTCATGCAACAAATTTGCCAAAGGGGTTTTGGCAGACTGTGAGCATCCACTTTACCCACAGCTCCAACCTTGTATCTCCTCAAGTCATTTCAAATGATTGTATGCGTGCACTTCTTAGTATAAAACTTCAATGATACCATATTTGGCACGTATTTTATGTCATGAAAACAGTGTCAGGGACGAACTAACTAACTCATCTTATTACCACTAGTGAACAAGCGATTTTCTCCATCTTTACACCACCAAGCCTCACTGTTATTATTCTTCTTATATTTATAGTCCTCTCACTTTTCTTTGTTTATTTTCTCATAAGTGTAAACGTCATTTAAGCTGTGTTAGAACTGTTATTGTTTTGTTTTCCCTTCACGAAGCTATGTCAAGAGAACATTAGATTCAATACTCTATAACGTGCTAAAAATTTCTTAATTGTATCGTCAATATTGTTTGAAGCAAACTCGCTGTTATTATCAGAGTTATTATTCTCATTATGTACTTTGCACATTTTTGACTTTATTCCTACAGTAAAAGTGGACAAAGTCCCGTGGTTAATTTCATTTATATTTTGAGTTAATTAGATGCAATATTGTGACAAATGCTGAGAATTCCATGCCGTATGATAGGTACTGCCTTGGGAATAAAGCAGATTATTGTTATTATTACTATTATTATTATTCAAACAGTTCTTAAAAAAGAGATCGGCGCTATATAGTAATGGTAATTCCAGTTATCCAACGAATGATGTGCATTCAAGGTCATCAGTGCGTTCGCACTCTTGGGTCTCTATTATTTAATTTAACCAGTCAGTTCATTCAGTTTATATCTAATGACGTGTTTTTTATTAACCTATGTATTTCTTTATTTAATTAGATTGACAATTTAAACAAATTATTAGCTGAAGCACGTAAAGATTACAAAGATGTGCTGTCAAGAGCAGAGAAAGCTGAACAGAAGCTGGATAAAACTCAATGTCTGTTACGTAATCGTGAATTGGAGTATAAGTAAGCAGTTAAGTCTTTAGTTGTGTTGCATATTTTTCTCACAAAGATTTAACTTCAGGAGTATAGTGTCAGTGTTTTTCTTTCCTGTGTTAAAGAATAGTAATATCTTTACTCTGGAATGTATTTATAAAATGTACAGAATTTTTAAGAGTAGTTTATTGCATGATATTTTCCCTTCGTGACACAATGGTCCCTGAGCTGAAGCACAAACCATTCCATTATGATATATGTGCTTTTTCTCCTTCCTTCCAGAAATCCACTATATCTAGTTGAAAGCCAATTGAAGGATGACAAGAAGTACATTTTGAGACCTAAGGACATAACTGAAGAACGGTTATCTCATGTACTGGAACACTTTTCCATCCTCAATCAGGCTATTCCTCAAGTTTAGTAGGAACTTGCGAATTCGAAGCTTGTAAACATTTTAAATACACACACAAGAGTAGATAATACCATTAGAAGTCATATCTTAATCAATTAAAACAAACCGAAGGAGAGAAAATATAAGCAACAAAGAGAGAGATGGAAGTTTTTGATAGCCCAGTTTGCAAGCAGGTCTCCCGTGAGTGTTTATGTTAGATGTTTAAATTTAATCGCTAGGATACTCTGAACCTAGGTTTTGTGCTTATTTAGCACTTGTCAATGAGTCTGTATCGGCAACATTGAGGGATCTTATGTTCCCATGAATACTGTAATCTGTGTCACCAAATGTTTCACTCACAGATGTTATCATTAGGAGTGAGTTATTCAGGGCCGCAATTGACCCTCTGTATGACTGCATTGGTTGTCTTGATTGGTCGACAATGGACTAGCTAATGTCTTCTATCTAATTCTTTGTGCTGACTGAATTCTAACAGTCAATTTTGCGATGTGTTCACCATTTTAGGGTGCATTAAAAACAACAAGCAACAGTCACTGTCAACGAAAGAAATTTGAACGTGTTCACTTCTTACACTCATCTAGGCAGCATCGTTTCAACTGTAGGCGACAGAACGAATAAGGATGTCGAAATCAGAATCGGAAAAGCAAGACAGACATTCATTACTCTGAAATCAGTCAGGGACAAGATTCGGATTTATTAATCCTAATGCCGAATCAGTCAGTGCCTCCATGTATTCCAGAGACTTGATATAAGAGTCACGAAGAGCACTTTCAATAGGAAAACATATCTTCATCTGTTCCGCCTGTAGTTGGAACGATGTTATTTAGAAGAGTGAAAGAAGTGACTTGTTCTTCAAATTTTTCATCATTGAACCCAAATAAGCAGCTATAGCATTTGCATCGGTGTTTCAGTGGTAAAATACTCGCCAATAACGTATGTGTTCCGGGGTTCGATAACCAACCGATGCACTCCTTAACGTCTTTGAGACGGTAGTAAGACCGGTAGATAGGGAAAATTGGGCATGAGGCTAGCAACCTTCCCCCGTAAAAATAAAATCATTGCTACAGAAACTTGAGAGCTGAAGTTTGAAGCCCTATGTTCCGCTGGGAACGTAAAGGACTAAAAATTTTCAAAAATAAAAAATAATAAGTTATAGCAGTGTATTGTACTGTCAACCTCTAAAAAAATTAAATATTGTTTTCTTTAACTATGTGGTCTAAAATGTGTATGATCTGTCTCACCCTTTACAGCGACAGATGAACAAGATTTATTTTTAATATTAATGGAATACTATAAAGCTGTTTAACTCATTTACCATCTCTCACAACATATGTGCCAACTTGATTTTATTTTGAGCGAGAACTGCCTTCTAATTAGTTCACCTGGACTTTATACCCCTTCGAGTATCTGTTTTGTGTCCAGGATTTACCCTCCTCCATGTCACCCTCGGACACCTAAATCGTTGTTTTGCATTCTGGCTCCACTAGGATATCTTACGCTTGATATTACTTGGCAGTCTCCTCACTACATGTACAATCTATCTCTATCTGTTTCTACATATCTGTTGGTTGGTTTATTGCCAGAATCCTATGTTGCTTATCATTTCTGTCTGACCATCTGATCTTCAGTATCGATCGCAAGACAGCTGTTGATGAACCTACCGAGTTAATGAACAGTTAATTTGTGTCTTAGATGTATTTTTATTCCTTTGGGTTTCGAGTGTAACATAGGGCGTTAACAACTCATCTCCACTTTGTTCTATTTTCTACTGTCCCCTTTAGCTGGGCCCACTATTACCCATAATCTCTCATCGCCTCCTCCTCGCCACACGATCTCCTCCATGTCACCGTTGCAATGACGACCCACTCGTCGCTCCCCTTTTATTTTCCACTCGAGTAATAGCCTGCATTGAGAGTGACGTCATTCGACAGTCCCCTCAACACGATCCATCCATCTCCATTTTCTCCTACATATTTGTTTGGCAGTCGGCTCTTGGTTGGTTGGTTTGTTCCCAGCCAGAGTTTCTTCTTGCTAATTCTTTCTGGCAAGCCGACTGGCCATTTAATCTTCAGTGTGAAGCCAGTGAAGAGTACGGCTGTTAGTAAAAGTCTGTAACTTGTTGGAAATGCTTTTCGTGACACAAGCAGTGCAAGTTTCTGACCCGTATAGAAGAACTGACTGGCTGACTTCACACTTGTGTTGAATAGAATCCGTATCTTGTTGTGTATGCTGTCTGAGTTAGAGCTGAAGATTTCCAGACTGCATCTTGCCTTTCCGATTCTGGCTGGCTGGCTGGCTTTGGCATATTTATTCGTGCTGTCCGACTGCCTCTGGTTGAAACCGTGTTTCTTACCCAGATAAGTGATGGTGATTGGTACTGGTTGTTGTTGTTGGTTGGTTGGTTATCTTCATCACCTCTGTCTTCTCTATGTTCATCACCTGGAGTTCGGTCTTTGCTGCTCGCCTGCTTCTTGCGCCAGTTTGTTGTTTTTCTTCTGAAAGTCTTGCAAGTTTTTAGATGTATCATCACTTAATGAAATTTATTAGTAATAGACAAGCTAGTTACATCATTATTTATTTGATTTCTATGTTTGAATTATTCATGTATTCTGATATATATTTTTCTCACTCACCGTAATTCTTTTGATTTCCCAGTCAAGAATTGAATAATCGTTATAAATTGGATAGTCCAGAGTTGACTAAATTAATCTCCGATAAGATTGATTTAGTACAAACACGTAATCTGCAAACTATTGAAGCATTACAAGAAAAGTGAGTTATAAACATGTGATATATATATTCAGAGCAAAAATAGTTAGAGCGAACAATTGTGGTTTCAATAAATTCTTCTTCAGGCTCTACAATTATAAATCCATTAATTTAAGCATACAATAGCCTGCCGGCCAGTAAAGGCACATTAGAATCATATCAGAAAGTGTATTGTGGAACAAGTATAAGACGGGATGGAACAATAGTTAGTTAGTTTTGAACATACATTGTCAATGAGAACATGAGATGAAATAATTTAATGATGTGCGTGTGAGACAATATGAATACTACAGAAAATAAACCAACTAATAGGGTGGACTAGACTTAAGTTCAAGGGTGAAAATATCGACAATAATAATAATGATTGTGAAATAGTAACGATGATGTGGTGTAAACTATTACTGAACGATTATCAATTAATAATGAATTTAGTGAAGTGAAATGAACAGGATTGTTCTATCCCATCTTATACTTGTTCCACAATACATTTTTGATATGATTCTGATTTGCCTTTACTGGCTGGCTATTGTATGGTTAAATAATTGGATTTATAATTGTAGAGCCTGAAGAAGAAGAATTCATTGAAAACATTTGTTTGTTTTAGTTAATTATTTTTGTTCAAAATAAATTCCGGCGATATTCAAGTTATTATAAATTAGTATTGAATGAGAATACTTGTACTGTGTATTCTGCAAGTTACTTTAATGATTTTTTCAGTAATGCTGAAATTATCATTGAACTGACGTCTAAATATCATTCAGAAACCTGCTGACAACCTTCAATGACTAAAGATCAAAGGCTTTAGAAAAGTTAAAAAATATAAAGTAAACATTAATTAGTTACTTTCCTTTGATCGATAAATATAAGTATCTGTTAGGTGGATGGAGGCAATCCTAAGGAAGCCTTCGATCTAGGTGTCGTGCAGGTTGTCACACTCCGGTACATCTGCAATTTTCAAAGAACTCGTGTCCCCCTGAGACTCGAACCCGGGTCGTCCAGCGCTGCAGTCAGACATGCTACCACTGACCTATTCGAGCTGGAGATTGTCCTCCTCCTCCAGGTCTCTAGTGGATACTTTGATGGCCACATTGTAAAACTTGACTGATAGTATTCAAGTGAATAAAAATGCCCATTAAAATTTTCAAAAGAATAGACACGGAACAAAGAGAACTCTTTTCGATAAATTCATCATCAGGTTCTACAATTATATATACATTATAATGAATGAATGAATTAGTGTTATGAACGACATTAATGTTATTCAAATAACATCGAATCAATAATCATATTGGTGGATTACAGCTCAATAGCATCAATATAAAATAAGCTGAATGTCAGAAAAATTAGGAAAGATAATATTACGAATTCATGAATTGATAGTCTCCACTGAAGGCCGGCCAGGACAGTAGTAGTGGCTGGCTGGACTTGCTTCTTTTGAACACAGAGCACTGGTTGTTTGAGGCGAATTGCAATAGTCTCCGCTGTTTGGAGCATACGGTGCTTCGATGATTTCGGGAATTTGTTAGGCACCCGGTAGATGATAGAGAAGGATTCTTCCACGCTGGCTTTGTGGCCGGTTTGCACCAGATGGTCCAATATCGAAATGTTAATGGTTTTAACTACACCTTTACTTAGCCATATTGGGATATGTTCTTGAGCACGAAAAATCAAGTTCCTAGAGCAACGGCCAATATAACTCGTTCCACCACAAGCGCAGACGAATTGATAGATACAATTGGAAGTGGCTAGCTAGTCTAGGTACTTCATCTTTCAGTCGAGGTAGCACCATCGGTCGTGTAGAGAATAATACGTGTATTTCGCCGGCATTAAAAGTTCTTTGAACTGATTTTCTTAATTTCTTAGTAATTATCTCTCTTGGTATATCGCTCATGAATTGTAGTCGTATATATAAAGGTTTCTTGTTTACAGATATTGAGTAGTCCTTTTCCGCTTTCTTTGCCATATGTTTCTTGATAAATTTGTCAAGATAACCATTTTCGATCAAATTATCATATACAATGCTTAATTCATCTTCAATTACTTCTTCTGAGCATATAGCTCTAACTCTGTGGCTGAGAGTCTTCACTAAATTTCTTTTGTAATTGATAGGAACGAAGCTGTGAAAGTGTGTATATTGTCCTGTCCAAGTGCTTTTTCTATGCAAATTTCTTTTTACGCCAGCATCTGGTTTTCTTGTAAGTAGGACATCCAGGATGGCAATTCTGTCTTGGGATTCCTCTTCGCATGTGAATTTCATAGCCGAATGTACTTCATTGAATTCAGTAATTATTCTACTCCTATCGGATCCATTATCACAAATAATAAAGGTATCATCCATATATCAGCAATAAAATGAGAGCTTACTATTGTCCGATCGAAGTATCCGATACAACACTGAAGTTTCACTGGTTCGAATCTTAGAAGGAGCATGAGTTCCCTCAAGGGCACAGAAACGCTTTGTTGACTAGTGAGTGCCAATAAGCATCATTTCTAGGTTATTTGCTTTCTGATGCCGATTGTCTCCAACCATCTAATGACAACAGTTCCGAGAGCATGGCGATGGCGAGCACCTAGTAACATGATGGCCACATTGCAAACTTGACTGATAGAATTCAGTCTACAACAAACAAAGAAAGTAGACGCATGATACAAGTTACTGTCCAATGAAAGTTAATATTTCTGACTGTCCTACAGGAAATCTCTTGTGAGTTTCACTGGCAACATTTTTGATTGCAAAACTGAATGAAGCAGATTCCAGTTTTCGAAGGGGTGTCAGTCAGTCCCCTTTACTAGGAACATATATACTTCGCTGACGAGTGTCAGTAACCACCAAACCTTTTTCCAGGGGCTGAAGAAGAATTTATTGAAAACAATTGTTTGTTCTGAATATATATATATATATATATCGTCCATTTCTCTTCGCCACTAAATCCATCTCTCCATTGCTTTATACTCTTGGTGATGATATACATATTTATATGTGCATCTATATACTACTTATATGTTTTGTCACATGCCACAATATCACTTTGTAGACATTCCTTCTCTGTCTGTTCAGTTACTACCTCTCTTTTGCATAATCTTACAGTATTATATTCATAGTCTCTTCCATGAATTTTACCGCGATTCACAAAAGCTTAAAACCTTTCTTTTAGTTTGCTGTTATCTCTATGTTTGTAGGACCTTCAGTTTTTTTTTTCTCAACAGACCTTCAAAAACACATTGAGTGACTTGTATCTGTGATATCTAAATGTCGTCTTATTTTGCCAGGTTGAATTCTTTGGCTTGCAGCTGCTTGCCTGCATTTCCTGTACTGACAGCACACTTTCTAATGTCAGGTGACTGCGTTACAAGACTTTATGCTTAATTCTCATTTTTTTCACTGCAATGAAATGAATTAATCGAAGCCAGTTTGATGATATTAGGTGGTTGGAGGCAATCAGTCACAGGAAACCGTACCTGACCTAGGTTTCGTGCTAGTCAGTCAGCACTCGTCATCAAGGCGTATCTGCAACCTCGAAGGAACTCATTTCCCTTCTGAGATTCGAACCCGCGTCACTTAGTGCCACCTGCAGTCAGAGACATTACCACTGAGTTATTCAGGCTCGCGACCGACATCCTGTAGGACTGATATAAGAATAAAACTTGGGCACTGTGGTAGAGTGTAATTCCATTATGGGTAAATTTTATTTTGATAGAGTCTCACAGTGTTATACAGTTATATTAACTGATGACGTTTCGAGCACAATTTATTGCTCATAATCATATCAAGTTGATATGATATGAGCCATAAATTGTGCTCGAAACGTCATCAGTAAATATTACTGTATAACACTGTGAGACTCTATCAAAATAAAATTTACCCATAATGGAATCCTGTAGGACTGTATTGGATACTTTGAGTGGACACTTGTAATCAGTGTGACTAGACACATCACACTAGTTACTAGTGTCCAGTTGAAGTCAGTTTGTTAACGTATAAGAATTCTTCCACATTTTCTTGATGCTGAACAATGATTCCTCTTTCCTGATTTCGCTTACTCTTTTATAAGTTTGTAATGCATTGAAGTATAAGCCCGTAAACTGATTGACTGAGAGTTTCAGCGTTGAACTTTGCACAGAAGTGGTGTGCCACTTCAAGTTGCCCTGAATGAAGGTAGAGAAAAGAGATTCAAAGGAACTGCGATGAGCATAAATGTACAGTAGGAAGAATAGTTATATGAAAAGAAAACATGCAGGCTTAATGGATTTGTTGGAGATCGTAAAGAGTGAATACATCCGCGCACCATTGAGAACGATTTCGAGTTAAATCACCGATAGTCGTCAGCCTCTGGTTCTTAGTAAACTGACGACCTCCTCGTGTGTCTCAAAGCAACAGTCGAAGACCTCATGGATTGATTGATGCCATTTCTTGGTTTGACCACTCCTGACTCTCACAGCCATAAAAGAGGACGGAGTGAAACTGCTGCGCTGTACACACGTCCTTTGATCAATGGCCAGCCAGATATCATGTCTACTAAACCAGAGATAGCGTGTGTTGACAGATATCATGCAAGCCTTATGTGTCCGTGCTGATTTCTTTCAGCGGTCAGTCTACTAAGGCTGATACCCGACCGACCGCTTCACTTATTTGGGAAGTTGCATCAGCCAACACTAGCGGGTTGATCTCTGACGAAATCTCACCTCGGATACAGAAAGCTAGTTTCGCTTATGCCAGTTTACGCCGTCTCTGGCGTAGACGTGATATCCGGCTATTGACCAAAGGGCGGGTGTACTGCTCAGCAGTCCGCTCCGTCCTACTTTATGTATGTGAGATATGGCCATTAGGAGTGGAAGAAATGAAAAGATTAGCTATCTTCGATCATAGGTGCCTGCGCTCTATCTCTCGTGTGAAGTGGTATGATAGGGTGAGGAATATTGAGGTTAGGATTTGGTCGAGTGCTAGGTAAAGAGGGGTAGTCAATAGACGAAGTTGTGAAGTTGCATCGACTGAGATGGTTAGGACGTGTTACGCATGCCTAGCCAACGCCTTCCTCGACGCCACTGTTATCTGACATAGGGTTAGGCTGCAAAAGAGCTAGTGGTGGTCAAACCAAAACATGGATTCGTCAGTCAATGAAATCCACCACAGTTAGTTTAAGTCAGCCACATAGGAACGTGTAGACTGGCTTCCTGGTTGGGGTCCTCGGGACGGTAAACACCAATGACGGCTGGAGAAAATTGGTGATATGGCTCAAAATTGTTCTCAATGGCTGGTGCGGATGCATTCACTCCTTTTAACTTATAATTTCCAATAAAACTATCTTGTTCTTCTATATTATTATTCTTTTCGCCTTATATCTTTCTTTATTTTCTCTATTTTACGTTCGCTCCTTACTTTCTTCCCTGGCTTTGTGTGCTACATGGAGAGGGAGTGTGGCGACTTGAACTGCTGCACATTAGTGCGAAGTTCTATGTTGAAACCAGTCAGTCAGTCAGTCTATTAAGGCTGATGCAACTTCCCAAATAAGTGAAGTGGTCAAAAACCAGTAATCTATACATGAATATAAAATCTGATTATCGAATCGAAGTGAATCCAAATTCTATTTTCTATAGGTAAATGGCAAAGCAATGAAGCTTACCGGCATTATTCACACAGCATACTCTCCATTCTTTAAGAAATTTCATCCTGATTCTCAGTACCCATTAAGAGAGAGCATCATTATTAAGATAAACCCGCTTTTCTCAATACCTAAACTAGACCCCAGGAAACAGACACTTGACCTTAGATTCTTATATAGACACGTATTTATTGGTTTGTACATAGAAAGAACGAACACGAGGACTCTCTCCAACTTAGTACATCTTAAACAAAAAGTGTAAGTCACAAAATTTCTGATCAGATCTTTTCCTCACAATGACTTCGAATTATGTACAGAAAGTATGATCAACATAATTCTAAAAATGATATAAGTAGACAAAATACTCAGTGTTAAAAAGGGGCTAACTATTTATAGTATAATTAGACAAGTGTGGTTGCGGTTTTGTTCGTGTGCTTTTGTGTTTTGTTCTGTTGAGTAAAATTCCACTTTAATTTTTTTTCATTTACTGGCAATGGCATTAACTAGTACAACAAAAAGCCTTAATAATGAAATCAAACAGATAGAATAAGAAGCGTTGGTGTTAAATAACCATCTTATAAAATTCATTAGGAAGATCAGAAAAGGCTAAAAGCAAAAGAAAAATAATAGCGAAACTAATAACGATAACATAAACGAGAAAGAATATAAGGCATGTACAGTGGTTTTACCATGTAAAGAAGGGACATCTGAGACCCTGTGTAGGATTCTCAATAAAGCAGGAATTATAATGGCATTGAAACCTACGAACTTACTCAAGGACAAGCTCTGTAGGCTAAAGGACCCTGTAGGTTGACCCAATTAAAAAAAGATAATATAATTTACAAAATACCTTGCAATAACTGTGAGTTAATTCAACTACGTAGGTCAAACTAGTAGATCAGGAGTAGAGAGACTGTCAGAAAACAAGGACTTAGTGGCTTTGTTGGAATGATTGACCCAGTGAAGATAAGTTATTTAGAAGAAAAAAAGCTCAGCAATTGCACTGCATGCATTAACCCACAACCACACAATAGGGTTGGAATGACTCATCACTCATATCAGAAATATGGAAAATACTAATACCAATCAAATCAAAAGATGAGGTGTTATTGGGACCATATAATCGGAGTTAGAAAGTTGTGTGAATAACCTGATATGATTATTAGCATCAAACAATTGTGCTCGAAACGCCATGAGTAAGTATTAATGTGTATAATACTGTAAGACTTTATCAAAATAAATTTTATGCACAGTTTCCAAATCTACTTAATTGTTGTGTCTATGTCATAATTTTTCTTTACTGTTCACTCCTAACCTCTTGAACTTTCCAGTATAATGTATATATTAATTAATTCTGTTTTTCAATCTCGTATTTTGTCTCTGGTCAATCCTTGTTTCCAAGCCAAATCTGAACTCTACTCCCGTCTTGTCTAATTATACTTTAAACAGTTGGTCTTTTAACACTGAATAATCCGTCTACTTACATCTTTCTTGGGATTATGTTGCGCGTATACTTTCTATCTATGACTCGTCGTTACTGGGAAAACAGTATGATCAGAAATTTTGTAACTTATAGTTTGATTTTCTTTAGCATGTATGCAGTTGAAGAGAATCCACGAAATTAAATGTGCTCGTGTTATCCTGCAGATATGTTCCTTTCTTTCTTTGTTCAAACTAGTAAAGAAAGGGAACCGGTTGTATGACCTTTCCTTGGTGTTTGTTGTAGCATATTCATTGTTCATTGTTTTTCAACCTACATTTGTATTTTACGAGTTGATCACGGATTGATATCAGTTAGGGAACCATTGAAAACCAGGGAGTAATGGACAGCTGTTTCATCCTAATTTGGGAATCATCGGCCGATGATATCAATCCGTGATCAACTCGTAAAAACAAAACTAACCCTTTCAAACCAAATCATGGAAAATTAATCTGATGCTCGCTAGTGACTTGCTACAGGATGGAGTTTCCTAGATTTCTAGTGAGAAGTCGTGACTAGTGATGTCCAGTTAGACGTCACGTGTGAGGATGAATGTCCCACCGACGACAATAGTTGGGGTCGCGCTAAATCACGAATTGGCAGAAGTTAGAATTCATGAGCCATTGAACTGGGTTCCAGTGGGGCTGTATGGTACACGAGCTTGCCTCGTAACCGGAAGGTCCTGAGTTCGAATCCCAGTGGGTGCGTACTGCCGATAATTCCCAAACTAGGATGAAACAGCTGTCCAGTACTCCGGTGCTGGTTTTCAATGGTTCTTTAACTGATATCAATCCGTGATCAACTCATAAAAACATAACTAACCCTTACAAATCAAACCATGTAAAATACATTTGTATTGCTTCTTTTCTTTTGTTTTACTTATTTTGTGTATTTTTAGATTAACTGAAAGCGGTCAACGTTATACAGCACTTGAAGATGAATTTCGAATGGCATTAAGAATAGAAGCAGAACGATATGAAACAGTATGTTTTATAATTCATAGTAATATAAGTAGATTTATTTATCGCAAACAGGGCATCTATAGTTTGTGGTCATTTAACAAATTTGGATCACCCTGATCACTCTGATTTAAACATCAGACAGGAAGTCAGTGGTTGACTAATGATCTTCGTTTGTGAATACCTCTGAATGACAAGTTAGAGCCACTAAAGTTTAAAGGTTAAAGATGCGTTTCGACAACATACTTAAAGCTTCTTCTGCTTCACTTCGCAAACGAGAGGCAGTTAAAGTGTATCGACTAAAAGCAACACGTTGTGTTCTGAACGTAGGGAACCAATCTTTGAGTTCTACTGTACAGTTAAACAGAACTTCCTTGAGTTACGCGGATTACAAAAATATCCCAACGATGGTAAAAAGACAGTTATTTGTGATAAATTTTACGGTACTGTTCAAAAGTAACTTAACAATGTCGTTAAGCAGCTGTACAGATCAAATTAGTTCCCAGAGACAAAACAAGTACTGTAGAAGAAAAAGTTAGTCAACCAAAACTAAACCATGAAGTAGTACCTGATAATCAAGTAGGATATTCACAGCAAAGTGAGATCAAAACCTCTGTCAGCAAAGATCACGCACCGAACAATTCCCTTCCGACTGTCCAAAGTCAGGATGACCTGGATTCACTCCAAAAAAAAACAACGCAGTCGTAAAATGACACAGTATCGATATCGTCGCATAACTGTAAAGCGGAGCATTAAAATCAGAGCTTAAACAGGAACAAAGAGAAATATCAAAAGATTAAGTCGAAATATGATATGCAAACGTCAAAACAATGATATACAGCCTTGGAGGAAGGAAACATCGAAATAAGTATGAAAATTGTAGTCAGATTGTTAAGGAGGGATTTTCCGAACAATTATTCCGTTACATAATGTCTTACAGAATAGAACTCACGTCATTGTAAGTGTTGCTTCATTTACCAGTGGGATAAAATATGTATTACACTTCACTTTCTATTAATAGTATAAACAAAATATAATGTAAGTGCTTTATAATACCATAAATGACGTTTGATTTATTTGGAACATCTGATCCATAGATCTAAGTATAAAACTTGGGCACTGCAGTAGAGTATAACTCCATTATGGATACCTCACAGTGTTATACAGTAATATTTACTGATAACGTTTCGAGCACAATTTATTGCTCATTTATATAGGAATTTAGGAAGTCGTGTGATTACCTTGATATGATTATGAGCAATAAATTGTGCTCGAAACGTCATCAGTAAATATTACTGTATAACACTGTGAGACTCTATCAAAATAAAAATTTACCCATAATGGAATTACACTCTACCACAGTGCCCAAGTTTTATTCTTATATCCATTATGGATAAGATTTTATTTTGATAAATCACACAGTGTTGTTATACAGTAATATTAAGTGATGATCACGTTTCGAGCACAAATTATTGCCACTCATAATAATATCATAGTACTCACTCAACTTTCTTGCTTCATTTATAAACATGAACAAAACTGATTAGCCATTTGAATAAAAAGCCAACATAAGATAAAGTACATTGGGAAATAGTATAAGTGTTATCAATCAAGTACAATAAGATGGGAAATAAGACGAGTGTTTGTATAGTCATAATAAGTAACTTGTTAGAATGTTATGATGTGTTTGAATTGAAATAGAATTTTGAGATTATTTTTTATCCTCTTCTGATTTGACTGGCGGCAATAATATCTTCCATATATCTGGTATTTGCATTGAGTCATTTCTATTGCGTGTGTTAGGTGTATACTCGATAAACCAGGCAAGATTCAGTAATCAATCTCTCTCGCTCTACACCTACCCATATTACTTCTAAGAATTTTAACCTTCTCCCACCCTATTGTGTAGTTGTTTGTTAATGCATGCAGTGCTATAGCTGAGCTTTTTTCTAAATTACTTATCTTCGCTAGCATTGATTTTTTATACATGGCTCAAACTACTAGTTTTAGCAGTATGCTATTATCATTATTATTTTCTTGGGTTCCGTGTGGAACGTAGGGCTTCAATAACATATCTCCATTTCGTTGTGTTTTCTTCTATCCTCTTCAGCTGGGTCTACGATTGCCCATAATCTCTCATCTCCTCCTCGCTACACGATCTCCTCCACGTCACCCTCGAGCTGACGACCCACTCATCGCTTCCCATTGGGATTCCACTCTAGCAGTAGCCTGCATTGCGCGCGATATCATTCGACGGTCTCCTTAGTTCATGCCCTATCCATCTCCATTTTCTACTACATACTTGTTGAGCAATTGACCCTTGGTTGGTTTGTTACCAGCCAGAGTTTCTTGTTACTAATTCTATTTGACCAGCCATCTGATCTTCAATATGGAGCCAATCGGTGAAGGTGGCAGTTGTTGATAAAAGTCTCTTGTAGTCTGTCGGAAATTTTTTTCGTGATGCGCAATGTATGTTTCTTATCCATATAAAAGAACTGACTGGCTGACTTCAACTTGGTGTTGAACAGAATCCGAATCTTGTTCTTTATACCAGCTGAGTGCAGAAGATTTCCAAACTGTTTTTAGGTTGATGAAGGTCTTCCAGGTCTTCTTGAGTTTTCTTATCGGTCATTGCAGTGTATTCCTGTCTTCTCACTCCCATGCACAGTCTGACTCATAATCCATTCCACCATAAATAAGTATATCATTGGTAAAGATAGACAGCCAGCTTTGTCTTACTCCTGTTTTCACTGAAAAGGTTTAACTGAATTTTCTGTCGTGGATCACCTAACAAGTGGCAGGCGTTGTCATATAGGCAGCTGTTGAATGAGGCTGATAAAAACCTGGGCGTTGCACGCCGTAGTGTTGAAGTAAATTCCAAATTACTTCTCGATCAACCCCGTCTGTCGAAGGCCTTTTCAAAGTTGATGTAGTTAAAGTAGAGTAAGGTTTGACTGCCATTCTATTCTTTGTTCTGCGATGATGATGCGTACAGTTTCAATTTGATCAGCGCATGATTTGCCTTTCCTGAATTCAGATTGTTGCAGTGGGGCTGGTGGAGTTCTGTATCCACTGCCCCTTTTATTCGCTCCAGGATGATGTGACTTGGTGTGGACAAGAGCATTATTCCACGCCAGTTCTTGCAGAGTGAGGTGTAAGTTGCCGTTCTTTGGCAGCTTGGCGAGGTAGCTTTTCTTCCAATCGTTAGGTACCTTCCCTTCCTTCCAACCTTTTGCAATAATGGCGTAAGAATATCTGCCACAGCTTCTGGGCCAGTTTTCAGTGTTTCGGTGGGAATTCCATCTGATCCTGTTACCTCAGTAGCTTGATAGTATTCAGGATCTCTGCTTTCTCTAATGGACTGTTGTCCACTAGCAGTTTTGTGCGTGCTGTTGGTGTTATTTCTGGACGAGTTGCAGATACAGAAATATTCGTCGTGTTACTTCATTAGCGCTCTGTTTCCCTCGTAATTAGAAACGTGTATGTTACTTTTACACCAAATATATTCTATCAATTACGATGGGGAACATATGAATGTCACTTGTAGAGTCTATACTGCTGAATTAGTTAACTTATTGTTGTTCAATAAATTATTCTATGCATACTGTTCTGACTCTGGGCTTCGATCACGGAATGATATCAATTGGAGGGCCATTAAAAGCCGGCAGGGAGTACTGGACAGCTCTTTCGTTCCAGTCTCAGACTTCTCAGCAGTACGTACCCATGACCCTACGGATGGACGATTGAACCCCAGGACCTTCTAGCTATGAAGTGATCTCGTTGACCATACAACCGCTGGGATGAATTCTAACTCCTACCAATTCGTGATTTTTAGCAACACCTCCAGACAATGTCCTCAGAGGTGGTTCTGCAACTACTATCGATCGATAACCAGAGTTGAAAACAATCAGATCTCTTCAAATGAACACTCAAAAGTTTTAGGAATTGTCAGAGTTCATTGATTTAATTGTTCTCCTTTTAGTTAAGAAACTAGATATTCTTAGGAAATCTGTTTGGTGAAGGGTATGACATTAGTTAACATTATGAGGTGTGTTATGCTTTTGGTAGTGAACGTAGAGGAGAGCAAGTCTATTTATTCAAAATGATTATCTTCAATTAATTTAAAAATTAAAAATCTGTTCTTGTGTTACATTCAGTATCCAGTTTTGATTCAACCTAACTTGTAATTGGCCCACAACTGTCATTCCATCTCATTCAAGAATGTTTCTGTTCCCCTTTGAGGATTCTAAAAATACGATGGCTTGAGAGTGTTTTTTTGTGATATAGCTCGGCATTGTTCTCAGTAGTGCAGATGCATTCCAGTCTCTGTAATCTCCCAGATCCATGTTACCATTTTCTCCCTCGCTCCCGGACATTTCTCACCACAGTTCTCACTTTTTGTCTACCTTCGTGTGGTGTATGGAGTGTGACAACTTGAGCTGGTACACTTCTGTGCAAATTTCAGTCAGTCTCTCTCTCTCTGTGTCTTGTTTAACTTTCTTATTTATTATTAGATAAAGTAACGTGTTATATCTTTCTTTATTATAGTTACTTAAGACATCAGAATTATGCAAAGAAGAACTAAGTGGAACACAATCACAATTAAAAGAAAGAATAGAACGTGAAGAATCCACACGTCATTTGATTGAAGAATTGAATACAGTAAGTGTGCTGAAACTTTTATGTTTTTCAAAAGAATGGTTACTGAACAAAGAATATTCAGGTTTTTGTTAACCTGCTCTTTATCATCATGTTCTACAGCTATATGTGCATAATAGTGAATAAATTAGTGTAATTCACATAATTATTATATTACTATTGTTCCCTTGGGTTCCTAGTGGAACATAGGGCTTCAACTGCACGCCTCCACTTGCTTCTGTCTTCTGCTGTATTTTTCACCTGCATCCATGTTAGTCCATACTGTTTCAACTCTTCTTCACACGATCTCCTCCATGTCACCCTTGGACGTGTCACTCGCCACTTCCCTTTCGGGTTCCACTCGAGCATTGGCCTGACATGCGATGTCACCCAGCGGCCTCCTCAGCAAGTGTCCAATCCATCTCCACTTTCTCCTGCATATTTGTTGAGCGATTGGTTCTTGTTTTGTTTGTTCCCATAGTTTCTTGTTTGTGATTCTTTCCGGCCATCTGATCTTGAATGGAACGAAGACAGCTGTTGATAAAGGTCTGCAACAAGCTGTTGGAAATATTCTTTGTGACCCGCCAAGTTTCTGATCCGTATAGGGAAACTGACTTGACGTTTGTATTGAAAATCCGAATTTTGTTGTTGATGCAGGCTGAGAGACGAAGATTTCCAGATTGGTTTCAGGTTGATGAATGTGTTTCTCGCCTTCCCGATTCTCGATTTGACATCCTCGTCTGCTCCTCCTGCAGTTGAAACATTCCAACATCAATAATGCTGTTGAAATAACATCGTATCAATAATAATAATAATAATATCAGTGGAATACACTTCGATATCATCAACACATAACACTACACACTGAATATCAGACAAGCAAATTAGGAAAAATAATAGTAATGCAAGTTCATGAATTTATAGTCTCCAGTGAAGGCTAATCAGGGCAGTAGTAGTGGCTAGCTGGACTTGTTTCTTCTGCACACAAAGCACTAGTTGTTTCACGCGAATCGCGACAGTGGCCTCTTCTGTTTGGAGTATGTGGTACCTCGATATTTTTGACAATTTATTTCGTCCCCGGTAGATGATAGAGAAAGTTTCTTCAATGCTGGCTTTGTAGCCGGTTTGGACCAGATGGTCTAATATCGAACTGTTTTTGCTACACCTTTACTTAGCCATACTGGGAGATTTTCCCGAGCGAGCACGAAAAATCAAGTTCCTAGAGCAACAGCCGATATAACTCGCTCCACCACAAGAGCAGTTGAATTGGTAGATGTTTATGTGAACGCAAATTAAGTTGGTGACTCCACATTAGATGGGTCTGTTTGATGTAACATACACATAATGATACTGATGTGATTATGAGCGATCGATTGTGCTCGAAACGTCATCCAGTTATTATTACAGTCTTTCACTGTGTATTATATCTGACAAACTCACCTACTATGGAATTATATTCTGCCATGGCGTCTAAATTCAACTCTAACGTCAAAGTGGGAGGACTGTCTTGCTACCTTAATCCGGCATAATTTCACCAGTTCATGACTGGGACATTCACTACTAATTCTTAACATGAACGAATTGATAAATCTAATTACGAACTTGCAATGTACACCTTTCTAAGGGGTGAAATGTCATTGCCACACAGTTTTCTTTGAAAACTAAATTATTTAAATCACAGTATATGTGATCTGCTTGCTGCCATAAATGGTAATCAAGATGGCAAAACTATTGAAATAGAATGATATACTACTGATCGATTGAGATGAATAGCTGCAAGTCATTCATGCATCAACCCGTACTGTTTACTAGCCAGATCGAGGTGATCTAGACACCGGGTGGCGGTTCCTCTAGTTCAGAGGTGACCCCATCTGCAGTGGACCAGGTTAGACTTAGCCCAGAGAGAGACGAGTCAGTTGAAACCACAGGATTTCTGGATATCTGGCTACTTTCAATTTTTCTCACCTTTTAAAATACTCCTCTTCGGTAATTTCTGAAAACAAAACACGTAGTTCAGCGAAGAGTCTCTTTTTACCGGGGAATTCATTCGCTTAGCTGTACAATCGCAATTATATATATATATATATATATATATATATATATATACAGTTACGTGACTGTATTACGCTCATTCAACTTCTTTTATGTGCTAATAAATATTTGTTTTTTGACAACACATCACCACTGCCCTTCTACCGATCCTTCTCCCCCCACGCCTTAGTTACAGTTGGATTACTCATCACATTTTTTGAAATATCTTGATAACAATAACCCTAACTTATTTTTATTCTAATCGGACAAACCTGCTGTACACACACTCACAAACAAAAATAAGTACATATATAATTGCTATTGTACAGTTAAAGAGGAGAATGAATTCGCCCGCGAAAAGAGACTCTTCACTCAACTGCAAGACGTTTTGTTTTCATTAACATGTCTGGAACAAGGGAATTATTCATGAATTAGATAACTTCTGTTTTTTTATTGTAGGTGATCAAAGAACAAAAATCGAAATACACAAGTCAACAGAAAGCTAATTTATTATTACAGCATAACTTGAAGGTAAGTAGACATTACAGAGAAGAAGAAGCGTAAAGTCTAACACACATTCCCTCTCTTTTAGATCTAGATCTGTTTCGATATCTTATCAGTTTTTCCTTTTTTTGTTCTTTTTTCCTTCACGTTCCGCAGTGGAACATAGGGCTTCAAGCTAGTGACTTGAAGTTTCTGTAGCAGTGTTTATTTCACAGGATGGGGTTGCTAGCCTCATGTGACTGTCTCCACGATTGGCTATCAGTTGTCATCTCCCGCCCCCTCACATGATCTCCATGTCCACTCTCGACACCAAGCCCAACTCGCCGCTTCACCTTCAGATTCCCCTCAACGGACTACTTGGGGTGTGGCATTAATCAAGGATATCCTCAGCATGTGTCCTATCCATTTCCAGTTTCTTCTGCATGTTTGCTGCTCAGCAGATTCTTGATTAGTTCGTTCTCAGAGTTTCTTGTTGTTAATTCTTTTCGACCAGTCATCTCATCTTCATTATTGAGCCAACGAAGACAACTGTTGATAGAAGTGTGCAGTCTTAGCTTTTCGTGAACTGCTAAGTTTCTGACCCATAGAGAGAGAAGAACTGAGTGACTTAATATTGATTCTGTCTGTCTGTCTGTTTTCGACATAGAACTTTGCACATATGTGCGGCAGTTCAAGTCGCCACAATCCATGTAGCACGCAAAGCAAGAGAAGGAAGTAGAAGAAATGCATAATATAGACAGTGAATAGAGGTGTGTGACAAATGTATAGCAATAACGAAGAACAAAACAGTTTAATTGGAGATGATAAGTCACAAGGAGTGGGTGCATCTGCGCCACTGAGAACGATTTTGAGCCATGTCACCAATTGTTTCCAACCATTGGTTTTTACCATCCCGAGGGCCCCAGCCAGGAAGTCTACATCTTCCTACGTGGCTTAGATTAACTGTTGTGGATTTCATTGATTGGTGCCATGTTTTGGTTTGACCGCCGCTAGCTCTTTTCCAGCCTGACCCTATATCAGCTAACATTGCCCGTCGAGGAAGGCGATGACTAGGCATACGTAGCACATGTCCTAACCATCTCAGTCGAAGTAATTTCACAGTCTCGTCGATTGATTTCCCCGCCTTACCTAGCACTCGACGCCTAACCTCAATATTGCTCACCTTATTATACCACTTCACGCGGGAGATAGAACGCAGACACCTATGATCGAACACAGCTAATCTTTTCATGTCTTCCGCTCTCAATGGCCAGGTCTCACAGCCATAAAGGAGGACGGAGCGGACTGTTGAGCAGTACACACGCCCTTTGGTCGATAGTCGGATATCGCGTCTACGCCAGAGACGGCGAAAACTGGCGTATGCGAACCTAGCCCTCTGTATTCGTGCTGATATTTCATCTGAGATCAACCCGTTGGGGCTGATGGTACTTCCCAAGTAAGTGAAGCGGTCAACGTGCTCTACCGCTTCACTTCCTATTTCTAATCTAGGGGTTGTTGAAGTCCAATCCTGCAGCATCATCTTACATTTTATAGGGGCGAATCGCATGCCGAACATGCGGAGATTGTTGCTCAGGGTGTTCAGTAGACTCTGCATTTTGTCAGCGTCCTCGCCTAGAAGGACTATATCGTCCGCATATTCTAAGTCAACGAGATTCTTCCCTGGTAGCAAGTCAATCCCTGAGTCGCTGAAGTGAGTTAGGGTTAAGTCCATTAGTACATCTATGATGAAATTGAATAAGAATGGGGATAATGGGCATCCTTGACGGACGCCACTAGTCGTCACCACTTCAGATGACAACTCGCCATAAGCCCTCACCTGGCTGCATGAGTACGAGTAGAGTGCCTTAATCAGTGCAATGTATTTTCTTGGCATTCCCTTTACAGCCAAGCACCGCCAGAGAACCTCCCGGTCGACAGAATCGAATGCCGCCTTTAGGTCAAGAAATATAATGATTGTCGGACGCCGGTAGGAATGCCTATGTTCTAGAATCTGTCGAAGGGTGAAGATGTGATCAATACACCCTCTACCTGGCCTAAAACCTGCCTGGTTTTCTCGTGTTTGTGTCTCCCGAGCACCACTTAATCTACGCAGTATTATTGAGCCTAGGATTTTAGATACTATATTAGTCAAGCTAATCCCTCTGTGATTATCACAAGACGACTTGTCCCCCTTCTTGTATATCGGGATGATCAGTGACTTACACCAACCCGATGGGACTTCCTCTGATTCCCAGACGCTGCCTAGAACCTCCGTTAACGCAGACAGTAAACTGTCGCCTCCGTACTTAAATACCTCTGGAGTCAATAAATCAGGTCCCGCTGCTTTGCCTAGCTTCAGATTGGTGACAGCTTTAGTAACCTCGGTTAAGGACGGAGGACCTGTGTCTATCTCCCATTCAGGGAGGTGTTGGATGTTCGGCAGGTTAAGTGTGGCTGTGGGCCAATTAAACTGCTCCTCATAGTGTTCTTTCCAGCGCTCCAGACGTCTATCCTGGGAGCTAATTATGGTGCCATTTTTCTCGGAGATTGTTTCGCTTATCATTTGTTTTTTACCACCTGTTTCCCTGATAAGCCTGAATAGTTGTCTGGTGTTGCCTATCGCCGATGCTTTTTCCATCTCTTTCGCCTTTGTCAACCACCACTGTTCACGGTCCTTGCGGAGACTTTTCGTAAGTTTCCTCTTGTGCAGCTTTCGCTCCTCATTGAATTCGGAGCTCGCCGGAATAAGTCTTCTAGCATCTATCAGTTCGGATGAGGCAGGCGAAATCCAATGGTTTTTACTCACCTTTGGATTTACCTTATTCACAGCTTTTACAGCTGTATCTATGGCTGACTGAATATTCTTCCAGGCTTCTTCAGGGTGAGCACAGCTGTCGAACTCAGATATGTGTTTAGCTAGTTCTTCCTCAAATAGGGACTTAGTTCCCTGGTCGAGCTGGGGACGTGATGGGTTTACCGCCAGCTGTTTCCTACGTCCGTTCAGTCGTAAGCACACACGAGCGCGGACCAGTGCGTGATCGGTATCTACACACGTGTTCCAGAAGGAGCGACAATCTGCTACCGACCCACGCCAACGGTAGCTTATTGCTATGTGGTCTATTTGTGTCCATCGTTGATTTGATGATGGTGGTCGCCAGGTCAAACAGTGTCTCTCCTTGTGTTTGAAGTTAGTGCTTACAAGATACAAATGATTATCTGAACAGAACTGTAGGAGACGGTCACCGTTGTCGGTTCGCTGGCACGGAATTCCGTATGTGCCACCAACATTCTTCTCAGATTGACACAATTTCCCTACTTGAGCATTAAAGTCACCAGCTAAAACGACTATATCTGAGCGTCTAGCCTTTCGCAGCAAACTAGACAGCTTTTGGTAGAACTCATCCTTCGTTTCATCCGAACTGCAGTCAGTGGGGGCGTAGGCGGAGATTACGAAAAGGCATCGGCGAGTAGTGCAGTCCTTTCTCCTTTTCACTGATCCGTTCAGGCGGACAGCACACATTCGGCTATCTACCGGGATCCAGTCAAGTAATGTCTTTTCTGCTCTAGTACTTAAAGCTATCCCAACACCAGCTAGTCCTCGTGAGCTAGCCGTCGCATCTCCTGACACCCTCAAGGTGAATTTTGCAGATTCATCCTGTTGGCCAGGTGGGGTTAGGTGAATAACCACACTTGGGTCCTGTATGCGTGTTTCTGAAACACAACATACATCAATGGCTCGGGATGCCAGAGTCTTGGCTAGTGATGCTTGTTGTCCTATTTGGCAAAGTGTCCTAACATTAAATGCTCCTATATAAAATTGGTGGCGTGGTTTTAGGAGACAATCGGTGGAGGCTTTTTGGCTTCCATCGTTATCAGTGCACACAGAGTGAAGGGGAAGTGAAGAGCCAACAAGTAGAGGAGTCGCATTGGTAGAAGGAAGGCAAGATAATAGAGATGAAGATGAAGACAAAGATGAGCGAGGATTAGAGGGGTTTCGCGTGCACTTCGGATTGTGAGGGCGATTGTTACTTCCCGGCTGCCCACACCGTGGAAGTTGGTTGCGTGACCGCAGAGCCCAGGGGACAACTGCTTGAGGCCGGTCACACACGGCCTGTTTTTGTTTGTTCTTTTTTATTTGGTGTGTCTCAGTAGCGTATTTATCACTTCTGCCCTGTGACACGGCAGCAGAAAGCGCGGTCGTTGTTAATCCGGGCCCCGACCGATCCGGCATGATATTTTGTGATTTATTTGAAATCATAGGATTGGATTGGGTAACTGCTTTTAGTCTAACTGCTATCCAAACAACCTTTCTGGCATGGTAGGACCTGCAGGAACATAAGTTCCAGCCAGTATAGCTTGTTGGGTCATTGCAGTGTTCAAGCCCGACCACCACGTCAAGGTAGCAGCTTTCGGTCGGGGAAATCTGAATTTCGTTGTTTATGCTGTTTGAGTGAAGGCAGAAGATTTCCAAACTAATTTCAGGTTAGTGAAGGCGTGTCTTGCCTTTCCGATTTTGACGTCTTCATCTGCTCCTCTTGTGGTTGAAACGATGCTGCTTAAATAAGGGAAAGAAGTGGTTGGGTTCAAATTTATTGCGTTGATAGGGGTTGTTGCTTGTTTGTCGTTATTTTATTCACCAGCGTCTTCTCCTAGTACACTTGAATTTCTGTCTTCTCTGTCGGAATCTAACATATTAGTTTTCGCCTGTAGATGCTGGCTGCATGTTAAAAACCAGAGTAGATTATGATAATCTATACTGGCTTTGTTATATATTTAGTTTCATCGTCAAAGTTTAGATTAACAAACAATCTTCCTATTTCTTTTTCTTTTTCATTCCTGTGGAATATATGGCTTAAACTTTGAGTTTGAAGTTTCAATACCTGTGATGTTGTTTCCTACGAGGTACAGTTGCTATCCTCTCACCCAATATTCTTTCTTTTCCAGCCTTATTGTCAGCTAGTGAACTAAATGAGGTTTAGAAATGCATCGGCTGAGAATCGAACTGGAGACCACGTGAATGATTGGTGAGCGTCCAACCAGTGAACCACCGACTCACTAATACTCTTTCAGCGAAAAAGAGACTCGACTGCTTTTCTTTTTTCTAAAACCATTTGTTTTCTATGGATTTAGAATTTCTAGAAATCGCATCATATGACCCATTCCTAGATCAGGGCATTTGTGTTTACACTGTGTGAATATTGTTATGAGTTGATTTGTAGGGATTTGATTTGTTCTTCAAGTTTTACCACGGATTGATATCAGTTAGAGAACCATTGAATACCAAGGAGTACTAGACAGCTGTTTCGTCAGCCTAGTTTGGGACTCATTGACAGTTCTCACCCACTGGGTTTCGAACCCATGACATTCCGGTTACAAGGCAACCTCACAGACCATTCAGCCACTGGGACCTGATTCAATGGCCAGCCCATGAATTCTAACTTCTACCAATCAGTAATGTTAGCGCGACCACCAACCAGTGTCTTCGCACTCCCGACGGAATGAACCCCACTGGTTACGACTTGTCACTAGAAGTTCCAGGAAACTCCGTCCTGTAGTCAGTCATTGTTATGTGTGCCCCTGTACATCAAATTTAGACTTTGTATTCAATGGCCACTGTAATGTTCACATTTTCCTAAACCTGCTACCGACTGAAGTTGACCAGTGTATTATTTACCATTTGTGTGATCAAGTTCAACTTATTTTTGGCTCACTGCATAATGATTCTCTTGATTGATGGGGTTCAGGAGGTTCACACATCAAGAAATAACGATAAACTTCTTTGAATATGTTTTATGTGAGAACGGTTATTTAATTAGTGATCCCAGCATGAATTTAACTTTTATCATCTCATTTCTCATCACCAGAGGGATTGTTCTTTTGTTCAGTTTGTATGGTTAAATGCATTCCTGCCAACTCTAGTATCTTTTATTATTTATCATTATTTTTTTTTCTTTAAAGGAACGTATTGCAACCTTGGAAGCTCATTTAGAAGAAGCTCGAACACGTATTACAAATCATGAAAATTTACGAAAGGTGGGTGTGTGTACTACTATTGGACTATTTTCCGACTCATTTATATTTTGATATTTAGTTTATTTATCTATGTGCACCACTTTACTTTATTGAATTTCATTATTAGGGAGTTATAGGTGGTTCACCTTTATATTTTTAAAATTTTCTTTGAAAAAAATATCCTAAATACAAGTAATTGTTCACAGGTTTGGTCACCATCTGACATCAGTTAGAGAACCATTGGAAAACCGACGAGTACTGGACAGTCGTTTCGTCCTAGTTTAGGACACCTCAGAGGCACACATTCACAGTGGTTCGAATCCAAGACCTTTCAGTTACAAGGAGAACTTGAAGGTCGGTCGGTCGGTTTTCGACATAGAACTTTGCACATATGTGCGGCAGTTCAAGTCGCCACACTCCATGTAGCACACAAAACAAGAGAAGAAATTAGCAGAAATGCATAATAAAGACAGTAAACAGAGGTGTGAGACAAAGGAATAGTAATAACAAAGAACAAAACAGTTTAATTGGAAATTATAAGTCACAAGGAGTGGATGCATCTACACCAGCCACTGAGAACGATTTTGAGCCATGTCACCAATTGTTTCCAACCATTGGTTTTTACCGTCCCGAGGACCCCAACCAGGAAGTCTGCACCTTCCTACGTGGCTTAGACTAACTGTTGTGGATTTCATTGACTGGTTCCATGTTTTGGTTTGACCACCACTGGCTAGCTCTTTTCCAGCCTGACCCTATATCAGCTAACATTGCCCGTCGAGGAAGGCGATGACTAGGCATACGTAACACATGTCCTAACCATCTCGGTCGATGTAATATCACAGTCTTGTCTATTGATTACCCCGCCTTACCTAGCACTCGACGCCTAACCTCAATATTGCTCACGTTATTATACTTCACGCGGGAGATAGAACGCAGACACCTATGATCGAAGACAGCTAATCTTTTCATGTCGTCTGCTCTCAATGGCCAGGTCTCACAGCCATAAAGGAGGACGGAGCGGACTGTTGAGCAGTACACACGCCCTTTGGTCGATAGCCAGCCGGATATCACGTCTGCGCCAGAGACGGCGTAAACTGGCGTATGCGAACCTAGCCCTCTGTATTCGTGCTGAGATTTCGTCTGAGATCAACCCGTTGGGGCTGATGGTACTTCCCAAATAAGTGAAGTGGTCAACACGGTCTACCACTTCACTTCCTATTTCTAATCTAGGGGTCGGTGAAGTCCAATCCTGCAGCATCATCTTACATTTTACATGGGCGAATCGCATGCCAAACATACGAAGATTGTTGCTCAAGGTATTCAGTAGACTCTGCATTTTTTCAGCGTCCTCGCCTAGAAGGACTATATCGTCCGCATATTCTAAGTCGACGAGATTATTCCCTGGTAGCAAGTCAATCCCTGAGTCGCTGAAGTGTGTTAGGGTTAAGTCCATTAGTACGTCTATGATGAAGTTGAATAGGAATGGGGATAATGGGCATCCTTGACGGAAACCACTAGTCGTCACCACTTCAGATGACAACTCGCCATAGGCCCTCACCTGGCTGCATGAGTACGAGTAGAGTGCCTTAATCAGTGCAATGTATTTTCTCGGCATTCCCTTTACAACCAAGCATCGCAAGAGAATCTCTCGGTCGACAGAATCGAATGCCGCCTTTAGGTCAAGAAAAATAATGATAATAATGAAAAATAATGAATGAGAACTTGAAGACCTATGAGCCACTGAAATGAGAGTCTATGACCCATGAATTTCAACTTTTCCCTATTGTCGATATATAGAGCAATCTCCAGTCAATATCGGCGGTGAATAACTGTCCTCTTACCTGACTTGGTGGACGCCATGGGTTCGGACTTCTCACTAGAACTCCAGGAAACTTTCTGATAGGGCCAGTTGCTAGTAGGCATTAGATTAATTGTCAAGTGTTGGTTTGTAGGCATTTCATCGGTCATAGGTGTTTGGTCACGAGCGAACATTTGTCAGATGCGTGAATACTGCTGAAAAGTCTCAAGCTAGAACGAAACAGCTGTCAGGTACTCCGAAGTTTTCCTGTGGTTCTCTACCTGATATCAGCTCGTCATCAAAAGTGTAACCAATGAAATCTTTACAAACCAACAATTGACAATAAACAATTGTTTCTTGTGGTGTATTCTGTAAAAGTATTAAATTTTCAGCTAGGAATATACAACTGTGGTGAGAGCTGTCTACTAGCCGAATTGGTAGACAGTAATTTACGTCAATATTTACGTTCCCAAGATTTGTCGTGAGAAACAACCAATCGGAAGACTGTGTTTGTTTGTTTACATATCCATAGTAATGTACATGAAAACACATATAAATATGCGTTGATTTCCTTAATAAATGATCTGTAGCCTGACTCTTGCCTTCTGTCGTTACACAACTTATCTATACAACGGATACAGTAGACGACAACAGCAGAATACCGACCAGTAAGTATAATTCTAGAAGACAAATGCCCTTCAAAGTTTCTAAACTGATGTAGAGGATAACTACAAAAATTGCTGTCTACTCTATCCCGAAAGTGGATTTTTGAGACAGAGACTGAAATCTGTTATATGTAGAAAAAATAAGTGATTTTTTTTATTAAAGTAAACAGCTTCTGTGAGGTTGGGAAACTTCAGAATTCTACTTTCCTACCTAGATAATATTTAACAAGTTTGTCTCTAATAATAATTGAAGCTGTCCCATGAAAAATGAATGTAAGCATATTACAGATGTTATACATGAACGTCTGGTGATCACGAAAGACAGTATAGTTCATCAAGATGATAGTATGAGTTATATTTTTATGAAAATCATGAAATATATATATATATATATATATATATATATATATGGTATTTTGATGCTTATTTCTAAACAAGAAATTTCTTATGTTTACTCTCCATAAAAACAAAAGGAAGTAAGTTCATAACGCTGTGTTAAATGATTTCACTTAATTTTAATCATGAGCTGATATCATTTACAGAACAATCAAGGTATACTGAACAGCTGCTTCGTCTTATTTTGAGACTCTTCATCATCGAGCAGTCGCCTTTAGTAATCGAAGCTAGGACCTACCGGTTACAAGGTGGGATTGTAGACTATTTAGCCACTGGACAATGGCCAATACATCAGTTCCAATTTCCACCGATTCATGATTTTTTAGCGCTACCACGAGCCAATGTCATTGGCGGCGAGTTTTTGTCCTCACACCCATCCCACTGGCCATGACCTCTCACTAGGACTCCAGAGGAACTCGTCCTGTCGTCAATCACTGGCGAGCATCAAATTAATTTCGAACAGTTAGTTTGTAGGAGTTTGATTTATTTCAAGTTTGATCATGGAACATTATCAGTTAAGGATATTCATTGGAAAACCAAGAAGTGTTGGACACCTGTTTCATCCAGTTCGTGATTTTAAATTGGTGTAGGAGTTGTAATTCGTGGGCCACTGGATCTGGTCCCAGTGGCTGAATTGTTTAATCGATTTCTGTGTAACTGGAAGCTCCTGAGTTCGAACTCCAGTGGGTGTGTAGTGCTGTAGAGTCTCAAAGTTGGACGAAATTTCCGCCCAGTATTCTGGCTTTCAATGGTTCTGTAACTGCTATTAGCTCGGGACCACACCTGAAAAAAATCACATCGCTGCAAACTAATTCTTGAAGATTTCGTTCAAAACCGTACAACTTTTAAACTCTATGTCATTTGATGTGAACTGTCATCTTTTTCAATTGATAGGAAAGTGAGCGTGACATACATTCGTTGTTTGAGTGGGTTTTTACTCCTGATATATTGTTTTAGTTGCTGAACAAAAACATAAGAATAAATACGGATAACCACATATGAAACAGGCAAGTGACCTGAACATAACTAACTGGTGAAGTCGCTGACTTTCACATTAGGTGGTGTGTTGCTGAATCTCAAAGAGAAAACATGAGTTTCTTCAGATCAATGAATATTTTTTGCTGATGACTGTTAAAGAGCACTAAACTCAACATCAAACATTGAGTTTAGTGATAGCATTGATTTTAACTAGCACTTACTGTGATTACTGTCTGGCGACAAACTTTCATGCACTGTATTCATGTAGAAATCGATTGTTGCATAATTGCTAATGCGGATGCAGTTTATGCGTCTTTTAGAAGCAGAGTAATAGTCAGTCACTGTGCCTCAGCTGACCTGATGTCCAGCCTATAAATTCATAAATTCTGTTTTATACTTTTATGGTTTAAAAGTGTTTGGGGTTTATCTATCCAATATGTTTAAACTCTGCTCTGTTTGTAACATTCAGTTTTTCAAGTTTATGGCCGCACAGTTCGCTTTGTTGTTGTTATTCAAAGTTTGTTTCTATTCTGATCTTTTGTTGTTGTTTTTTTAAACTCTGATTTCTCTTATGTTCTTTTGTTTGTTTGTTTATTTGACTATAGGAAATTAAACAACAGAAAGCAGAAATGGCAGCTCAAGAATCTATTATAGCTGGTTTAAGAGCAGAAAGACGGAATTGGAGTGAAGAGTTGGCTAAACAAGGTGTGTGTTTGTGTATGTGTGTGTAACAGACTTTTGCATATGAAGATAAATTTTTATGGAATCATAAGACTGTTTCTGTGACTCTTTTTCATAAGCTCTCTAAGAACTACAGTAATTGTTGCCAGTCGCTTACGTGACTGAAAATTATACAAATACCATCAGTGTGCATAATACATACGTTGATTTTAGAGTTTTGTTTCTAGGATGATAAACTGCTTTTTTGTATCCCTTCTGGTATCTGGACCAGAACAAGCTGGATTCAGGAAAGGCAAATCATGTTCTGACCAAATTACAACTCTACGCATCATCATCGAACAAAGCATTGAATGGCAATCAAACCTCTACCTCAACTTCATAGACTTTGAGAAGGCCTTCGACAGCGTTGACCGCGAAGTAATTTGGAAACTACGCGAGTACTACGGCGTACCCCAAATATCCATCAACCTTATTCAACAGCTGTGCGACAATGGCACATGTCAAGTGATCCACAACCGAAAACTCAGCGAGGCGTTTGGAGTAAACACAGGAGTCAGACAAGGGTGCTTATTATCACCAATGATATTCCTAACTGTGGTGGACGGACTGGATTATGCGTCAGACAGTGAGAAACGAGAAGACAGGGATATCCTGGACCGACGTGAAGAACCTAGAAGACCTGGATTTTGCGGATGATTTATGTTTGATGTCACACAAAATCGAAGACTTACAAACGAAAACCGACAAACTGATCAAAGAAGCAGTAAAGACACGACTCCAGGTGAACATAGACAAGACGGAGGTTACGAAAATAACCAATGAACAACAACAACAGCAGCAGCAACATCCAGCGCCAATCACCATCAACGGGAGGGATTTGAAAGAGGTTACTTCATTCACTTCACTTATCTAGGGAGCATTGTCTCAACTATAGGAGGAACGGACGAGGATGTCAAATCGAGAATCGGGAAGGCGAGAAACACATTCATCAACCTGAAACCAATCTGGAAATCTTCGTCACTCAGCTTGCATCAACAACAAAATTCGGATTTTCAATACACACGTCAAGTCAGTCAGTTCTTCTATACGGATCAGAAACTTGGCCAGTGTGTCACAAAGAACATTTCCAACAGCCTGTTGCAGACCTTTATCAATAACTGTCTTCGTTCTATACTGAAGATCAGATGACTGGAAAGAATCACCAACAAGAAACTATGGGAACAAAAAAAACAAGAACTAATCGCCCAAGAAATATGCAGGAGAAAGTGGAGATGGATTGGACACTCACTGAGGAGGCCACTGGGTGACATCGCGCGTCAGGCCAGTGCTCGAGTGGGACCCGAAAGGGAAGCGGCGAATGGGATGTCCAAGGGTGACATGGAGGAGATCGTGTGAAGAGGAGTTGAAACAGTTTGGACTAACATGGATGCAAGTGAAATGTACAGCAGAAGACAGAAGCAAGTGGAGACGTGCAGTTGAAGCCCTATGTTCCACTAGGAACCCAAGGGAACAATGAAAAAATTTATAAATCTGGTATCTGGTGTACTCAAGACATCCAGCTTGACTACATATTCCTCTTCTGAAATTATCTTTAAGGTAAGAGGGAATGGTACATTGGGTGTTAGGTTTGGGTATTTGTGTATCTGGTATAGGCATTAGAGAAATCTATGTGTAGAAAATGGTTTGTTCAGACCCTAATTCTACCGTGGTTTTAAACTCGTTCGTAATTGGATGAAAGATTTCATCATGAGCTGACATCAGTTAGAGAACCACTGGAAAACCTGGAAGTACTGGACAGCTGTCTCGTCCTAGTTTGGGACTCTTTGGCAGGACGCACCCACCGAGGTTCGAACCCGAAACCTTCTCGTTGCAAGGCGAGGTTGTACACCATTGAGCCACTTGGACCTGATCCAATGGTCCATGTATTCTAACTTCTGTCAATTCACGATATAGCGTGACCATTTCACAATGTCTTCTTTCGTAATTGTTTGTTTCAGGAAGTAATTATAACTATTAGTTTTCTTGTGGTAGAAGCTTTCTGTCAGCAAAATTTGTTGACAGCAATTTATGTCAATGTTACGTTCTGAATCGGGGTCATGAAAAAAACAATAACAAAGCTTCGTCTTGAGGAACTCACCAACCAATCACGGCAGACTTAACGTGTGCGAATAGGATTCGCAGATATATGGCTTAACTTTTTGAGAAACGATCACAAGCAGTACAAAATAACCCTCTGCAAGGAAATGACCAATCAGAATACGACGCTTCTCAGCTGACAATAAAAATCTATAAATATCTTTTGATTTTCTCAATAAACGATCTATTGCCTGGTCCTTGTCTTCTGGTGTTACACTCCTACATGGTGTTTTTGTACATTCTACTAGTCATTTTTTTCTGTCACTTGTTAAGTAGACTCCCAACTATTTCTATTTTTTTACAAATTACTTCTGGGCTACTGTATCAGTGTTACTTCCTTCCCTATTACTCAATAATAGACTGCAATACATTTTTGGTAAATATAAATACAACTGTACACCCTTTACAGATGACTTTATCGATAAAGAAAATTTTCTTCATTTAACTACTTTTTATTTTCCCCATAATAAACAATGTTTTATCTGCTTCTTGGTAAGATATGAAAATTGTCCTCGTGCTTAAATCATCAAATGCATCGTGCGTCAAGTTTAGACCAATTTCTGTTACTTTACCATTTTCAAAAATAATGGAAAAACGGCTCTGACTTGACTGTTAAGCTTCCTCATTGAAGGCTTTTAATGACCTAAAACAGTTCGTTTACAAATATGATTGATGTACTTTACATGGCGCTGTTATCTTACATCATACTATTGTCTCCAATTCGGACAGAGGTGTCAAATATGTTCGGTATTTTGATGTGGTTGTGTTCTCTGAGCTGGACAGTTGATTTGCGAAGCTTTCATTGGCCTACTAGGCAATATCTTCAGCGCATACTTCAATTCGAATTGAAGTGTGCTTTTAGATTTCTCCACGAATTTATTAGTGATCTCTCCTGGTGACCTTGAACGTGACCCTTTGGTTGTTTATTTGTGTTTTCACGCCCTCTAGGCTACTTGTATTGGAACTGATTGTTTCTTGGACTTGAACTTTGACCCTTTGTGTGTGCGAGATTTCCTTCTTATCGGTTGGTAAATTTCGTCTATCTCCAAATGTCTATTAATTGACGATTCACTGGAATATCAGGCTTCTAAAAATTCTCTAGCATTCTTGTTGTTTCCTCTGTCTAATATTTGAACTTTGTCCCAGTCGAATTGATGTCCGTGGTTGAGACTCAACAACGAAAGAAGATAAAGCCAACGTCATCTACAAAATAAATTGCAACAATTACAAAAAACACTACATTGGCCAAAGTGGACGTCCCCTTCGTCTTCGTACCCATGATCATAAGCTAGCCGTCAAAAGACAAGACATCCACCCCCTCATATCACTACATACAGACAACCATGGACATCAATTCGCCTGGGACAACGTACAAATATTAGACAGAGGAAACAACAAGAATGTCATAGAGTTTCTGTGTTTTGGTATTCATTCTGGAAAGGCTTGGGTTATTGTCAGTTAATTATTATAAAAACTGTTAAGCATATCTGTAATATCTTCTTCTTCTAAGGATCAGCTTTAGCTCAGGATCGTGGACGTTTAGAGGCGAAAATTGAAGCTCAAGAGTTAGAGATTGCCAGTCTCAAGAAGTCATTAGAGGTAAAATTCTCCGTAATTTCATTCAGTTTTTAGATTATTTTTGTATCTTATTGTTTTATGAAAAACTGCCAATTATTTTAAAACTCATTTATTTGAAGTTAATAGGTCTGTTGTATGCTGGGACTTTTTATCGCAGTGAGCAGTTCTTGCCATTTGATTGGATAGTTTGTGGATTAAACTTCATCCTATTAGGCTTAATCACATCGACATAATGGATGGTGACTAGCAGTGGAATCCAGCCAGGATGCGTATTTCGTCCTATTTGGGCCTCGTCATCTGAATTCACCTGCAATTCCCAGTGAGTGACAGTGTTCCCACCGAGACTCGAACACCATCACTCATTAGGAACGCAGTCACGTTCAGTTGACGAGTCCCAAATAGGACGAAATGCACTTCCTGGCTGGATTCCACTGCTAGTCACCAACCATCCACTAAAAATAATTCAAGTTAATCCTCAGAGATAGTCGAAGCGTCTGCACTAGGAACCGACATTTCAACACAGAGGCTGAACACTTCGGTCCAATCAACCAAGTGGGAAAATCAAAAGTGAATTATTTTCTATAGTTTGGTTTGTAAGGATTAGTTATGTTTTACGAGTTGATCACGGATTGATATCAGTTAGAGAACCTTTGAAAGCCAGGGAGTACTGGACAGCTGCTGTTTCATCCTAGTTTGGGAATCATCCACTGGCGTTTGAATCCAGGACCTTCCGGTTACAAGGCAAGCTCGTATGCCATTCAGCCACTGGGACCCGATTCAATGGCTCATGAATTCTAACTTCTACCAATTCGTGATTTTAGCGCGACCCCAACTATTGTAGTTGGTGGAAATCCATCCACACGTGACTTCTAACCAAACTATAGAAAATTATTCTGATGCTCGCTAGTGACTTGCTAGAGGTTGGAGCTTCCTGTAGTTCTAGTGAGAAGTCGTGACCAGTGAGGTCCAATTAGAAGTCACGTGTGGATGGATTTCCACCAACGACAATAGTTGGGGTCGCGCTAAATTCACGAATTGGTAGAAGTTAGAATTCATGAGCCATTGAATCGGGTCCCAGTGGCTGAATGGTATACGAGCTTGCCTTGTAACCGGAAGGTCCTGAGTTCGAATCCCAGTGGGTGCGTACTGCCGATGATTCCCAAACTAGGATGAAACAGCAGCTGTCCAGTACTCCGGTGCTGGTTTTCAATGGTTCTCTAACTGATATCAGTCCGTGATCAACTCGTAAAAGTGAATTAGAAACAAATTTTATTCATGTCACTTTTTTTTCGTTCATCGCATTCTGAGTGAGATATAGAGCGGCAAAATTACACTGTAACAGCTACGAATTACTTTGGACAAACAGTCGTTCCACCAGTCATGAATACAATGTAAGTTTTGTTTCAAGACTTTTCTGCCGATCTCATCTACTTTTAATGTCTATGGTTAGGGGTTATGCTAAGGTTGGGAGTTAGGGTAAAAGTTTAAGGTTAGGAATTAGGTCTATATTATATTTTGCAAAACGCTGAGTTTAAATAGCAACACCGAGCTGTTGACAGACGTGGTAGTCACGAGTGTTGCTTGTCTACGCCAACAACTTGTGTACAACGGCTAACCGATCTCTCAACCCGCGACTTAAGAGAAAACACGCCAAAGACGAGACAGAAAGCAACGGTATATTTTGCACAATAATGTACGATTCAAAAAATCACCAAGGTTATTTCAATTAGTCTATAAACATGGTCAATAAAAAAGTAGGCGTTATTTTACGTAGACCGATTCTGATTGGTTTATTTCTAGGCTGACCTTGATCACCATATCACTCAATATAGGATAATCGACTATTTGTCTGTCTACACCAAGGGTTAGAGTAACGCTGAATAGTCCTAATAAGCGGTCTAAACATTTAAATATACAACTTATCAACAGACTGAAAGTTTTTGACAGTCCTTTATATGGATTTTTTGTTCAAGGTTATTTGGTGGCTCCTATAATTTATTTTCACCCTATAAGGCCTCAAGCTCTTAAATTTCAGTAGTGGTAGTATCATTTTTACGGGGTGGGTTTGCCAGCCTTATGCACAACCTAGCTATTTTTGCGACCAACTATCAGCTACTAAACTAGGCGAGATTTAGGAGTATTTTTCGGCTGGGAGTCGAACCCAAATCGTGTGCGCGGCTAGCGAGTATTCTGCTATTGGACCTCCGACACACTCATATCAAGTAAACTCGTTTAATTTTTGCTTCACCGTGCGATTTATGTACATTTTATCAGTTTCCAGTTCAAATCTATAAAATGTGTGGAACAGTCTACATCTTACACCTGTTAGTTGTGGTTAGATGTGTTTTCAAGATTGATTTTGTGCCTCCGTGGCACAGCGGTAGAATGCTCGCTAACTACGCCTCATGTGGTTCGAAGTTCGATCCCCGTCCGGCGCACTTCTTTACCTCGCTAAGTCAATAATTGAGATTGGTAAAGAGGGAGGGTTGAGCATGAGACTAGCAACCCCATCCCATGAAAATAATAAATACCAATGCTACCGAAACTTCAAGTCTCTAGCTTGAAACCCTATGTTCCACTGGGAACATAAAGGAATAAAAAAAGATTGATTTACCCGTCATATCCTATTCAGAACTAAAAATAGTTAAGGAATTGAGCATTTCTATTGGTTTGCGCATTTTGTTTATTGATTTAACTGCACAAGTAAGACATTGTTTGCATTTTTGGCTAGCATACATCAACTTTTGTATACATTTCACTTACTTTCAGGTATATATCGTTGTTTATTTTTCACAGCTGTGTAACTCAGTAGTCTCATATGTTAGACAGTTATCCATATTGAAACAGGAAACCCACCTAGGTCCAGGGCTTTCTGCCTATTGTCACTAATTATCTAACATCGGTTCAGGATGCACCGTGATAGTGAGTCACCTAGCCCAGTGATAACGTCTCTCTGATTTGCAGCACTTGGAGACTTGGGTTCGAATCTCAAAGGGGATATGAGTTCCTTCAAGATTGCAGATGCATACACCTTGTTGACATGTGTCAACAAGCACGAGTACTAAATCCAGGGCTTCCTTCCAACAACAAACAACATTCACTCTCAGCGCAAGAAATTTGAAAGGAGTCACTTCCTTCATTTATCTAGGATACATCGTTCCAACTACAGGTGACAGCACCGATGAGGATGTCAAAATAGAGCTTCATCACTCTGAAATCAGTTTGGAAACGACTTCCTTCACTGTCTCTATACTGAAGATCACAAAGTTGGTCGGGAAGAATTAGCAACCAGAAACTCTAGGAATGAACCGATCAAGAATCTATTGCTCCTCAAGAAATATTCCGTAGAAAATGGAGATACATCGGACGTACGCTAGGAAGACGACGAATTGGTTGTGAGTCTTAGGGTGACACTGAGGAGATCATGTGAGGAGGAGATGACAGCCTATGGTCCTATTCATGCGGAAAGAAAATTTATTCTTTCTAGAAAATGCTGAAGCATAAGAAGTGTAGTCAACCAGGCACACACACACACCTCGATGAGTGTCGTGTATCAATTCTATTCGCTTGCTGTTGTTTGTTTACAATGTGTTCAGCGAAGACTTCATATAAAGTAGCTCAACACCTCATATTGAACTTTCCTCTCTGTAACATGGTTATCCTGTGTGTGTGTCACTGTATTGAGATCACCAATACTACAGTCTCTCAGCTGAAGAATACTAAACAAGACTGCGTTTGTTTTTGCCTATTTTTATTCTTGACTAAATACGTTTACTGTTGTTGTTGTTTTTTGGTTCTTTCTTTTATTTTAGAGTGAAAACGACTCAGTTAAAATTAAAAATAAAATAATTGACGATCAAACAGATACGATATTAAATTTAAAAAAGGTAAGCCTTTATTCGCTTGTCTTTTCGATGATACTTTCTAAGATAATTTAAAGGCCATTGATTTGAATCATACCACATAGGAAATTAATTTTCTAAGCTAAATATCTAACGTGTCACTTGGTTTATTTGTCAGTAAGTTTAATTAATTTTGTTAATAAGTTGGATAAGGTGGACTTGTTAAGCGGCTTCACCATTGGTGAGTGCTTATAGAAATGAAGCTTACATGAAAGTCATTATTGTCGACTAAGTATTGTTTATTGTTGATAGTGTTCTCGTGACTTTTTGTAGTCAGATCTGCTACAACGGCAGTGAGGTAGTGGTAGTACAGTTCCAAGAGGGTTGTATACTATATATGGATGCGCCTCACCCTGAGATAATATTTAGTGAAGCCACATCTATCGAGATGTGTTGCGAAATCCCTAGCCACTGCTTTCCTCGACATGAAATGTTAGCCAACATGGGATTACGTTGGAAAAGAGTTTGGGAGTGGTCAAATCAGTTGATTTGAGTCAGTCATGTGGTGACAGGCGTAAAATGGATCCACACAAAAATCTTGGAGTATCTGGACTTCACCGATGATTTATGTCTGATTTCTCACAAACTGGAAGATATGCAAGTGAAAAGCAACAAGTTGGTGACAGAAGAAGCATCTAGGGAAGATAGGACTTCAGGTGAACATAGAGAAAACAGAGGTGATTAAGATTCCTGGCCAACAGCAACAGCAACAACAATCAGCATAAATGGGAGGAGTCTGAAAGAAGCAACCTCCTTTACCTACCTACCCATCTAGCTGGGAAGCATCGTTTCAACTACAGGCGGACGAAACTGATGAGGACATCAAAGCAGCGAGGATCGGGAAAGCAAGGCAAGCTTTCATTACTCTCACCAAGTCTGTGTGGAGATCAACAGCACTCAGCATGAAAATGAAAATAAGATCCAGATTTTCAACTCCAATGTGAAGTCAGTGCTACTTACTATATGGATCAGAGACTTGGCCAGCGCGTCACGAAGGCCACTTCGAAGAAACTACAGGCCTTCATCAGCAGCTGTCTTCGCTCAATACTACTCAAGAGCAGATGGCCGGTCAGAAAAGATCAGCAACAATGATATCTGCAAGCGAACCAACCAGGAACTGACTGTGCAACAAATATGCTGGAAGAAATGGAGATGGATTGGCCATACTCTGAGAAAACAAACCATCATCAAGTGACATCAGACGCCTGGTCATCCATGGAGTGGAACCCGAATGGGAAGCAGCGAGTTAGTTGGTCGTCCAAGGTTTTGACATCGTCATCTGTGCCACTGTCTGTAGTCGAGAGGATGCTGTCTAAATATGAGAGGGAATTGACCTCTTTCAAATCTATCTCTATCATAGTGATTGATACTTGCAGTTGTTGGGTATCTTCATCACCTCTGACTTCTCTCTCTCTCTATTCACTTGAATTTCTGTCTTTGTTGCATCTTCTCGCTCCTCACAGTCTTCCGCATAATCCAGTCCCCGAAAATGAGGAATATCATCCGCGACTAAATACTTAGCTGCAATAAGGAGTGGGCTCATTATTATTATTATGGTTTCCTTTAATTCCTAGAGGAACATAGGGCTTCAGCCGAACGTCTCCATTGCGTTCGGTTATCTGCTAGAGTCTTCACCTGGCTCCACGTCTGCCCACACGCTTTTATCTCCTCTTCACATGACCTACTCCAATCACCTTGGACGACCAACTCGTCGCTTCCTTTTCGGGTTCCGCTCGAGAGCTAGTCTAGTGATGTCACTTGATGGTTTCCTCAGAGTATGGCCAATCCATCTCCATTTCTTCTTGCCTATTTGTTTCACAATCGGTTCCTGGTTGGTTCATTAAGTGCCAGAGATCTCTATTGCTGATCTTTTCTGGCCATCTGATATTGAGTAGTATTGAGCGAAGACAACTGTTAATGAAGGTCTGTGGTTTGTTTGAGATGCTCTTTATGACGCCCAGTGCAAGTCTCTGATCCGTATAGTAGAGTAGCCTCATAGCTGTTATTATTCTAACTACCCGACCGATAGCTGCTACTGTGACGTGGTGGTCGAACTGGTATGTGGCGATGACCCAACAAGCTACACTGGCTGGAACTATTGTTCCTGCAAGTCCCACCATGCCAGGAAAATTGTTAGGGTAGAGATTAGACTAAAAGCAGTTACCGGCATAATGTAAGAATTTTTCTTTTATACACCATGCTGAGGGTCTGTGGGCGAAGTCGTACTGCTGGGGATCAGGGATGTAGCAGCAGTGAGGTGTTTCCCTCAGATGACCAGCATGCCAACTATGCTTTCTCTCCACTCTGGAGAGGGGGGGGTTATAAAAGGTCGACCCCAGAAATTGTACATCCCGACTTACTCTATTGTGATCCGTAACTGGCGGTAAGTTACAAATACGGAACCAATTCAATAAACCAGTTCATACAGGCCTTGTCTGACCGGCCTCAAGCAGTTGTCTCCTGAACTCTGTGGTCACGCAACAATAACTCTCAACTTCTACGGTGTGGGCAGCCGGGAAGTAACAACCGCCCACACACTCCCAAGAGCACACGAAGCCCTCCTGAGCAGTCAGTCATGAAGAATTACATTTTTATTTGACTTTATAATAATGACAGACAATTCGACTTTTACATCATGAGCTGACATTAGTTAGAGAACCATTGGAAAACCTGGGAGTACTGGACAGCTGTTTCGTCCTAGTTTGGGACTCTTCACCAGTACGCACCCATCTTCAGGGTTCGGACCCAGGACCTTCTGGTTACAAGGCGAGCTCGTATACCATTAAGCCACTGGGACCCGATCCAATGGCCAGCCCATGAATTCTAACTCCTGCCAATTCACGATATAGCGCAACCGCTATCCAATGTCTTCGGTGAGTATTCGTCCTCACACCCGACCTGCTGCACCCTACTGGTCACGAATTCTCACTAGAACCTCAGGTAACTACCTACCTGGGTTCGAATCCCGGTGGGTGCGTCCTGCCAAAGAGTCCCAAACTAGGACGAGACAGCTGTCCAGTACTCCCAGGTTTTCCAGTGGTTCTCTAACGAATGTCAGCTCATGATGAAAATCCTGTAACCAATCAAATCCCTACAAACCAACACTTAAAAATTCGACTTTTATTCGTAGTTGATTATCTTATAACTTTTTTTTGTAAGTAAAAACTGGAAAAGCTGATACATTTTTTCTATACCTTTATACTTGCTATAAAAGTGTATTCAGGAGAATCAAGCTGAAATAAAACGTCTTCAAAATGATGCTGTACAAAATCATCGAAGTTTAGAAAACCAATTGAGTCAAAAAGTTAAAGAAAATACAGAAATGAATGTAAGTTTACTGATTGCTTGTTTGTTTGTTTTTCAATATATTGTGAATAAGTTATTTTCTTGAATCTCCCCCCCCTTTCCAGGCGTTAATCAAAAGAACAAACAGCTAGTTCAGCGAAGAGGCTCTTTTCGGCGAATTCATTTACTTCTTTAGCTGTCCAGTCGGATTTATATACAATTCTTCCACGAAACAGGATAGTAGATGCCACTGTGGTCTTGCATCTTAATGATGTCTCTAGTTCAGACAGGGGTGCCCAAATATGTAGATATTATGATAGCTGGCCCAAAAATTCGAACAGGCCGACAGGTCAAAGAACTGGTTAGCACTCACGAGGTGTGCAACATAGATGGCACTGAAATAGAAATCAAGTCGGAAATTAAATATCTAGGCGTCATTCTATCTGCTGATCTTTCCTGGTCGTCTCATATCTTGATGATTTCTAAGAAAATATTCCGTCGTACCTTCCACATCAAAAAATTAAGACATTCTGGATTAACCCAGCCCTTACTCCTACAATTCATTAACTCTCATTCGCATTCTGCCTATTATTCTCTATTGTCCCCCCTTAATTTTCCCAGGGCTACTGAAGAAAGACTATAACATATTACGCAGGATGTTAAAGGTTGTCAGCAGGGTAAGCAATGTGCTACTTAACCAGCTTGTTAATATTCTGGTTGACAGACAGACATTTGGACTCACGTGAAAAATGGGCTAAATCCATTCTATCTAACTCATACCACCCTCTTTATTCACAACTCTCCCCTTGTATCTCATCAGGTAGAACCAGAAGCCTATATAGAAAACTATATGCTCGCACTAGCAAGTACAAAAACTCAACCATACCCTACTTAGCTCGTGTTCTGTGCGATAAAGAAAGCATTAGGCGTGATACCTATAATTTATTAAATGGTCAGTAGAACAATTGGATCTCGTCTTTCCAACTCATATCATCTATAGGTACAACGTTTTCTTTCTTTCCTTTCCTTTTCTCTCTCTGTATTTTTCCTTTTTTGTTATGTGCTGTTTTGTTTCTCTCTTCCTTACAAACTTTTCTTAAAACACTCTTCTTCATTCTTCCACGCTCTGTATATCTCGACCTTTTGTTACCGCTTACGCCAGTAAATTTGCTAGCATCTACCTCTCTAACACCTTCAAATAATCTGTTCAATTTTTGGCTTTGCTACCGACATGCTAATATGTTTTTGTCAAAACTAACCGAGATTACCCTTAATATATGTAGAATTTTATTTATTGTTAATGCACTAATTGGATGCAATACTGTAGTAAAATGCTGAGAATTCCATTCTGTATCACAAGTGCTGTTTTGGAATAACGCAAATTATTATTATCAAAAAAAATGTCCGGTTTGCCTTCCTTGATTACACAGCTGCCCTCGATTGGGCACCTAGGCCTCTTTTGTTAAACATGCTTGCTGTGACACAAGCAAGCATGCTGGATTAATCAATCGCTGTATTCTTGTTTTGCTGATAGGAATCAGTGTACTGTATGTAAAGGAAGAACTTCCACTGTTTTACTTACTGTATTCGGTGCCCTTTAAGGCGCAGTTCTTTCTTCTTACGTGACATGCTTCATTCTGATGAAGTCGATTTTGATAAGTATTCCAATGATTGTTTCCATGGTGGTCACATTTCAATCTGATTGTTCAAAAATGAATAATTTTTTATCAGAAATTAGTCAGTGGTCCTTGTCGAATGGTTATAAACTAAATCTCTCTAAATGTCAGATTGTTAATTTCACTTTTGTAGACACCAGCATCATTTACGTGAACTGGCTGCTTCTTTCTCATGATTCTTGTATCATAAATGGCACTGAAGTTGAAACTAAGTCAAATGTTCAATACGGTGAATTGTGTCTTTCCGCTATTCTTCTGAGTATACTTCGTCTGACTTTCTATATAAGGAAATTAAGATAATCTGGTATCATTCAGTCTCTGCTTTTACAGTTTATGATTTCTTGTATTCTATCGATTCTTCTTTATTGCTCCCCATTGAACTTTTACTGGGCTACTTAAGAAAGACTTTGTTGCATCGCGAACGGTATTAGAAACTGTCAGTAAGGTGAATAGGGTACGGCCGAACCAACTTGTTAATACTGTTATAGATAGATACGTGAACTGATGCAAGAAAATGGTGAATATCATTCTGTCGAACCCTGAACATCCCCTCTAATACATCATAATTTCTCCTTGCATCTCATTAGCTGGTACTAGAAGCAATTATAAAAGACTTTATTCTCGAACGAGCGGGTGTGAAAACTACGATACCTTATTTCACGCACTTTCTGTCGTTGTCACTAACTTTTAATATTCAAGTGTAGGTTTGTAGGGATTTGACTGATTGGTTACAGGGTTTCACCATGAGCTGACATCGGTTAGAGAACCATTGGAAAACCTGCCACGGGGTGCTGGGTAGCTGTTTCGTCAGCTTAGTTTGGGACTCTTCGGTAGGACGCACCAGTCGCCAGGGTTTGAACCCAGGACCTCCTGATTACAAGGCGAGCTCATAGACCATTAAGCCACTGGGAACCAGTACAATGGCCAGCCCATGAATTTCAACTTCTGCCAATTCACGATATAGCGCAACCACTAGCCAATGTCTTCGGTGAGTATTTGTCCTCACACTCGACCTGCTGTACCTTACTGGTCACTTCCCACTAGAACCCCAGGTAACTACCTGCCTGAATAGGGCCAGTTGCTAGCGAGCATCTCATTGATATTCAGGTATTGGTTTGTAGTGATTTGATTGATTGGTTACAGGATTTCATCATGAGCTGACATTGGTTAGACAACCATTGGAAAACCTGGGAGTACTGGACAGCTGCTTCGCCCTAGTTTGGGACTCTTTATTAACTTGAATGTCCTGCTAATTATACCCCATACTCCGTATTATGTGAAGTGAAAATAAGATGCAGTATTGTACTATGTTCTGAAAGCTCCACGTTGTATCAGAAGCACCGTTTGGAATTAAGCCGTTGTTATCATTATCTTAATGCTACGCTTTTGTTTGTAGGGATTTAATTTTAGAAAAATTGCCTTAAATGGTGTATCCTTCTGGTTAACTGATAAATTATATTTGATGCTCTTTATCAGGATGAAATAAAACATCTTGTTAAGCGTAAAGAAGATTTAAAACAACTGGTATCTGGGCTACAGTCAAAAGTTGATGAGTTACAAGAACAAAATGAGTAAGTTTCATCCTTGTGAATGATTTGTGTCTACTTACTGTTGTTATGTTGTTTTTTTATATGGTATGTCTTCACTAGCTATCTGGATTTCCTTCTTATCGACTTGAGCCCTTTTTTGGAGAGATATAGGTACCTTGATGTGGAAGTCTTTAGGATGTTAAGAATTAGTTGTAGGCGATTCTTCATACCTTTGCTTTATGTCGTATACGATAGTGCATGTATGTGATCAGTCTTTATCACTATCGGATTTCTAAACATTTCCACTAACAATCATCGAATCATTTTCCGCCACTGCAGTACCATTCCTACATGTTCTTGTCAGCAACTTCTTGACCAGAAATCTTCAAATGCTGCAGGACTCGTCTACACTGACTCCAAAAGTTTAAGGACAGGGAGTGCATTGGTAGGGCGTACTGACCACTTCACTTATTTGGGAAGTTGCATCAGCCGTAGTCGACTGATTGCTGACGAAATCTCAACGAGGATACATAAGGCTCCTAGGACATTTACTAACTTACGTTGTCCAACGCAGACGATCTTTCCGGCTATTAATTAAAGAACATGTATAGCGCACTGTAGTTACCTCTGCCTTTTTTCTGGTTGTGAGACATAGTCATTGAAAGCGTTAGATATGAAAACGCTAGCCATATTTGATCACAGATATCTGCATTCTATGTCTAGTATTAAGTGGTATAATATGATGTTAGTTATCGAGGTTAGACGTGCAGTATTAGATAAGAATGGTAGGTGAATCAACGCGGTTGTGAAGCTATTTTGGTTGAGATGGTTAGAACACATGCTACTCATGCTGAGCCACTGCCTTCCTTGTTGACCAATGTTCACTGGGTTAGGAGTAATCAAACCAGAATATGATGTCAATCTATGGAGTCTTTGACAGTTAGCTCCAGCCACGTAAAGGGGGTGGGTGTAGACTACCTAGTTGGGGTCTTCAGGACCCTAAGAATCAATGATCAGAGTGTTGGTGGTATTACTCAAAACTTTTCTCACTGGTGCAGATGCGTTCACTCCTTGCAATTTACCTGATCCAATAAATCCTCATGATTTCTTCGTCTATTGTTCTTCCTGAACAAAATAAGAACTACAGTTTTAGCAGAATAAAATGGTACCATCTTTCATTTCGTTGCCTTCTCATCAGCTGCTTACAGGGCAAAGGTAATTTTAACATACTTGCACAGAGTTCATTTTAAACAAAAACTAATCGATCAATATATGCATACATTAATAATATATACATATATATATGCAATATTAAACACTATTCCGAACAATAATAATCATACACAATGGAAACTTTTCAGCATTTCGCATTCGGATGAAAGAGAGATAAAAAATATTTAGTTATTTAGGGCAAAGAAAGACTGATGACCGCTTCTTTCTGGACGCATAAATCAGGTTTCAGGCGTTTGATGGAAATGGCTTCAGCAAACTTAAAGAGAATTGAGCTCTTTTGCCTAATGATAATTTTGAACGACTTTTCGACGTCCACCTCATTAGCTGTGTCGAGGAGATGCCTGGCGATGGCACTGTTTAAAGTATTTGTTCCCTTTAGACATAAGCTTTTTGGTACATATTCAGAAAATCGTAGATATGCCCTTCTTTCTGTTCTTCCAATGTAAGTGCTGCCGCAGATACATGCAAATTTAAATATACAGTTGGAGTTAACATGAGAAGGATATCTATCGATTTTTTATTGTTCTTTCTCCCGTATGTTTCTGTTCACTATAGTTGTTTTCAATTTCTTCGTTCTCTTCTCCCCACCTTTGTGTGTGTGCTCTGTGGAGTGTGGCAATTTGAACTGCCGCAATTCAGTGTAAAATTGTGTGATGAGATTCATTCGATCACTTTTGGATGAAGTTAAGCGTTTCCATGTCTGTTTTCTTCTTGATAGTTACATTTGAAGTCATACAGTGACATATATATATATCCTCATGTGTGTGGTATTCGGCAGCGGAATTGTTTGTTGGTTAATTAATGAAACACAAAATAATCGAGCAAAGAATATTCCTTTCGATAAATTCCTCTTCCAGGCTCTACAATTATATATTTATATATATATATATATATATATATATATATATATATGTTTATATACACAGAATATTTTAAATTAGTAGTTAATTAATGTACGGATATATCAAGAAATGCACATGTTCTCTACATTTTGCTTCTCTTGTCTTCCTTTCATGTTTCACAAGGATCTTTCATTTCTCCACACACTGTATATACTACTTACAAAATCGTATTAGTAACACACCACAGTATCCTATAAATAGATGCGTGTACTAGGTCTCTTTTTCCCTTCTGTTTCGATGTCAGTTTGTGTCAGTATGACACATCTTGCAAGTAGACAATCGCCTTTCTGTACGACCTACGATATTTGCTTCCACAAACACACTCAAGTTGATATACGCAGTTTGAAATGTCGAGGATTGGAGACTGGTCTTTCCCAGATTGTTGAATCACTCGCTTGTTGGTGTTAAGGAAGACAAGTTTTGCATTTTATCTTAATTCTAATCTTTCATACTTCCTTCCCTAATCTATTTGAACATGACCTGAAAAACATTCACACGTGTCGCTCTACATGATCAATTCAATGCGTAGTTTATTTGCTTATCAATCTTATATCTCCCAATGTATTCCCAATAGTATTATATATCCCTGCATGTAGTGTTCAGTTGAAGAGTTCTACCGAAATTCGATGAATTCATTAAATCCTGCTTTATTAACCCCTTTGTTGCTTGTCTTAAATTCATATCGAGAAGTAAGCGTTTCCAAATCACTAATTTCTTGTAACTTCTGCCATAAGATTAGACTTGTTGGATTCAAGAAGATTCAACTGTCCAGAAACTGACAACTTTACTTTTCGCATACTTCATTTCGTCAGAATGATACTTTTGCATCATTTTTTCTATAGATGCAATTTTTTTAGTGAAACATATTTGTAGATGCTATTTTCATCAATGATTAATAGATCTTGTCAATTTTTGATTGGGTACAGGTCAGTAATTAGTGTAATGTGTCTAGTCCCTCATTTAGTGCAGACTGAATTCTATCAGTCAAGTTTGCAGGCTGCTAGTTCGCTTGCCGTCACGGTGCACTGTGAAATATTGATATTGGATGGTTGGAGGTAATCGGCCACAGGAAGGCTTGCTTGACCTAGGTTTCGTGCCAGTTGGCACTCACTCGTCAGCAAGGTGTATCTGCAATCTTGTAAGAAACTCATGTCCCTTCTGAGATTCGAACCCGCATCACCCAGTGCTTCAGTCAGAGGTATGCCTTGCTGACTAGTGAGTGCCAACTAGCACGAAACCTATTTCCAAGGCTTCCTCCAACCATCTAATCCCGAAAGTCCTTGTCAATCTTTAGCTTACTAGACAACTCATCTCTCTCTCTCTGTAGTTTCATTTTGTTTCATTTTATCATAAGTTTTCTATGTTCTATCCCTTCTCTACTAGGTTGCAGAAATCGAATGTAATTGTTTTAGTAGTTTTCATGCCCTCTTCCTTACTGTACGCATTCCTAGATTTTAAAAAACAACTCTTTCAGTCTTTTCACTTTAAGATTTCCTTCTCGTCTGCGTATGAAACGACTTTTTTCTCATAATTCGAACAGTTCAATGAAATGAGACTGAACTACAATCAATAAGTTAGACAATCTGATAACACCCGTTTTATTGCTATATATCGGATAGCTGTAGTCTATTTATTTATAATCATTATTTCCACGAATAAAATGTTCAATTAATAAGAGACACACGAAAAAGAACTGGATTAATAATGTAAGAGCCACGACAGTCCTCTCTTGTGCAACGCTTTGCTGTTTGAATCGATGATCGCTGAGTTCCAGTCTTAGTGAGAACACCTTCATCAAAGAATCAGTTGCATTTAATGGATGACGAGTTCCAAAGAGGACGAAACACGCCACCTGGATCCCACTCTTAGCCAATATCAAGCAAGTCACATCATTTTCATCTCTAGGCAACGTCAAAGTGTGCACACCAGGAGCCGACATATAAAGAGACCAAACATTTTGGCCTGATACTAATATATACACAGGTGAATCATTAATATTCAGTATTTATTTCCCACACTAGCATAATCATTGATTTCACGCATCTGCGTGATTATTGATTTAAATTACTGAATTCCCAGGGTTTGTTAATATTTTTAAAATGTGACATTGATTTTTCTAACTGTATAAATGCGGAGTTTTGTTTAACAATTTCGACTGATGTTAGAGACAGTAAAAGCTCTCGTATCAACGTCCAGTCTTCTTTCTTTGTCTTGCGTGCCCGGCGGTATTGTTGTTGTTGTTGACGTGCGATTAAGACAGATTAGCCAGCGCATTAGTTAGATTCGCTCGTAGTCTACCAGGTCCTAATATTCACATACATAACAAATTTGGCGACGGGTTTGCTGAAGATGGACCCACTGCGTTTAGAGAAACTAATGGAACAGCAGCTAAAATTGATGGAAATGCTTGCTGGTCTACAAATATCACGCTCTGCTGATTCATCTACAGCCAACGACAGCATTGGTAGTAGCATCTCAGAATTCGTTTATGATCCAGATGCGAACGTAACATTTGATACCTGGTTTCGCAGATATGAAGACCTATTTCGAGTAGACTTTGCGGATAAAGATGATGCCTGGAAAGTACGGCTTCTACTTCGTAAATTGGGAGCAGATGAGCTAGATAAATACTGCAACTTAATTCTGCCACAGAAGCCCAGTGAAAGATCATTCGATGAAACTGTCCATACCCTTCGTCATCAGTTTGGTGATCAGAGATCGTTATTCAACATTCGATATCATTGCATGAAACTAGTTTTGAACGAAAATGATGATATCCATACTCAGTTGGGTATAGTCAATCGCACGTGTGAACGTTTTAAATTGAAATCACTGTCAGAAGACCAGTTCAAGGTATTGATTTTCATTTGTGGTTTGCAGTCACCCAAATTTGCTGATATACGCACACGCCTATTAAATCGTCTGGAACAAGATCCACGAATGACTTTGAAAGACGTCGGTGAAGAATATCAGCGTTTAATCAACATTCACAACGATACCGTCTTGGTGCAGTCTGGCAGCCAAAATGCAACAGAAGTGCATGCGGTGCATCCAGTACCGTCGACATCAACCGCACCGCTTCATCCTCAGCATAAACCACCATCAGCCTGCTGGCACTGTGGCTCCTGGCATTTTGCAAACTTGTGCCCATTCAAACAGCATAAGTGCCGTCGATGCCATACTGTTGGTCACAAAGATGGCTACTGCAAACGCAACAACCGACCCAGATCTCGTAGTCAACCCAGACGGCGCAACAAGCCTAAGTCTTTGGGTGTTACTGCCAAATATCATATTAGTACTCCAGCACCTCGCAAATATTTCGATCTGACGATTAATACACGGCCGGCACGCCTACAAATCGACACAGCATCCGACATTACAATAATATCAAAGAAATTATGGCAGAAGTTGGGATGCCCTGCCACACAGAAGACAACCCAGACAGCATTTAGTGCATGTGGTGGAAGACTTCTATTGAATGGAGAAATTAAATGCAGCGTTGGTTTTCGCGATAGTCATTTCGTCGGCACATGCTACATCAATAATTCAAACCTTGACCTCTTGGGTTTAGACTGGTTCGAGAAGCTGCACCTGTCAGAGATTCCGTTAAGTAGTGTATGCCATAAGATCCAAAGTATTGAACCCTCAACAAGAAAGCCAGGAATCAGAGACAGATATATTAAACCTAAGCCCATTATAAAGAATGACGTCATTAATGAAAACTAACTTCAAATCGTCATAGTGAGTATGGCTGCGCCAAAAGTGCTTCGATGTCTGGTAGCAACAAAGTAGCAACTGTTAGCTCCAGTAAGAGAGGCTCTGCTCAAAAACTGAAAGTGATGTCTGTAATGGCAGCCAAAGATCCGCCACCAAGAGCATGGCCCACGTCAAAACCGTGGTCCCGCCTACATGTGGATTTTGCTGGGCCGATAGAAGGTATATACTACTTGGTTCTCGTGGACTCTTACTCAAAATGGCCGGAGGTAGTACAAGTGACACCACCTTCTAGCAGCAGAACAGTATCAGTCCTGGAAAAGATCTTCGCATGTCACGGTATACCAGAAATCATCGTATCTGACAATGGCAGTCAGTTCACCTCACAAGTGTTCCAGGAATTTTGCAAGAGAAACGGTATACAACACGTGCGGACGCCACCTTATCACCCTCAATCCAACGGTCAGGCAGAAAGATTTGTCGAAACTTTCAAACGAGCGTTGTTGAAAGCAGGGGGAGGGGCGAAACCGGAAGCAATACAAAACTTTCTTTTTGTATACCGAACTACACCACTGACAGAACAGAAGAAAAGCCCTGCAGAACTTTTAATGGGTCGAATGCTACGAACTCATCACCACTCCATGTTACCATCTTCGTCACATCAACGAAGAAATAGTCTGAAGTATTACCGCAAGGGTGATGCCGTCTATGTGCGCGATTATCGACCGAGGAACAGAAAATGGGCCGAAGGCTTGATAGAATGTCGACATGGAATTCTAATGTACAAGGTTAAAGTTGGGGATGAATGGTGGATAAGACATAAAAATCAGATACGACGTCGATATACTACATCCCAAGAACCTAAATTGCCACTGGATTTACTACTGGAAACTTTCAAAATACCACCACTCAAACCAGAAGCAAAACAAGAGATGCTACCCAGCCGACGATCCCAGCGCAAACGAACACAAACAGTTCATTTCCAAATCGACCCCATGGAAAAAAGATACTAAACTGTTTGCAAGATTCTTTTTAAAAGGGGGAGGTAATATATACACAGGTGAATCATTAATATTCAGTATTTATTTCCCACACTAGCATAATCATTGATTTCACGCATCTGCGTGATTATTGATTTAAATTACTGAATTCCCAGGGTTTGTTAATATTTTTAAAATGTGACATTGATTTTTCTAATTGTATAAATACGGAGTTTTGTTTAACAATTTCGACTGTTGTTAGAGACAGTAAAAGCTCTCGTATCAACGTCCAGTCTTCTTTCTTTGTCTTGCGTGCCCGGCGGTATTGTTGTTGTTGTTGACGTGCGATTAGGACAGATTAGCCAGCGCATTAGTTAGATTCGCTCGTAGTCTACCAGGTCCTAATATTCACATACATAACAGATACAACCAACAAATGGGAAAATCGCAATGACTTCAACAAGCGTCTATTACGTAGCAATAAATTACTGAATATTAATCCCTTAGACTATGAGTGGAACATAGGGCTTCAATAGCACATCACCATTTCATCATGTTCTTTGTAGTCCTCTTCAGCCCGTAAGCTTTCACCTCCTCTTCACACAATCTCCTATATGTTACACTCGAAGTGACACTCTACTCGTTGTTTCCCATCCGGGTTCTACTCGAGCTGATGACCTGGCGGATGCTGTCACTCAGCTGATCTTCCCAGGACATGTAATATCCATCTCCACTTTCTTCGGCATATTTTTATGGCAATAGGTCTTTGGTTGGTTCGTTGCCTGTCAATCGGAGTTCCCTGTTGCCAATTCCTTCTGGCCATCTGATCTTCAGTACCGATGAAAGTCTGAAGCCTGTTGAAAAAAAAATCCTGATCAACAGATCAATTTAATGCATGATAACTTGACAGTCTAACCAGACCTTTTAGTCTGCTCAACGTTACTTCTGTCAAACCTCCCTGGAGTGCAGCTTGTCTTACTAATGCAAAATTTGCTATCGTTTCGATAATAAAACTACCTTAATAATAATTTTATATTTCCTTTGCTTATATAGTTCCATGTCTCAACGTTGGCGTGATCGTTCAAGTTTAATAGATAAATTAGAAAAACAAGTAGAACAAATGCGTCACAATTGGGATGAAGAACGGAAACGTTTAATTAACGAAAGAGATACAGCACAAAAGCAAGTTAGGTAAATTAAAGCTTATAAGTTGTAAAAATTTGTTCCAGTTAGTTTGAAGTTTCTCGTGAATTATGCTTTAGAATCAGTCTTGCAATAATCGACTTTTACACAACTCCAACCAGATAGAAGTGAATTTCTGTAAAATGATGTGAAATGTTTGGCAACAGTCAATACTATACAAGTGTCACATAACGATATTCAAATAAGACACGTAGGCGAAGTTAAACTATGGCAGCCAATCACCAATACCTCGATCAACCAATCACATCATGAATGCCATGCATATATTAGGTTCATAGTCTGCTGCTCTCGATCTGATTTCTTAGTTTTGTCTTGATATAGGATTAGCTATTAAACTTTAACTGAGAAACTTCATTACAGTAGTTAAGGCTGTCTATGCATATCGGAGTACATTTAATTGACAAAATTCTCATTAGTTAGTTTGTAGGGATTTGATTTGTTCCCAGTTTGACCACGGATTGATGTCAGTTGGAGAACCACTGGAAACCAGGGAGTACTGGACAACTGTTCCCTCCTAGTTTGGGACTCATCGGCAGTACGCACCTACCACGCTTCGAAGGCAAGCTCACTAGTGACTAGCTGCAGGGTGTTGTCTGGATTTCTACTGAGGAGTCGTGATCAATGGAGCCTACCCGGTCGGGAGTGCTGACAAATACTTACCGATAATATCGGATCGTGATCGCGTCAAAATCACGGATTGGTAGGAGTTGGAATTCATGGGTTGGTCATTGGATCGGGTCCAAATATGGCTGAATGATCTGTGAGCTTGACTTGTCACCGGAACGTCCTGGGTTCGAAGTTTGGAAGGTGCGTACTGCCGGATATGTCCCAAACTAGAACGAAAACAGCTTTCAAGTACTACCTGGTTTTCAATGGTTCTCTAACTGATATCAATCCGTGGTCAAACTTGGAATTAACAAATTCACTAGCCTAAACATCGCTATATTATGAGTGGTTGTTCAAGGTTATTAAAAAGGCACCTGGTGGTGCCTGCTGTAGTCTAAACTTTCCGATAGGAGTATCTTAAGCTGTTTTTAAAATTACTCAGTGTATAAACATACAATTTAAGGATATAGAAAAGTTTTAAGTAACTGATTATTAATTCGCATTCAATGCTAATAACTTCGTTTACCATTTAAAGACATTTTAGGGTTCATAGTAAGCACATTGACCAGAACTTATACATGTGTATAACTTTACGCCGAATAAAGTTTACTTCGTGGTAATCTGTTAACAGACTTAGCACTTATAGACCAATTATTTTCTGATTTCCAAGCGTCGTTCTGCAAGGATTTGATTTATATTAAAAGCTAGAACACGAACTGACATCAATTAGAGAGAACCGGAGAGTACTGGACAGCTGGACTGTCCAAGTTTGGCAATTTTCAGCAGGTCAGGTCGCAGTGGCGATACATGTAGTAGTAATTGGCAGAAGTTAGACCTCACTGTCTTTTGGTTGGATAGTCACTAGCTTAGCCCATAACCTGAAGGTCCTGGGTTCGATCTCCAGTGAGATTATGGGTGGTTGGTGCTGCAGAGTACTAGAGCGGAGCGAAACAGCTTCCCACTACTCCTTGGTTTGCAAACGGTCCTCTAACCGGTGACAGTTCGTCATATAACACTTTTTGATTGTGGAGATGTACATATCTTCTATATTTTCGAAAAAATTTACAAATTGAAAGGATATATTCAGCCGCCTTAAGTACTTAAACGTATTGGTGTACTAAATATACACAAGAGAAAACTCATTTGTCATGACTATTCTATTAAAAGATCCTAATACGTCAAAATTAAATAAAGAATTCCAGTGGGTGTTTTGTCCCTGGTATACACTTCACTCCGATTCATGCAGAATATACGGCTTATATCATTGACCCCGACCCTAGTTGTTCATCTTGAAGAAGTAAAATGGCAGTTTAGATTGAAGGAAATGATTGAACAGAACTTTTGCAGTGATAAAGACTTTCTTTCAAGATGCAAAGAAATATAACATCGAGGATTATTTATCTCTCACAGTAGTAAACATATCGATTATCGAAATAAAATGGTTAACGACTAACTAAACAACTAAAATACCCACTGAAAAATTTGCACAGAAATTCGAGTCGAACTCAAAGCATACCAGGCAGTTAAGTATTGTATCATAATTGGTAGAGTCTTGGTTTTGATAATCTGAGTACTGATGAAGTAACCTCAGGTCCCCATTAACTCAAACTATTGATCCTGTGTGTGTGTGTGTACAACGTATTTCACTCAAGTTAATCTATAGGAAATGTTCCTCACTTGATTTATCTAGTCCATCTGGTGTCACACTACACCAATAGAAGTGTACTATTCCCAAGCTATCTCAGATAGTGTTTAATCACCACTTAATGTACCATCATCTTTTTGGCTTGTCAAGTACACTACACTCAAAAATGGAAAGTATGGATGAAGGTTTCCGGCAACAGTTATTGGCTGTGGAAGAAATGAAGGAAATTGCAGTTAACAATGCACGAAAGGAAGCTGATCAGTTGCGTATTGCATGTGAATCACGTGTAGCTGAAGTAAGTTTGGTTATTCATTACAATAGTATTTACTATTTCTCTCTGTTTTATACCACGCCAGCCTAAGACATGTAAAATTTTGTCTACTAATACAATACAAGTCATGTATTGTGTGCGAATTCTTGACACTGGTTGTCTGTCAAACTTCTTGTAGATAAAGAGGAGCTTAGCGTCATAAGCGCAACTGTTTTGAAATTGAAAAATACGTAGCCGAATAAATTACAGTTTGCCGGTTAATAAGAAAAAGAAGAGTAATTTCTTCGGCAAACGTGAGTACAAACCACCCGGTGTATAGCAATACCAAAAGAGTAATCAATACAATCAGCCTTTTTGTAAGGTGGAAATATAGGCATAAGTATTATAGGCCGAAATTTCCTATACATACATATAAACCTCATTTGTGACAGCACTCCACCCTAACGTGGAAACCTGACTATGAACCAATAACAGTTAACTGGTGGTAACAAACACATCGATAACGACATGTGCAGCTTCTCATTGCAGATTTGAAGTTGTGACTAAAAATCGATCTCTCCTCGTCGTGTACGATAGACTTATATGCCGCTAAATCGTGTTCGGTAACCTACCTTTTTTGATGCATTCCTCTCCTTGTTGATGATGGTAATTGTGCAACAACTTGAAAAATATTCATATACGCTATGTCATGCCAGTAATTTATTTATGCCTACCTGTATTAACTTCCTTACTTTGTCACCACTATATTACTTTCAGTTATCGCAACTTCAATAAAATAACACGCAAACCCTAATAACCTTTCGATTCCCCTATTGCTTGTAAATTACTACTGTTGCTTTTGTCGACTATCTTCTACGTGTCACTCAAACTTAGTATTCTTAGAGTATCGTGCAGATCCCGTGTATCTCAGGGGAAACAATATAATCATAATGCAACTTGTTTATCCTTAATTGACAGGCTAAATATCTCAGCTGCAGATCTGTTTTGTTCAATTACATTAATTGATCTACTTATAATTCGCGGTCCTACACAACTTAATTAACACAAATATTTGCTATCCGGTGTAAATTGATTTGATCCTATTAGCCCTTTTTAAACTTAAAGTGTGTTAAATTTTCACCCAACTATACTAAGTACTCATCAGAAATTAACTAATTAATGAATGAAATGCATTTGCTGGCGATAAGACGTATTCCTATTTCAAATCTTTTGATAGGTAGAATCAGAAATGCGTGCAGTTCTTCTAGAGGCTGAAACGACAAAACAAGCAATGGAGGAGAGACTCAGGTCTATATCGATCGCCTTGTGTAACCCAGTGCTACCGGATTACAATGCTTTAAAACCTCAACATATGAGAAAGGGAGAGTATGTAAAGTCAAATTTCAACATGTTAAATGAACCTGCCTTATGGCATAACAATAATCCACCAGTCGAAATCCCCGTTAAACAATATTCTCAGGGTTACAATTTGATAAATTCAAATTCTTGATTGATTGTAAAAAAATCCTCTTACAAATTTTGATTGTAAACTAATTACTAGTAAAATCACAATGTTCTTTATGCATGTCTTCACTAATATATACACGTTGTTCATTATGCACCTCAAAAACGAAGGTTTGTATTAATTCAAAAGTTATTCCGTCTACATACTCATCCGTTTTGAGACTAAAATCATGGCAAGCACATCCCAGGAAAGAGTTAGATATAAAGCGAGTGGATTTTAAAAGAACACAACTGTAAGGAAGAGGCAACGTTACCTTGTCATTCGCGTTAGGAAAGCATTACAGAATAACTCCAACCAGTATATCAAGACAACAGTTTTGAACCTATTCCAGGTGGATAGTGATGCGAAGTAGGCACGTTTCGTTCCATTTAATAAAGCATTTCCCATAAAAAACATCTAAACAGTAGGAAATCTGCTGGAACATGATTGAAGCATGTCACAATAATAGAAGACGCAATCAGACTGATGGGCTTTACGACTGTGCTAATTAAATGCATATAGATTAACAAAAATAACCAATTATAGGTTTCCAGGCCGTAGGTGTTACGAACTTCATGGAATAATTTGAGCGCCCAGTCAGATTGATTCATTATAAATTATTCCCAGCGTGTTAAGAAAATCAAAACAAGATTTTTCTGAACGTTTCTCTGTGTAAGCCACAACTTCTTCAGCAGATAAATAATCAACTATTAAAAGTTTTACGCGAGGAAAGTGGTGTTAAGGTGGTGGGCAATGCGGTAGAAAAAAACTTGGGTGCAGCACTGCTTATGCTGTACAGTACGTTTGGGTAATTTAGGTTTTGGTGACTCAGGTTTGTCTAGCCTTTTAGATGCAGTAACACTCTGCAGTCTGGTGTGTAGGCAAGCTTGAGTAGATGAAGGCATACATATTGAAATTAATCTGTTCCTACATAACTTAATGATCACATAGTAGGAAAGTAACTATTCATGAAGTTCAGGAGTTATGTGTTATGTTCTGAAATCTCATGCTATACCAGTCATGTGTGATTCCTGCAGCCTCATTACCCTAATCCAAAATACACAAGTCCACGGTAATAAATCTAACATGTCCTGAAATCACTCTGCATATTCATGATCACGAACACCAAACTTGCCTGATGCTTTGCAGTTTGCTGTTACTACCTGGCTTCAACGTAGAAATTTGCACAGATGTGCACGAGTTCGAGTTGCTACACTCCACGTAGCACTCAAAGCAAGAGAGGAGAGTAAAAAGAGATTCAAATGCGAGACATAAAGAATGGTAATATGATAGAACAATGGAATATTACTCGATATTACAAATAACATGAGGTGGATATGTCCGCGATATCATTTAGAACGAATTTTGAGCCATATCACCGATTGTCCCCAGCCTTCTTTGGATTTTACCACCCCGAGGACCCCAACCAGCCAGGAAATTTACACCTCACTGTGACTAGCTTAAACTAACTGTTGTGGATTTGAATGACTGATGAAGCCATGTTTTCGTCTGACCACCATCACTAGTTCTTTTCCAACCTGATTCTATGTTAGCTAACATTGCCCGTCGAGGAGGGCAATCAGTCGCTAGGCATGCGTAACACGTATTCTAGCAATCTCAATCGGTAACTTCACAGCCTCGTCGATTGATTTCTCCTCCTTACCCAACACTCGACACCGCTGTAAGGTGCTGAATGAATACAAACAATTATCAACGAAAATGTTGGGACAGCGAGGCAGAACATAACATACCATTCCTAATAGCCACAAGGGGACATCATGTATGTGCAATCAATTCGCTAAACAATGACAGAGGACATTTAATACAAGGAACATGTATCGGAAACTAAGCAGATATGAGATACTAATAACATTATGGAAAGATACTAATAACTTCGGTTTACGCAAACGACCAAACCTTGCCAAAGATGCTGGACTTGATAAACATTTCATGTTATTGCATGGTTTAGCACTACTTAATACCGATTGATACACTTGGTGGGCAAGACTTTATAATAGTGGACATATACTGAGTTTACACGCCGCCATACCCCACGTATGCTTAGGTGGCCCAGGCAAGTATTCGAAACGGCTTGTCAGTTAAAAAAAATAGTGTCACATAAACTGCTAAGTCATACATATATTATAAGTGTGGCATACGATCACCGAGCAGTAATCGAAGACTGACCTTCAAACAGGACCACTAAAAACCGCAGTCACAAGGCAGGCAACCGGCTTTGTTAACTATGCTGAAGAATGGTGGGATAAAAGCAAAGGCCACCAAGAAGAACGAGATATCATGGCCGCATCTACGTTATGAACGAAATTGGGTCCATTATCCTTAGGTTGGACAGTAAGAACCAACTAAGTGATCTGAATTCTCAACAAGCACACATATAAGGAGTTATTGCCATGACCTGAATCTATCACTACGCGTTCAGAATCCCGACATTAGTAGATCGTACTGTAGCCTAAGGCTTTCAACCACATTAATTGTGCTATTTACTAATTCAATCATCGCTCTATTAATGTTGATTTCTACCATAAATGGCGAATACAACGAAAACAAGTGAGACTGGGCTGTTAAGCCCCATGAGGTCCATATTGCTAATAACCTTTCATTATCCAAAACACTGTAAATAAACAATGTGCCAGATACTAATGTCATACTCAGTACTGGCGGACACTAACTTTCGTGCGATTACTGCCAAAGTCAACAAACCGTTCCTTCAAACTACTCAAAAAATATATACGAATTCAGACCATTTATTTCACGTTTTCTTCGACATGCTTAAGAGTCCTTCTTTGTTTTCTTTTGTTTTGTTCCTCTGATCTTCTTAGCCTTGTTCTTCCTTTCCTTTCTTATCTTTCTTCCTTTTTGTGGTATCGTTACCAAATTATTCTGCGAAGTGTTAAGGAAAATAGATACACCTTACCCTAGCAAGACGGAACTTGGGTTCAAACTTCTTAGCGTGGTCCAGGGAATCATAAACAAGAGCGAACCCTGTCGACTTTCCTCCACCAAAATGTGTGCGAAAACCAAACGGGAACACAACATCCGGTGAAGTTTTATAGGTCTTCGCTAGCCTTTCCCGGATCTCACTCCTTGAAAGAACGCAACGACCTGGGTGCAAAATATCCACAACCATTTGCTTGCGACATAGCAAGCGGTTTGACATAAACTTCCTTGTCCTAATCAACGTATTTTCACTCTGAATAGACGGATTTGAATTAGATTACATCAAGAAATAAACCAAAAACAAGGTTAGGACACAACCCACCATATTCCGCAGGCCACGATTTTCGACCAAATGTGCCACCCAATGTGCACTAGTGATTTAAACAATTTCACCAATCAGAATGCCTAGTTCGTAGTCCTACTAATTTGGCATACTCATCTTAGTCCTTTATCTTTCTCAGAAAGTTTGAATGGAATATTCTCAAGTATCTTACTAAAGTCATGGAACTCTATATCAGAAAGTACCAGCTAACATTAGCGTTCCTTTGACTGGAGACAAAGTTATTAGGCAGAGATGTTAATCCTTGATTCGGAGTTTCCATTCAGAGTGCGAACAACATTCTACCAAAGTAGTTCATTTTTTGACACCATCGTGGCACCACATTTCAGGCTAACTATACGGTGACTGAACATTATGTTTATTGTCATGTTTGAAAGCAAGATATACCACTGCATCTCTCCCATTCCAAAGAAAACGAGACTGTGGAAGCATTCGTAAGTGACACGTGGATCATGTCAGCTTTAATGAGCGATAATATTCGAAGCAGAATATCTTACTTTAGGAGCTTATCAGGCTCTAGATTATTGAGTAATCTGGGTACCACTTCAACCTCACCTAGTTAACTAGCTTGCTAGTTTTCTAGCCGGTCCCAAGCCAGATTAAAGAGGGAGGATTAGGCATAGGGCTAGCAACCCCACACCACTAAATCTTTCAAACCTCTAGATAAACTTCAACGCACAGAAAGTGTATTAAGAATACAAAACTTCAAATTAAGATCTTATTCTTCGCTTGAATCGAAGAGGCGAAATGACGTGGGGTGGTGAAAGCCTTCGAAAAAACAGTCAGCTCTTCGATGTGTCTTCTTTCGATGAAAGCAAGAGTAAGAATATGTACTTGGATTGTCCTTACAGTGTACGAGACAGGGAAGGCTGCCCAGGTAGCCAAAGAGATGCGAAGATATGGCTTAGAAGTACTAGGTACCTGCGAGAGCAGATAAAATGTGTGTGGATTGACAAAACTGTCGACGGGAGAGTCAAAAATCTACCGCGGTCATCCAGACGGCAACCGCGAACACACTGAGGCAGTGAGTGGCTATAGTGATGTCACGAGAGGCAGCCAGAGCCCCATTTCATTGGAAACCAATTTCATCCGGGTTCATAACAGCAAGATTCAACTCAAAAGGAAAGGGAATCACAATTATCCAATGCTATGCACTTACAAACGACGCGGAACAAGAGAAGAAGCAAGATTTTTGAAGACAACTACAAACAGTAATGGACAACATCTAAAATGTTGACATCAAAATCCTTATGGGAGATATGAATGCCAAACTGGGAGCAGATAATACGGGAATAGAATTCATCACGGGTCGAGAGGCTCTCGGAGAAGTGAATGAGAATGGAGCATTATTCGCAGACTTCCGCGCCTTCATTGATTTGGCGATTGGGGGAAACGTGTACAAACACTAGGATATACAAAACGCAAAATGGATTTCGCCTGACGGACACACCACATCTCAATCTCAAGGAAGTGGAGACTCAGCCAGCCTGCTGGATACAATGTTGAGAAGGGGAGCTGATGCGGCCCCAGACCATCATCTAGTTCAAGGAGCCTTCAAGGTGAAATCCTTCAGAACAACTGGAGGCAGACCGCTGTAATTCAAGTTCAATCTTCAGTAACTGAAGGATAAACTACAGGGGATGCCTTCACTACAGACCAGACCAGGGTAAAGTCGAACAAATTACGTGTTATCAACGAGGAAACATGCGTGGAAGAACAGTGGAACTTTCTGAAAGCGATATTCAAGTAAACGTGTACAATTGTTCTAGGGAGAAAGAAGAGACAAGATAAGGAATGGCTCTCAAAGGATACCCGAAAGCTAATCGAAGAGACAAAGATGGTGAAGTAGAAGACTACTCAATGCAAAGATGGGCAGCAAAAGGAGAAGCTAAGTTTAATGTGCACTGCGCTGAATAAAGAGGTGAAGAAGAGTGCTAGGAAAGACAGAAGACAATTCTACGACACACTGGCTGGTAAGTAAAGCAGAAATGCAGATCTCAGGTAAACGAGACCTCAGGACAATATATCAAGTAACCAGGTCATTATCCGGGAAGAGATCAACCCGGATGATGAAACCAACAAAAGATGCTGAAGGAGGAGAAACAAATGAAGCAACCTACTGATCGCTTTGAAGGACTCTTGAATCGACCATCACTGGCAGCTCGCAACGACGCGGTACGTTCAACGTTTGCGTTACATTTCCCGTGAGACTCGCACAAGTGTTTCTCCAGTTCCATAAATTTAACCAACAACTCTTTCACTAATTAGTTATGGTTAGTCATACAAAAAAGCCATGAACTCAGTCACCTGTCAACGTGATGACAAATAGTACCAATATGCTCGCAACAACGAGCAGCACAACTCCCACGAAATATGGAAATGAGGTCACAGCTTGCCAATACGCCGCAAGCGTCGAGCTGCCGGTTCACTACCATCTACTGTGGCTGAAACTGAGGGCGAAAACTTGCTGACAAACAGCAGTAGCATCGCTTCTACAAACTCAGCACCTGGTCCTGACATAAACCTCTTCACTTCACCTTATATACGTGTCACAAAACTTCAGATACCAAGTCCGGGTTCAACACTTACTTCAGAAATAGAACGACTAAATCTGTCTGTTGAAGAACTGAAGACTGAGATGCGGGACATAAGGTGTAGTAAATAATAATAATAATGGCTTTATGAATGCAGGATTTTCATAAAATTTGGCCAAATTATCTGAACTATCAACACAGCTTAGTGATATAAAATCACAGGTCTGTGAACTTGCCCCTCTGAACATCTTGGCTAAGGCCATAAACCCTGGCGAACTTGACACAGAACCAGTAACTAAGGTAGACACCTTGATAAACTTCATCACAACAGAGGTTATCAAAAGACTTGACACTAAACTAAGTGTGATTGTCTACAATATACCAGATAATGAGGGATTGAAAAAGGTTCGAGGCATCTTACTTAGGGCGGCGAAAATGCCTAACTCCCAAACAAAATGTCACAGACTGAAGAAGAGTCAGCACGACCACTGCTGTCCTATACGCCTTCAGTTCGAGACGCAGACAGAGGCTAAAAAATTCACCAACACACAACGTATCCTATTACAGGACACAAGCTACAAACAGATAAAAGTTGAAGCAGATAAGACAGTGACTGAAAGGCGTGCTTACAATCACCTTAATAAACCAAATGGCAAGACACCACAAGCCACTAAAATAGATATACACACTACCAACACGGTAGAACTCATAGCCTCCCCCCTCTCTAATCTCACAAAAATAGCTCCACCGAAAACGAAACCAAACGAAAGACTTGTGAGCTATAGTCTTACTCCTAAAGTAACCTCTCCTCCCTCTACGGTGGATCTAGATATGTCTATGGACAGCCATAAGATGGTAATCAATCCCTCTTGTAAGCTGACAACATCCTCTCCTAACCAAATCGTGACAACGCAAATGGAACTCGGTAACAAAACATGCCGAAATACGCCACTTGTTGCGAAGAATCCCCAACATATTCAGACTCCCGAGAATAACTCACGCTCTAAGGTAAATAATATTCAAAACCATGCTAGCAACCAAACTAAAAACAAAAATAAGGACATAGAGTCCAAGGACAACAAGGACACAACCTACTCGCATACTGTGCCAAGTCACACTGGTAGCTGGTGTAGTGACGCTATCACGCAATTGGAATTGAGACGCTACATTTTCGTTCGAATTCTTTCAAACCGTATATAAACTATTCACACACAATTTTTACCGGAAACTGTTGAATTTTCAAATTCTACACATAAGAATACTTGTGGGATACTATTTTTCCTTGGAAGTATTATATAAACTCTGTTACCACTGTCCCTGCCATCTGCAGGTTTTGGATGTATATTTTATGGGATATATCTGGTTCAATTTGCCATGGGTGAGGGCCTATGAACGGTCCGTGGCACAGCTAACAGTCCGTCGTTGGTTGTCCTCCAAACTCAAGCCTACGATACCGCAATCTCCAGTCATGTCAGCTATGTCAAGCCAACCCTCATCACAATCCATGGCCTCTGCCATGGTTCAAGCTGACCCCCAAACAACAGCCTCCTGTTCTCCTTCCTTCATCTCCCAGTTGCCAGCAGCTCATCCTTCGCCCCTCACATCCAATCCATTATCACCTTACTCCATGCGGTCCAATCAATCCCTATCCTCAATCGTATCTCCAAGATTCCTGTGTATATACTGTCCTTCAAACTTCGCTTCTCCGAGAGGTTTGACTCAACATCTGCGTCGAATCCACCCCGCCGAATACAATGAGGTCCTTCTCGGTCGCCTCCTCAACGACTGTCGAACACGACGAAATTGGTCCCAAAATGAGGAACTCACTTTACTGATGTTAGCAGATGAAGCAGTCGACCGATTCAACAGCAAAGCTGAATTGTATCAACACCTACACGACCATCTGCCACATCGCTCAATTGAAGCCATCAGACGCCGTCTACAAACACTCAAATGGTCAACATTTGTCCCATCATCGTCGCGCTCCGCATCAACCATTGGCTCCTACTCGATGCCATCCTCACCTGCATCATCACATGAAAACTATGCTATTAGATCAGCACTGTATGTGCGTCCAAGACCTCAAACCTGGTCCACTCAAGAAGATGCTCGATTGATCTCAACGGCCAAATGTCTCGATTCACCTTTACTTGCACCTACACAGTTCTTCGCTCTTGTCGCCGAAGCCGTTGGCAACCGCATCGCTGATGCAGTTAGACTACGTCTAGCCAGGCTAAAATGGAGATGTACACTCAACCCATCTCTGCCAACAATAGTCCTAACTCCAAATACGTCTTATCGCCGAATTCAGCCAGTTACCTCACTCATTGATACGTTCACCATCAACAGATCAATCTCTGCTCCTGTAAGTCCATGCAGGGCAACTTCAGATCCAGCTATCACAATCTCATCGAATTCCTGTACGCCAACTCAGCTAGAAGAACAGCGATCCCTCCAATTGGCTGTCATTAATAATGATTGTACTGTAATTGATGAATCCACCCAACCAATG